CCCAGAGAGTGGTTGCCTACTCCACAACATCGGAACACGCACAAAAGTGATATCGCAAGCTGTCAGAGATACACACCTTGATTTACACAACCTGACTCAGCTATTGGAGCTACTCGCGACTGCGCTCCAATGTTGCCTTCTCAGCTAGCGCAGGCTCGTCTCAGGCTTGGTGCCATGGCCATGTCATGCCAACGCGCCTACCTACAGCAGCAACGCCTATGACCACCGTGGTGCCAATGGGAGTGCGCTCACTGGGCCGGTAGAGATGACGCGCCCAGTCTCTGCAGTGAAAAGCATGACACATTGTGACAGTGACAGGCTAGTGCCTGGGCTTCAAGGGGGGCGACTCGAGCGCATAGCCTATTGTGTTTCCGGACCAAACCGGGCACTTTCTGTGCAGTTCAGCCGAATCGCCGATCGACGGCGCTCGGAAGAACCCTGCCCATCGGACGGCCGAGAGAGTTGGGTGGGATTTCGTCCTTGCGCCGCCCCGCCTCTAGTAATGATAGCGGGCCGGCGGAGCTCGGCCCGGCCTGTGGACACTGCATCAATCAACAAGGAATCAGGGCCGTTGAAGTGCAGTCAAATTGCAAACACCGTCATTCCCAGCCGTGTAAAACCGTTCTGCCGTTGGCTTCTATAAGAATGAAGTTTAATACCTATAAGGATCTAATACCTATAAGACAATGCCCGGGGACGGGTGGGGTTGGTTTGGTGGTTAGGGTGGGTTCGGGTGCGGAGCGGTTTATTGATTTGGTTAGGGTATTTAGTTAGGTCGTTGCACCGGGTACTTCCTTATAGGTACTAGATCCTTATAAGTATTAAAGTTCACGGGTATTGGCTTCTTGATATTTAACGTCATGTCAGAGACCTCTTGTGAGATTCCAATCACTTCAAGGCTGAACAAAGGCTGGATCAACTGGCGCTCTGGTCGCATCAACTCAATCGTAGAAGCTTCCAAGAGCAGACAGACTGACCAGAAAGAGACGCGCAAGCAACGGAGAGCGCTCTTGATCATGGAGAACTTCATAAGAAGGCCATGAGAAGACTCTAAGGTTGTAAGGTGCTAAGGCGAAGGTGAACATGTTGTGGAAAGGATAAAATTACATGCAGATAGGTATTCCGAAGATGCAGAGGAAGTTCACAGGGGAGAAGCTAAGTCTGCTCAGCTTCATATAACCAGCACTATTACGTTTCTAGCAGATCGCTGTGTCCGCTTTTGCTTAGGTGAAAGTTAATTGGACGTTGATTGGACGTTGATTGGACGTTGGGTCGACAAGAAGAAGCAAAGCCAAGCCCTTGCCATCATTATGGCTCCTTCTTTATCTCTGTTTGAGCTGCTACCTGACGAAGTGGTTATATCTGTACTTGAATCGGTGGGCGCCTGCAGGAAAGATGCAGACAAGAGGTTGCCTGAGAAGCGCGTGGAGGCTGCACTGAATCTGGTCCGCGCACAACTAGTTTGCAAGCGCTTTCAGAAGCTAGCTCATCAGGTCAAAAGCTTGGAATGGCCTTTGAGGAGCGAAGACGAGGCGCTTGGACTTGCAGCCTTCATCCACCATCCCCAATTCTCTGTTGATAGACTCAATCTGCTGATTACAGCGGAGTTCCATAACGAGGTTGCGCATCATCTCATCTTCTCAAGCCCACTGCTTAAGCGGATACCTGAAAAGGTCGGCATCTACTTCCTGGATCAGACAAGGGACAGAGATTCTGAATCGGAAGAGAACAGAAGATCAGGAGGGTCTTTCCGAGAATGCAACTATACTTTGTCTCATCCAGAACCAAGCAGGAACATCATGGAAAGTCTGATGGGATTGAGAATGAGATACTTTAGCGTATCTTCACTCCCATACGGTACGGTTTCTGTGAGAATGCTGAGCTGGAAGGCACCCAGCTCGTCACTGAAATGCATCGACCTGTCCAAAGCAATCATAGCCGTCCAAGCTCTCCAGAATCTGCTGCAAAGGTGCACACAGCTTGACACTCTAAAGGCTGTTGCGGAAGGGTACGACGATCCTGCCGAATCTGGGAAGTCAATTGAAGACACCAAGTTCATCATCAACTCTGAAACGTTGACGTCCTTAGACCTGTGCGGGACGAACAACAGCTTCATGTTTCTGGACTTACAAGCACCCAGACTTCTTGACCTGGTCATCTGTTGCAACGTGATCAGGCTGAACACTCTTTCGTTGCGAAGCTTGACACTCACGATAGGAGACTCGCAGCGTCCACTATCTTTCACTTAGCCATGTACTCGCCTGGATCACCTGAGCATAGTGGAAATCGGAGAAAACGATTGGAAAGAGATTGTGGCACCCGTCCTCCTCCAGAGTCATTCTATCAAGTCCCTGACCCTGAAGTCTTCGGAAGAATTGACGGAAGACCTGCCAATTGGTAGATTTCTGGCGCAGCTGCCTCCAAAGATCAGAAAGTTGAGCGTAGATGGTGGCGTCCTTGTTGGGCTGCGCCTGTCAGAACCCGAGCATGGCCGTCACACGCTCTCAGATTTGATGCAATTAGAGATTCATTCCGTCTGCAAACTCGAGTCGTACTTGCAGATCCGGACGATATGCGACGCAATGCCTGGCTTACAGAAGTTGAAGCTGTCAATGTACGATATTTACGATTTTGACGAGCCAGGTAGCCTTGCAATCTTTCGCAAGGACTTCAAAAAAATTCCAGAAGTTGACATTCGACTTTCGTACGAGTTAGTCTTATAGTCTGAAAACGAGAAGATTTTAGAAGCAATAGTCTGCTTATAAGAACCAATACATGGACAGCCTTGATTACGCTTGGTGACTTGCTTGTCTGGATAAGGGAACAGTATGCAGCGCAAGATAATTTCATCAATTTGTGTGACTCCTTTATGCATCAGAACACGTCGTAATGGATGTAAGCCTTTGCAGATCATGGCATTCGTGATTCCAAGGTTAATCATATGTAGTCGGCGCGGATCATCATTAAGAGTTCAAAAAATGCGCAGAACGAGATAAGGACGATTGACTGTGTTTGTCTTATTCATTTTTGAGAAGGTCAAGGTGCAATCATTCCCACACTTCTTGATCTCGAGATTCTGTGCGATCCGCCGCAGCATGAGATTGTGATTCTAGACTAGTGTGGACATGTGGACATGAGGCTGTCGTCAACTTACCAATAATTGTCGAATCTTATCTCAGCGGATATCAGATTCTAAAAGCCGCTGCATTTCGAATGTAGAACGTAGTAAAAGCGTTGTAGATCAACGACAGCCAAATTTTCGAAACGTACGCTTCCTTTTTGTTACTATGAATGACGATTTTCCCAACGAGGAGCATGTGTATGACTGTCTGAGTTGAGAACGTCAGTGCTTCGTGCGACCTGTGCCGTGCTCTTTTACCACGAAGCCTCTACTACGCCCCCTAAATTTCCAACTCTCGAAACGTTCTTGCTGACTTCTTTTTACAGCCAAGTCCGCTATACCGGCGAAGTCGACTTGAGAAAGCTGAACGGGTACTAGATAATCTACAAACCCGGATACACGCAAGCTACTGATCGTCGCCTGCATGAACTGCCGCGCAGGAAACTTCGAGGAGACCCAAAGGTATGCTTATTACCTTCTCGGATGCCCTACAAATTGATGTTTCCTTGATCGGCATGGTGCACAGCCGCTGCCAAGATGAAGAACCCACGGATGCTTCAGAGAGCTTCCCGCGTTTTGCTTGGCGCCCATCACTACTGCACTCCCCAACCATTCGCAAATGATTCCCTACTGTACTTCCCTATTACCTCCGCCTGACTTCTTCCTCTCCGCCCTCTTCCTCTCCTTCGCAAGGGCCCGCTTCAGCGCCGCCCGTTCCCGGGCCATGCTTCCGCTTACCACCCAGTTCTGCTCCACCGGGCGGAACGGTTGCCACCTCCCCTGCGTCACCTGGGCACAAACCGCCCGGTGCGAGACCCGGTCCACGAGCGCGCACGCGAGCGAGCAGTACAAAACTGCGCGGCATCTCGCGCACGTTTGGAGCACCCGCCCGTCCGCCCCTGAAAAGCTCTTGAAGCCGCACCCCGCGCAGGCCCGCACGCCGACGGTTTTGGGGATCGTTGCAGGGACGGTTAGGTTAGCCCCCCAAGTGCAGGTTTGCTCCTGAGCCCCCTGGGTTAGGACCGTTTTGACAACTGCAAGGCGCGCAGGAGGCGCGCTTGACGGTCGTTCCTTGTTTTGCGAGCCAGAAACGCCTTTGCGCGCATCTGTTGAAGCTCCTCTTGAGTCGGAAGCTGATATGATGACACGGATGTCAGAAAACCCCGCGGCGCGGAAAGCCGACCCTTTGACGAAATCACCGCTTTCCTGTGGGCCAGAAGCATCCCCTGTTTCCTCCGTATTCCGAATATCATCAGTTGGCAAATCTTGAAGCGGACCGATCTTTCCGTTCTTTTGTGGCATGCTGCTGCTCTTCTCTACCGTTGTCTTTGATTTAGGGCGACCAGGAAGGGGTCTTTGACTGCTCGTATCGACGTCTCTGTCGCCCAGAAAGAGCTTCGTGCGCTGCTTCCACATAGGACGGCAGTCGACATACGCAATCCCCGTCGGTCGAGCGATGCCCGTCTTATCAAACTTTTTGCGCAGCGAAGACCGCGGCCCCATCTTGTAGATATCCTCCATAGCTGCCGCGAGCTTCAAATTCTCTTTCGCTATCCGCTTCTCTTCCTGCCTCCGTTTCCGGTTCACCGTACTCTCAAATGGAAGCCCGGAAACAGCATGTTTGCCAGGCTGAGAAGAGCAATACTTCGGCGGAGGAAACACAGCCTTACTCTTTCCCATTGATGCTTTCAATTGAGCAATTCGATTCTGATGCTCTTGCCAAGGCTCCAATCGCTGCACCCCTTTGCTGTCGACCTTACAAAGATCCTCTGGTGGCACTGGACATCTGGAACTCAGTCCACTTGACTGGGGTGGTGCAGAAAGGGGTCGGAAAGCGCCCAACGAGCAGCGCCCAGACTCCGGAACGAACTGAACGGAGACCGTTCCGTCTTCGTCAGTAACGGCTCTGGTCGAAGGGGCGTCGAAACACTCTGCGGGGATCCTGTAACAGGAGAGAAAAACTTGGCGTGTCAGGGACAGGCCCTAAAAGCGGTGAGAGTGCATGAACATTAATGATGCATGATCGCACTGCCCATTGGAAACTAACCCGGCTATAAAAGTACTATTACCACGGTCCCAATCCAGCACAGTGTCTTTTTGTTGCCTGCTGTGTCGAGCTCGGGCAGGAACGGGAAAGAGAGTCGTATAAAGTTGAGCTAGACGACTCCAACCTCTATTGAGCTGCCTGCTTCAGGTTGGCCAAGATTCGGTGACTTGCGCACGATCACTATACCAGCCCGCAAAATAGTCGTGCCCTGCCAACGAGGCTTTCAAGCTTTTGAAGAAGTTGCCTACGGCAGACTGACAGCTTCAAGCCAGCTCCTCAGCTCAATCTGCGGCTATACTGATAGAGTTCGCCCACGCTGAACGCCACTCTCAGGAGAAACTTGCAAACTTCCCGGCCACTCGTGCTGAGGCACCTTTGCCGCCCTCGAGGTATCTTTTGCCATCGACTTTTTAGTCTTCGAGCTTTGCGCATGACAACTCAGTCGCCAAAGGGTCAACATATATTTCGCAAAAGCTCCTGCAGGCGGAGCGTGATTGAGGCGGATTTGACGGAAATGAAAGACAAGCACTGTCAGGAATTGTTTGAGGGTGGTAGCTATAAGAGCAGATTGAGCTCTTGGATGTGCGACCCACCTTCTTTCAGGCCGCTTTGGAGGCTGCGTATAACGCCGCTTCACATTGCTTGCTGGTGGTGACGGCGCGGTGGCAAACATTCCCACAGCAATTCCTTTCATGATGACGTCGTATCAGACTCCTCCCGGCCTGATGCCAACGTCACAAAGCCAAACAAGCACCAACGTGGACCTGCTGAGACGGTTTGCCAGGGCCCTGCCAGCCTGTTTCATACTTCTATACCTCGAAGGTCGTGACCCTTGGCTTTTTCCCTAGCAGTTCTCAGGCTCGGCCGAAGCATCTGGTCTGCATTGGGGCCCGTTCGATCACTCCTAACACGGCTCTTCGGAAAGACAATGACACACTAGAAATTCATGACAGAAGGTTCAATTTGAACGGCACACGACACAGTCAGCATGACAATCCTGCATCAGTTGAAGGGGAGTTGAAGCCAGCACTACCTACTACATATTAGCGGTGCTGATAGATTAAGTTGGATTTTCTAGCCTTTCAAGAGCGTTTTGGGGCGACTGTATGGGTTGTTCACTTGTCATATTAACCCGCGTTTGTGAAATACTAGAACGAATCTTATCTTTGTAGATACCGTACTCGTAACACGACAGTATTCCTTAACGTAGTGGAGCCTGGGGCCTGCATGGGGTGCATGGGATACGCTGTCCGTCCAATCTAGTACAGGGAAGCCAGTCTGTCTCGAGGACCACCGGCACTGAGTCGAGATCCGGCGAGGGGGCGACCGGACCTTTCGGCCGAATTCCCGTTCCACGTCAGCCCTCGATAAATTGGAAGGTTGCTGAGACTCGCCAGATGCACCGTCGATGTGATGTCCGGCAGTTGGACAGGTTGTAGACGTAAGCTGTAACATACCACACTGTACAGTTAAACGGTTTTACATTTAAACTCACTGTAGCTGAGTATACCTGCACCGGCATGCAAGCCTAGCTAGGAGCTACAGGACATGCGTAGTGACTGACGCTCTCACAGGCTCACTGAGAATCAGTGATGCAGTGCAGCCTGTGGATCCAGCTAGCTACTTGTTCGTGAATGTCTGATCGATCGGCTCCAATCAATTCATGATAAGCTACATTGGTGAATGAATGATGCATCATTCATTGAAGAGCGTCCGAACAAGAATCATGCGGCTTAACTAGTATACGTGCAGAAGCCTCATAACGGCAGACTGTGCCAGGTACGGTTAAGGCAGGACGCAGGTGGCCTCGACGCTGCAGCGACAAAGCTTGGCGCATGCGCCTTGTAATTGTACACCCGGCGTCGCCAATAGCCAGAAGCTCAGGCTATGCATATGCTGAAGAATTTCGATGGGTGACTATATACCAAGCATGGCAGATTGTCTTGACAAGTTAAGTGAAGGATGCGGGCCAGTGAAATGATGCATATGGTCTGTTTGCGTACTGTGACTTTCATCTGCATCAACAAGAATTTCAATGCGGCCGCGGAGCTCAATTGATTCAACCATGCGTAATAAAATCATGATACATGCGAGCACTAAGAGCAGACAAACATTATTATATGCCAGCCTTAAGAGCAGAATGCAGGCCAATGAGGGACAAATGAATGTGTCTCGCTTCATGGTGTGCTAAGAAAAAGGCCGCAACAACTCGCAAAACACAATCGATCACGTTATGCTGGTCCGACAGAAGTTTGGATCCGGATTGAAAGATCTTTGAAGCGTATCACAACATCATCACCAACTGCCAGAACGGACCCCCCATCCAGCTGATCACCTCCGCTTTACTACTCCTTTTCGTATCGATGCGAATCCTAACGAACATTCGATGCTACTACGGCAAAACTAGAATTGAGGCGGCATACCATACGCGGGCATCCCCCCGTAACCACCGTCAGGTCCAGCGAAACCCGGGCCAGCAGAAGGAGGGGCGGGCAGCGCCAAAGGCATCAGCTGTTGATAGAGGTTCTGCGACCAAAGACAGAAGTTTCTCAGCAAAGTGCAGTTTGCAGACCCTGGCAGTGCTTGACAATTAACCTTAGGATCAGGATTCGGTCAAGATGCAATCAGCAGAAGCATTACATGGCATCCCTGATTGTATCCTGGACTCAACAGCCTCAAGTCAGCTGCTGCATCATGCCTCACACCATCTTTGTGCGGCGCACAAACAAGAAGTCGTTCTAAGTTTGCCTCAGCATTGGCTTCGGGCACTTACCGCCTGCGCCACAGCCTGTTTCTCCTCGTGGTTCTTGGCCTGCTTCTCCAGGTTAGCCTCCGCCTTGTCCTTTACAAGCTCGTCCACCTTGCTCGAGTATTCGCGCACAAACTGCACGACAGGCAGACGATCGGAATGGTTAAGAACGGGCACCGTTTTGAAATTTCATCGAATCACGCCTCACTCTATTTCAGAAGCCTTTCCAACTCTTTGTGATCATCAAGCCTTCGCAGAAATGGGCCTGGCACGTCCAAAATAAGGCGATTGAAAGATGACTCCGTTTACTGTCACAGGAAATAGGATCGTTCGACACAGCAAGGGCAGCTCGCAAGGCAGTTCGCGGAAGCTGTGGCCGTCGGCGCACCTGTATGAGGTAGGGGACTGCGCAGTCCATCATGTCGTTGAACCAGGCGTGCTCCAGGACCACATCCGCCCGGATGAGGTCGTAGCACTGGTACAAGCACGCGGCAAAGCACTCCTTCTTGTCCTGCACGCGACAAGTGCTGCTGTCAGTCTCCGAACCAGTGGCTCATCAGCTTTGCTTGTCCATGCAAGGGGAGAACAAACCAGCGACGAGTTGCTTGGCAAAGGGAGATGAAGCTCGGTCTGCAGAAAACGCCTGCCTGCAAAAATTTGAGAGAGGTTCAACCAACTTTGCCCCATCAGCCCCAAGAATCTGTTACAAATTATGTTCGGCATCTACCACTCTTACTCTCTGATGCTTCTTGTAATATCGAAAAGACCGCCGAGCGAGAGCAAAGAGGTGATCCTGACCTCCTCCACAAAGAAGACGAGGAGCTCCTCCGCGAGCTGCCTGTCCCCGGACTGGCTGACAGTCTCCATGGCGTCCTTGTACAGCTTGTCCTTCTTGGACAGCGCCACCGACTGGCGCCACCGCTGCGCCTTCTTGTAGATGTAGCTCGAAATGCGCCGCATCTCCAGCAGCTCGTGCTTCTCCAGCTGCAAAACGCACCGACAAGGAGCGGGTCAGGGGATGATTGTTCAATCCGGAACCAGACACGACATCCAAGGACGGAGTAGCAATTTGATTGATGTCAGCAGGCACAAACCGAGAATGGAGCTGTTGCTTTGCAGCCGTTGCCTCTCTCCGCCCAAACCTTCTGGGTAGCAAAAAGCTGGCAGCTTTGCTTCAAAGAGAACGGGAGCCAAGTACAATCGACTTTGCTCCGTCATTTGTCTCTCGAAAGAGTGATTTCCCAAACCTGCATGTTCGAGTAATTTACACGAGGTCATTGGGCTCTGTTGCCAGGCTTCAAGAACGTAGAGGCGGTCTGTTGCGGGCTCACCTTTTGCGCGAGGCCGACTTGGTCGAAGTTGTCGTACATGTCGATGGAGGTGCGAAGGCGGTCGTAGTCCTCCTCCTCCACCAGCAGCTCGTTGAGCGCCTCGTTCACAGCAGACACGTTCGCGCTCTGGACCTCCACCAGGTACGGCTTCACCAGCGGCAGGTGGCCAGCCTGCATTCAGAGCAGAAAATGTACGTCAGGAAATGTACGTCAGGAAATGTACGTCAGAACTCAGCCGTTTCGAAGGTTGTCTCCCCCTACTTACAAGATCCGGAATCGTTCACACCTGGGAAGGGCATCTGACGCCTCTCCTTCCAAGTGGATGAAGCGCAGCCCCCTTGAAATTGCAGCAATGACTCGCTCTCGAATTGCGACCTGTTCATATGTACACAACAAGCGACTTCACCACTTCTCACGAAAGCCCTGCGCACGAATTCGGCAAAGGTCGGCCACTCTTTCCAAAGTATCTTCCTTTGCCTTTCCTAAGCTCAGCACCTAAAAAGCCTCATGCCTGCCTGCCTGCAAAAGCCAGCTGTTAAGAAAAACCAGGGTCAATAACAGGTTCCCTCACCTTGCGGAAGATGTCGACGGTGCGCGAGTGGTCGACGCGCGGCGCGAGGACGTGCAGAAGGTCGTTGATGAGGTCGGGGTGCTCTTGCAGGTAGAAGTGCACCGCCTTGTAGTACACCTCCAGATTCGCCACCTTCACGATCACGTCCTTGAACTGCATGTGCTCCCACGCGTCGGGGCTGTGCGCCATGATGACGCCCGCCGCGTTGTCGTACTCGTCGTACGTGATGTAGAGGAACGTGAGCTCCTTCCAGTGCTGCTGCTCGTCGCACACGCGGATGAGCTTCGGGATGTTGAGCCGCGTCGAGAAGAGCTTGAGGTGCTCCATCAGCTTCTCGGGGCGGTAGCGCGCATAGAGCACGCCCAGCTCGGTGAAGATGCCCATGTGCGCGCGCTCCAGGCCCAGCCCGCTCTCCATCAGCGCGATCAGCTGGTCGAAGTGGCCGCGGTTCTGGTAGTAGTCGCTCACTTCCTCCAGGTCGTCCACCTGCGGCGCAGGAAACAGAGTACGCAAGTCAGAAGAGGATTCTGGTCCGGTCAGGTCAAGTGTTTGAACTTTTTAAGGGCTCGTCGGGTGTCTAAGAGAGATTACGAGTTTGACGCAACATTCTTTAAGTTTCTTTGAAACTTTTTGAAATACCTAAATACAGGGGAAGGAGAAGCCCAGTCACCACTGGGCAAAGCTTTGGCAAGCACTTTCTTTACGACTGGGAATGTCTGGTGGTGCTTGGAGTTGACAATCTCGCATGCCAATGAAAGCCGATGCCAGGTCAATCTACGCGACAACATAACGGTACACATGTCAGCCGCTCCTTGACAGGAATGCTTGATAATAGCTCTGCTGCTGCACTGAGTTCCTCACCTGGACGATGATGTTGAGGCCGGCCAGCTGGGCCAACCGGAACTCTTCCGCATCCACGCACGCAAAGCAGACCTCCTTCCATGTCCGGGCGCTGTTGGCCTTCCGGGCGGCCTCCACAGCTTGCTGTTTCACGAAAAGTCCTCAGTTAGCAAGGGACGATTCTCCGAAACTCTTCGGAATCGCTTTGAGCACAAGAAGCGACCGCCCCTTCTTCTGTCTAGCTTCCTGCAGCCCTGGTCATGATGCTCGACTTGGTTCTGGCAAGCAGCCACCAACCATGTCTCGGGCATCTCAGATACTGCAGACTTTGAAGAGCCCTAGAAGCACGCCTTAAGCGTTGGACATGCAAGCTCGTTGCAATAACGCAAGCTCCATTGATAAAACGGAAAGCCTTGTGATCGTTTCCAAGGTTGTGCCGCACCTGGAACTGCTTGAGCTTGATGAGTGTGGACGCGAGGCGCTGCCAGTTGGAGATGTGCGTGAACAGGATCTTGGCGGCCTCGTAGAGCGCCTCGTCGAAGCACTTGTCGCCCACGTTCTGCAGGTTGGCCGCGTTGGGCGTTGCGATGAACTCCTCGATCTCGCCCAGCCGGCCCGTCTTGGCGTAGGCGTAGATGAGCTCGCTGTCCACCTTGGGCTCCTTCACCTTCTTGCGCACCATCAGCAGGTACTTCACCAGCTCCTCGAACTCCTGCACGCATCGGAAACTAGCGTGAGCGATGGGTAATATACTGACGAGTAACTGACAGCGCTGAAGCTTAGCATACTTCAGCGATTGCCGACAAGTTGAGCTGCATGACCCCCACACAGGACGCAGGTGAAGGATTTCGTCCCAAGCGAAGGGCCAACTGAGTCGGAGCTGAGTAAGGCAACCGATCCACAGCAACCAAGGCGACGACGATCGTCAGGCAGTTCTATTCAACGCAAGAAACGTCTGAATCAAAAAAGAAGTTGGACACGACCAGAACATGCTCGCTCGTTCCAGCAAGCAGGCAAAGAACACGGCAAAAAATCAGATGGCAGGGCTCACGTTGGCCTTCTCGGCGGCCTTGATGACGTCCAGGAACTGCGTGGCGTCGTTGGCCTTGATGAACGACTCGATGGCGTCGCTGACGAGCCCCTGCTTCAGCTGCGCCTTGGCCACCTGGCTCCACACGTCGTCCTCCTCAACACGGCTCGCAAACTCGAGGGCGCGGTCGATGCTGCAGCAAAGCAGCGACCAAGGAACAATTAGAAGAGTCCAGAACCCCAAAAGGGCTGACAGGATCAAAGGCCCAGCTTTTGTTAGTGCTTTGACCAGTGCACCTGGTGAGGGATACGCTCTGGTGATACTATACTTCGGCGGGAATCGCCTATCGTCGACCTTGAACGGAAAATGACAATGAAAAAGAGAGACTCGCTGCATCTAATGCAACGACATGACCAGTTATGTCGAGAAAGATCGAATGATCCTGGCGCAGCTGACGCTGGAGAACATGGACGCACGCACCTGCCGATGTTGTCCAGCAGGACGTCCACAGCCTTGACGTTGAGGTTGAACTTCTTGTAGATGGTGAAGGCCTCCTCGTACAGCTCCGACCCAACGGCGATCTCTCCCACGGCGGGACCTGAGAAGGAGGGCCCGGTCAGCGTCAGCGCGACATGGATAACAGGCCCTGACTATGCACCTTGTCGAACCACACACTTTAAAATCCCTCCGATCCCAATCAACAGGAAGAATCTGCAGTTCAGAAGAGAGTTTAAGGAGAGCCACCGAGACACGGCTTGTCTCCATTGCAGACTTGAGAGTGCAGGCCGTCTGTTTTCTTCCTCTCTACTCGCTCCCATGATTTGCTCCCCATAGGCTTCCAATCCTGGCTCGTGCGCGCCGCTCACCGTCGAAGTTGTCAAGGCGGTTGATGTAGTCCATGACGCGCGACTTGTCGGCCTTGATGGCGGTGAGGATGAGCAGGTTCTGCAGGTTGGGGTTGCCGCTGAAGGCGCTGTTCTGGAGCACGATCTTCTCCAGCAGCTCGATCAGCTCGTGCGGCAGGTCCGCCGTCATGAACGCCTTCACCGTCACCGACACCTGCTCCGGGTTCTTGCTCTCGGGGAGCGCGGTCGACACCACCTGGTCGATGAGCTGCCGCCGGAACTGGTTCTCGGGCGTCAGCACCTTCTCCCACAGCTCCGGCTCCATGCGCTCCACCACGTACCTGGCCAACAGGAAAGCAGGTAAGATCCTCTACTCCCATCCCCCTGTCTGGTTGTAGTTAGTTCTGGGCACGACAGCTAGGAGGAAACCCGGGTGGACACAAACTAGCCGCTTGAGAAGAGGGAACGCACAAAGGGAGTTCTGCTACGACAGGAAGCATGATGCTCACAACTGCGGGTTCGCAGGTACTGAAGCAGCAAACTTTCGTTGGAACCGCGCTTTCGTCATGAAGCACATTGAACAATGAGAACAGGTGCGGTATCCAATGAAGGACAGGGGACTGTATCTCAGGGACGACTGTGCAAAGACGAAGAAGCCCCAAGAAGCAATGAGCGCAGTGTTCCGGGATGGTCGCCCACCTGGCCTGGAGCTTGAACAACGAGTTCTTGTTGGTGACGGCGACCAGCTCGAGGTCGCACTTGCCGCGCTTGTAAGCGACAACGGCCAGCGTGGGGTCGCGCTTCTCGCAGTACTTGCCGACGACGAGGGAGTCGTAGTAGGGGTTGGTGGTGAGGAAGTGCTCGGGGTTGTTGTTGCTGTCGATGATGATCTTGCCCAGCGCGTTGTGCACATGCACGTCCTGGCTGCCCTCGCTCACCAGGTGCTCCAGGAACTGGCTCAGCAGCTTCAGCCGGTTCCTGCACGAGAGTGGAATTACAGCGATTGGCACAGCGAACTACCAAGATCGTAGGAATCAGATTTCCTTAAGAACTCTCAGGGGTTGCCAACAGGAGGGATGGGCACTGTGAACTACGAAGAGCGTGCAAGTCACTGTCTTCTACGAAGGCTTTGTTGTTTTAGCAGTAGACCGTGCGATTAAATTCCGGCCACGACATGGTCCACTTGAAGCGGAACCCATTGACGTCTCGGACGACTATGAGTAATCTGGGAGGAAGTCGGATGCAGGTTCTGATCTTCAAAGAACCTGAGCCTTCGTAATTTCCAGAGAACTATTCGTTTCTCCGAAAATATGCACTGAGGACAGGGCCCGCTGTAGCACCTCACCTCTTCTCGCACTCTGCTACCAGAGGCTCGACTGGCAACAGGCTGCGGACGGACAGAATGAGGTTCTTGATGAAGTCCTCGGGGCACTCGTCGTCCAACAGCTGGCCGACGACCAGAGGGGCATTTGCGGGGTTGACCTGCAGCAAAACAATCAGATCAGGGCTCGCACAACATTAGACCCTGCAAACCTGCCAGAATCACTTTGACCCTCAGAACTCAAAAACCATGTCAGTATTTGACACAGCGATGATTGACTTGACCGTATCTACTCCCTTCACAGGCTTGAACGATCCGGACGTCAGCATCCAAGTCGTCCAGACGTCAGTCCTTCCGAGTCGTTCCTGAGCACTCTATGAAAGACAAAGCACAACAATAGCTTGAAAACCAAGCCGCTTAGCCTGCCTTTGCAGTGCATACCTCACCGCCCAGAAAAAGAATTCGTAGCAAATCTACAACACCGATTGAACTACCGTAGGTCAGCTGCTCACCTTCTGGACGTAGCCCTCGATGTAGCGCAGCAGGTTGTTGGTGAAGAGGTAGTGCGTGAGGTCCGGCACGAAGTTGAAGCGGTCGCACACGTTGATCAGCGGGCGCGCGTCCGGCAGCTTAGCCTCCATGAGGAAGTTCTTGGTCTTCTCCGCATCATAGAAGTTGGACTCGCGCGTCACGCGCTCCACTTCCTTGATCTGGCCCGTGCGCGAGGCGGCCTCAATGTACTTAAAGTGCACGTCCGGGTCCTCTCTGCAGCCAGCCAACGAGACGGACGCGAATCAGAAACTTATCCCACTCACCAGCTCACCTCACAGAAATCGCTTCTTCCTACACCAAAAGGTGCTGCTTTCTTGTCTTTGCTAACAGAAGACGCAAAACAACCCTCATCGCGGGATCCAACCTCCTGAGCCTTTTGCTTGCATGCCAGACTAACTTCGCCCGCCAGGTCTTTTCGAACAAATATACATGTACCCAAAACCGCTGAACATCTAAAGAAACATTCTGACTGGCTTGAAGACTTCGACCAATTTTGAACATCCAACAGCCTATTAAGAAGAAATAGAGGGCAATAGACTCACGATGTGGAGAGGTAGGAGCCGAGGTAGAAGTAGAGGCCCTCGTAGGACTTGAACTCCTCAAAGAGGCCCATGCACGAGTCGAGGCCGAGCTGCTCGGTGTACTCCTTGGCGACCTGGACCACGATCTGCAGGTTCTGGCGCATGTTCACCAGCAGCAGCTCCTTCATGCAGTCAAGCGCCCACTCGCGGGACAGCGTGCCGAAGAACTCGACCAGGCTCTGCGGCTCGATCGCGTGCGTGTTGATGATCACGCGCTTGATGTCGGGCAGGTCCGTGTAGTGCTGCAGCGCGCGCGTGTACAGCCCCGCCTTCTCGCACAACTGCGCGACGCGCGGGCGGTCGTAGTGGCTGAACATGCCGTTCGCCAAAATCGCGTCCGCGACATTGGGGAACGTCACCAGGTTGATCTCCAGCACCTTGGTCTGCAGCTGGCCCTGCTCCGGGAGGTTCGGCTTGAGCACCTCGAGCAGGAACGACGTCGCCTCGCGGATCATGTTGCGCTGGAGGAACAGGTCGGTGATCGTGTTGAAGTCGACGGGGCAGCCGCCCTCCATCTTGGCCATCATGAGCGCGAGGTTGCCCGCGCCCGCGGGGTTGGTGCGCAGTAGCGTCTGCAGCAGGTAGAGGTAGTCGGGCGTGTAGCCGACTTGCTGGGAGTAGGCGATGATCTTGTCGAACTCGTTGCGCTCCGCGAAGATGGCCACGACCTTGGGCGTCGCCTTGGCCTTGATGTATACCTTGAGGGCCAGGTCCCCATCCACCGTCTGCACATAACGAGAGGGGAAGTATCAGTTCCAGCCCTCACGTTGACAGAGCCCACATGCGGAAATCCACTTTTGTCCAATCATGTTCTGCTGGCCAACCAATTGGACATGCGTGAGCTGCCAGCAGCAAAAGCAGACATTCCGCTCCCATGCCAGGATGTCCCTAATCGGGCAGTACAGTTACCGCATACACGCGGATCCGCGACTACTCAGTCAGTCACCCACAGCTGTCAATACAGATACTGCAGATGCAAAAATCATCGTTTCTGCTTGACCAGTGCGCACCTTGACGAGGTCCCCGAGCTCCTCGCTGCACTCGAGCTTGTCCTCGGCCAGCCAGTTCTCAAGGAGGTTCTTCTTGTTCTGGTTGACCACCAGGCGCGACAGCTCCAGGGACTCGAACACGTTCAGCTTGCCCTTGGTCAGCAGCGTGCCGAAGTACTGCAGCAGCGGCGACGTCTGGCCGGGCTGCACCGGCACACTCTGCACGAACAAAAAAAGTGGGTCTTATGAGAAAAGCATCAGGATCTGTGCCCATCAAAACGGGTGCCCCTTTCTGCCCGATCGTACTCAGCAAGTGTAGGTCTCGCCATAGGTCGGCAAAAATCTGAGGCCAGGTCTTGCAGGTTTGCGGTACTTTGAACGTGAATTCAAAACGAGGGCTAATGAAGGGCAGAGAGGTGAGTAGACATGCATTGCAGCTCCTTTACTGGATAAGGAATACCAGCCCATACTGACCTGGAACTTGGCCACAGTGTCGGGGGTGCGCAGAATCCCCTGCGGGGACTCGGCAGCCAGCTCTGCAGCCTCCTTGTACTTGAGCTGCTGGAACAACTCCTGGAAGCGCTGGATCACCTGCGAAAGACATGTGGACAAGCATAAGGGGCAGCTGAAGGATGGTCACAGCGACAGCCCAAATGCCTGCTGACTGCGCTGCAAGCAAGGGTGGGATAGCCCTCTTTGCCCCGCACAAGCCAGCAATATTAGGTGCAGTTATTACTTAAGCTGGAAGCAACCGACGACTCTCCTGTTGTAATCTTTTCTCGCACAACCATGAGCAGCTGATTGTGCAAGGTGGCACCCACTCTGCCCAAAGGGGATGATACTTACCAGGTTCTCCGCTCCAGGTAGGTTGCCACGCTTGGCCAAGTTCACAGCCAGCTCAAGATTGTTCAGCTGCAAAAATAAGAGACAATCAGTAAGTTTCCAACGTTGTACTGACGCGGGCAGCTGCCAACCAAGCTCTACAAGCTCCAGAGACAGGGGCAATGAAACCCAGTAACTTCTGCCAGCCAATCACTGGACCGGACGTAACAACAATCGTCCTACCCACTGACCTGTCCACTGACGAAAGGCACCAGCGTTTGCTCATTGACGGTGGCCAGCAGGACCTGCCCCCTCCGGTTCACGGCATAGAATCCACCGATCGCGCCGGCATCCGCAGTCAGGAAGATGGGGTCCGGGCTGATCCTGTTCCTGTAGACTGCTGTGCCGGTGTCCAGATCGTACACAAAGAGCAGCCCCAGCTTGGTGATCACATAGATCAGGCTGTACTTCGCAGAGATCTGTACGCATAAAAGCCGCAGGTCAGAAACAGGCAAGCAAGCACTCCTTTCTTGATGAAAGGAGCGTTTCCAATCCGTGCACAACTTTCTTGCCAAGCAGCCAGGAGAATGCCGAATCATGAGCAGACATTGCTCTCCACTAGAGAGAGCCTGCTCTCGCTCTAGAAGAACCACCTTGAACATGGGCTGACATTACCAAGAAGGCATCCCATAAGATCGAATATCTGCCCACCTGCATCGCGACTGGGAAATCATCCGCAAAGTCGGGGGGGAAGAAAAGGTCGGCCTGCTTCTTGGTGAAAGGAATCTTGCCTGCATCAGTGACACGTCATCATAGTGAGTGAACATGTCCACACAAAGATGATAGAAAGTTTGGCGCTTCTGGCTTTGTCAGGTTAGCTCGCTCAGCTCACTTCAAATGCTTGATGGATGCACTTTCAGAAGGAGAGATCACAAAACAAGCAAGCATCTTCGATTTCTGATGGGAGAACTTGGAATTGCGGAGGAGTGTATTACTCAAAATGATCGCCGCCAGCGAACAGTGCCCACCTGGCTGTGCTCCAAGCTCAATGATATGCAGCTTGGAGGTGACGGTTCCAGCCGCAATTGTCTTTGTAGCAAACGAGATAAGGGTGGAGTCCACGTCGTTTCCAGGAACCTGCAGACCATTGGTGCAACATTGAGCCCAGCTGCCAGGAATCCTGAAAACACGTGTAGCTCACAACAGAAATGCAGCTGAAAGGCAGACCCACACCTGCAGTACTGCGGGAGGTTTGGGGCAAACTCACCCGGAAAGTTGCAAACGAAGCTGCGTGAGCCTCAAGAGCCTGGCTGCGCTGCTGCTCCACGGAGTACAGTTGCATGTTTCCTTTCACCAGTTGAGGACGCTGCAGCAAAATGTCCCACGATCATTCCCCCAACCATTCTGGAGTATGAGTACATGAAGTATCCACTCCTGACGGATCTGCTCAACATGCCGATTTTCTAGACGAAGATTGCACAAAGAAACACCCACAAGAAGGCAGGTGTGCTCTCCGATTGCACTTGCTGAGCTTGCACAATAGTTCATGATGCAACGCAACAGTTGTCAAACGCCACTTTCCGAAAACCTGACAACATCGGCAGCTGCAAGACAGTATCAGCATATGGCAGCAGGTGCACCCAGTGCTTCAAACCCTAGTGGTGAGTAGGACGAAAGGACTCTACCTCTGGGGCGCCCGGAGCAATCCCAATCAACACCAGCCACTTCTCAGATGGGTCACACCGGTAGTTGATGATCTGATTGCCATTCAGATTCGCAGTCCTCTCAAACTGCTTGACGGGCTCAGAGGTGCCTACACACAGCACCGAATCCTACTCAACCTTGACGCCCTGAAGTAATACCTTCGTTGCATTGACCATACGTTGACTCTGTAGCAATGCACAATACCTTTCTTGAATGCATTTTGCCACCATGTTGATTCTTTCACCAATTTCAAGATGACATTATTGCAATTGAAGTGCACCCACTCAATCCACACTATATTGGCAAGCACATCTAAATGAGGTATGGACTACTAATTGAGCAAAATTGGTGGCCAATCTCACCATCAATTGACCAATGGTACACTGAGGTGCTTGTGACCAGTCCAAGAGTCTTGGGAGTAATCCACTTCCAGAAGAGGACCTGCACGTATTGAGTTCCAGTCAACCGCAGCATCCTACCAATTCGTGAACCAAATGACGAATTCCCACAAATCCGCTCTCACAACGCAGGATAATATTGCATTAGCAAAATGCTCAAGTACTTGGTGCAGTGCCCCTTTGACTGCATCGAATCCAATTTTCTGTACACTCCCAACTTGTGTGCTCACAACGCATTCCAAAGAAGCCAGGCAAGATAATCACCTGCTCAGGCATCTGGTATGACTTGATCTTCTGCTTTGCCTCAATGTTGAAGATCTGCAGGTGATCCTGAGTCGTTCCCTGGATTTGAGCTGTAGAAAGCGAGAGGGATGGCTCATCAGGCAATTGCAAGCTGCTAAGGGGGGCGCAGCAAAGCACAGGATGCATTCTCAAACTGCCTCCAGCGTTTGTCAGCTTTTACCTGAGCATGATAGAAGAGATTTCTTGAAAATATATCCGTATAAATGCAGTCCTGCTGCTCTAAGCAACTACAGGAATTCAAGCACGCATTGATCGCATACCTTTGAGCGCCAGGACTCTGCTAGCAGGATTCATCAGCGCAGAATCAGCGGTGATAGGCCTGCGCAGCGGCTGGCTGGGCATGCTCATGTCAATGATCACCACGCTGTTGCTGGGGGCTGTCTCCCTGACACAGATATACTTCTCCGACTCCATGGTCACGTGCGTAAATGTGATAAATTGTTGGTTGACACCGAGGCCCGTCAACTGCAATGGCAAGTGTTACACAGGTCGTCAAAGCCTGTGACAAGATCAACTCCGTACGAATCATGCTATCAAAATCCATGCACAAATCGATGAAGACAAACCCCTAGTCAGCAGGCTTATGAAGCGAACACCAGCCAGATCTTGCTTGCGAGCAATCAGAGCAGGGACTTACAGACAGGGCCTCTTTTGTCAGGATCGGCGCATTTGCAGCAGCCATCTTTCTTGACCTGCCAAGTCAAGAAACTAGATCTACCAATGTGTTTCTGATCAGAGCAGGGCCTGCCTCATCACCCAAACCCTTTGAGCGGGTGTAAGCCAAGCTACCTAAGAAGCACAAGAACCTAAAGTTCCGCTGTTCTCCTGGTTCTTATCCACCCTGAATTCAGGAACGGTGTGCGCCAACCAAAATCCTACTGCTAGGATGCGCCTGCTGTGCAAGCAACCCGCTGTTGACAAAGCGCCTTCCGTTCGTGACCAGCACGAGAAAAGCTTCCCGAACTCCCTGCTTGCAACGGTTGCAGAAGACAGGTCAGCTCAGAGTTGACCGTTTCGGCCCTTGTGTTCTCGAGATCATTGGAGACCGATTTCTAAACCACGGAATGGACAAAAAGAATCGAATTTCCATTCTAGTGTCTTCTATCTGTGCACTTATACGTATACGGGTATTAGGTCATTTTGTAGTGCACCCCCTATGTTCAGTCCAGATATCGCCCCTCGAGACCCGAACGGCCAAGCCCCCCCCCCCTCCCACAGTCTTCCACCCAGGGATAAGCGGAGCCCCCCTCCCCTCCGGCTGTATGAACATGTGTATTTTGCACTTAATTTGCCCCTGTAAACGGCATGTAATTAGACCGATATCATGCGAGATATTCCGAGCCTGCGGCTCGTTTATGGCAGAAACCCCGAGCCTCCCCCCCCCTCCCGCCGCCCTCAGGATTCCAAACCCCCAAGACCCACCCTCTGAACTGAACATAGGGGGTCAACTTCAAAATGACCTTACCCTACAGTAGTAACGCAGATTAGAATCGGCATGACGGTTGCTCTAAACCCAACAGAACGCGTCTCTCTTGACAATGGTTGAATGTGGCCGCCTGCGCCTGTCCTTCCCTACACTGTCAACAGGCTACTTTGGGACTGCATTTATGAGCAAACTTGCAGGACGTCCCAAGCACGCCCCATGGTCGCATTGCATTTTCTCTAGCATTTCCAAGATCTCACATATGATGCAGTGCAACTACTATTTAGGACTGACCTGCATATCGTGGCGGCTCGACAGGGCTGTCAGGGAGTGATGCAAGAAGAGGCCAGCACGCGGCAATAAGCACTTGACCAATGAGCTCCTCCGCATTTCGAATACCTTAGTGTTGTGCTCCGGCCCAGCTGAGCACGATTACAGAGATTTCTCGGCCTTCTACTGATCAGAACCTATACAATTGTGGCACTGGTGGCTGCCGTGTTGACAAGATGGCGCGGGGCAAGCAGAAGATTGAGTCGCAGAAGAAGAATGCAGAGAAGAACGCTCCAGCAAAAGGGTCTCAGTTGAAGGCCCAAGTGAGCCACGACAGTGTTCTGACCGACGTACATATTCGTCCTCCTGAGCGCGTGGCTTCTTTGTCGAATGATCAGGCTGGAGTGCTCTTTGAATTCAATTGCCTCAGTGGCCCCACAGTCAAATTTATTGCAGATACTCCTTTGCACATTCCCCGCCTATGTTGAAATCCAATGATATGGAACTCAAGGATTCAAGGAACCAGTGGTCATGAGTCACAGAAACTGGTCAGATAAGGAACTCACAGCAGAACACAGTCGGGTGGGAGGACTTTGAATGAGCTTCCACTAACAACTTTGTTTCCTTCTCTTTCTAGGCGGAGGCTTTGAAAGTCCAGTGTCCAATATGCAAGGTGAGTACAGCAACGACAAGCTGGTTACCAACAATACAAGCCTCAAGCCTCAATGTGTGTCTGGATTGTCCTACCGCCTGATGTTTCTCAGTGATTTAGGGCTTACTGTCCTTCTGATGTGCGTGTTTTTCACCTGATTGGACAGGTCAAGGTGCCCCCAGACCTGATGAATGGATCTGAGGCTTATCATGGGCTTACTATCTTACTCAAACACATCTTCTTGACCTGATATGACATTCATTTTTGCAGGCTCCATTTACAAGCTACAAAAACCTGGTCGTCCATTATGAATCCAAGCATCCAAAGGAAACTCCACCACCTGCCCCTTGAGGTCCAATTTATGCATTGTAGGATCTGATTCACATTATTTTTCATTAAGCAGTCGTGTCCGGCCACCTAGAATCATGAGAGTATGTCATTTGGATGGAAGGGCCCTCAACGACTAGGTATGAAAGAAGCTAGTCATCCAAGTTAGATCCCGAAGAGAGCGCTAAGTGATCACAGGTGCAGCTGTAATGTTGACCGTACTCTTCTCTCTTCATGGTTCATGGCTGTTGAGACTTTGAATTCCCCTGACATAATTATACGTAGAACAGGTAGCTGCAGGCAATCTGCTCATGGCATGGCAAACCGGTGTCCTAGGTCGCTGACATGCAATTCCGGCTTTAGTCTGCCACCCGGCGCTCCATCAATCATGTATACTATACAACTGCGGCCCTACCCATGCGGGCAAATTAGTCCTAGGCCGCTGCGCGCCCAGCCTGACGGCCGCGCCCTGTATTAAATGACTGCTTTATAATTAGGCCCGGTTGCATGCAACCATCATTGCAAGGACTTGAGAGCTGAGGTCTTGAGTCTTTGCAAAGACAGGGTCTACAAGATACCAACATATATAATAACTGAATATCGTGGCGGAAGCGCGCCAGATTAAAAGTTCACATACTAACGGAGTCAGTTTCAAAATTTCTCGTGAGTTCATTAGATCAACCGCTCAACTGTACTATAGCCATTCGACAATTGCACATGCAGCACATTTCAAGAAGCGCGATATGTTGCTCAACATCAGAATCATTTGCAACCGGCCTCCCACTGAGAATAACAATGCGTTGGTGCTCCTCTTAATGGGCGTTTTGAAAGCGCTGATCTGCTTCGCCTTGAATTCTCAGAAGGTAATTTCAGCCGCGATCCGCCTTGTGCCTTGAGACCCTGTGGAACACAAACAATCCGCGAGGCTGTGTGAGCAGGTTGGTGTAAGAGCCAGTCAATTTCTCGAGATAGCACGTGGTCGTGAGACCATCAGGTTGGCAATGGTTGCTGCGGGAAGGTCTTATCGAAAAAAGAGCGGCATGACATCGTCGAGGCCCAAAATTGGAATTCGCACCTGACCGCCTGCTTGCCGGAGCACCGCGCTCTGCAGAGCAATCTCCCAACAGCGCGGCATGTCAAGCTGCCACGTCCTTGCCCAGGGTCCTCGCCGCTAATCGTCGAACCACTTTCTCCAGCTGCAGCGCACCAAACGCAACCCGTTCCGTTTAGAGACACCCGAATTCAGTTTTGAATCAAGTTTCAGTACCTCGTACAACTCAGAAACGGCTAAAGAGGGTTGGAAAGTACGAGAGGGCTTCGTCGAGCTTAACAAGCTGCCCCTTGTGACACGTTAGAGCCATCGAAGCTGGGTTCAATGCAAGCGTTGAACCAAGCATGTAAGAGGAGCAGAGAAGCCCTACCAGCTTTTGTAATCTTGATCTCTTCTCACCTCAGCCTGGAAGCGCTCGGCCTCCGCCAGCTGTTTGTCCCGTTCTCGCAGCTGTGCTCGCAGGTCCTCTTCCATGCGCCGCCATGTTTCTTCCCTTTGTCGGTCGAGATCTGCACACGACGGCCACGCTGAGATACAGTCACCGTTGGGGAAGACTGACAACCTGTTTTCTGGAATTGAACCGAATGTACGAAGAATTAATAAAGTCACAGTCGACAATGCCCACATTCAACATCCGGGTAGGCCGATGTTGTCGACGAACTTCGCGAACAACACGTCACGTGATCTCCTACCGCCAAGTCAATTGAAAAGCAACACCTGAAGAATTCTCGAGCAACAAAAGAGCACGCTGTCTACGTTTCGGGTCGGAGCAGTAACAGACCCCCGAGCTTTAAGAAACTGCTGGATTGACACGATTTCAAACATCATCAGAACAGATTTGCAATGCTGCAAACGGGCCGGTGCTCACCTTCGGAGCTGGCCCGGTGGCGGCCCTCCTGGACTGACGTGTCCATCCGGGCGACGCTCGCTAGCATTCGCTCCCGGTGAAGGGCCGCCTCCAGCTCCGCTATCCGCGTTTCGAGTTTCAACTGCAAGCAACGAACTAGAGCTTGTCGGGCACTTTCGCGCACTTCGCGAGGAGAAGGGTACTTGCAGAAGTGCTGGAATGTTTCAGTTTCAAGGATCAAAGAAGCTGAGGGTGAGCCTGATTGCTCATCGACAAGCAGCGAGGCAGCAAAAGATGGACACTTGCATCAGGTCTCTTCTAGAATGTTCCGGCTTTCTATGCTTCTCAAATACGACTTAACGCCCCGGAGCAGACCGACTTAGGTTTGGCATAAGGCGAGTTTGAGGCCGCACCTTGGCTTCTTGCATCTGGAGTCGGTGCTTCTTTTCTAGCGAGTGCAGCTTCCGCCGGACGTCGGACGCGTGCGCCCCTTTCTGCTTTGCAAGCTCGGCCGCCAGGTCTGTGGTTCGGAGACAGAGACTTTTCGCTTGACTTTCGCAAGAGCTCTGCGCGGTCAAGGACAGACTAGCACAGGATGCGAGGGGCAATCTGGTTAATAGGTCCACAACATCACGTCATCGAACCTTGTGGCTTTGAGCATTTGCCTGACAAGAAATTTACCTTGTTTACAAATTTTGCTTGCTATAAAGTGCGCAGATCTCTCGATTACCCCTTCGAAAAGATAGTGCCTAAGACCTGCCGGAGCCACTCGGTCAAAACTGGTCGGCGGTTGAGGTACTATCACTCTGCAGATGCCATAGTCTCAATAGGCACGCTGCTCCAACCCTTGCAACCAAATCGAGCGCACTGAAACTATGCCACACAAGGCCGCTCGAAGACTTCCCTCTGCTGACCCAGCTACGTACGCGGCCGCCATTTCGACGAGAAAGTTTGAACTTCCGCCATTCAGGCACCTCGTGCTGACGTCATATCAGAGGCGGAGTTCCCAAATACTCCAAGAGTGGGACTGCTGCGCCGCGCGTACCTTCCGCTTCCTGGCGGCTCTGTCGCAGCTCCGCCCGCAGGCCGTCCACCATGTCGGTCAGGTCGGAGTCGGTGGCCCACCTGAGAAAGCGACGAACAATCAGTGTGAGTGCAAGAATAGGCCTTTGCGGACATCCGATAAACGGTCGGCTTCAGGTTGCGAGCGGGCTAGGAGCCCCTGGGTGTCTAAAGCGGTTCAACGGTTGCAAAGGTGTCCTCAGGAATGGGAACAAAAAAAGATTGGCTTACTTCATTGAGTCTGATTGCGCAACGAAGAAGGACCGATAGTCGTTCCTTTGCGAATGAGACCCTCGGACGCCCAATATCTAAGTCTTGGCTTTGACAATACGAAACCAGCTGGCTCGAGCTCTGGAGGACTTTTTATAGAACAGCAGTGCTTCAAAACAGGTCGCCGACGGCTGAGTAGTGCTCGACGACGTAAGAAGGAAAGACGATGGCTCTCTCACTCGGAGCATAACCTACTTGCGGCGAAACCGGCGTCGCACAAGGATAGTCGATGAACGAGAGCAGCCAAGATCAGGATGAAAATCCGGAGCCAGCATCACAGCAGAATTCTCTTCTACTTGTCTCAAAAGCCCGTTGTTGTGATTGCAGGGGTGACCTGCCCGCTGCTGACCTTTTCGCAGCGCTGAGCTCCTCCCGCACTGCGGCTAGCTTCTCTTCCAACGACACGGCCGCCCGCTTCAGCTTATTGCAGTGCTGGTCAAGCTCCGTGTTAACGGTGCGCAGCCTGCGGGAAGCGAGAGTAAGCGGACCAGAGTGACTAGAGCGTGTCATATCGAGATCGACACAGCAATACTCAGTGCTTCTTGACCGCTGGGATTAAAGAGCCCCATCTGTTTCGCAAGCTGCAAAAACAAAAGATCTGCTGAAAATGGCCATCAGAGCGGAAAGACTTGCTCGAGATCCGGAACGTCAGTGTTCACGGTTCTCAACCCCATACAACAGCTTGCCGATCGAGAATCCTGTATTCCGAACCGTCGACTGACACGAACGCCCATGCCTGAAAGGGCACCGACTGTCGGGAAATCCCCCTGGCCTCACCTGCCGACCTCCGCTTGCAGCTGCTGCTTGTCTGCGCCCGCCTGCTCCAGTGCAGCCAGCTTCAGCTTCAGCTCGGCCTGCAGCCGCTTGTTCTTCTCGCGGTGCCGCTGCACGGACGCCTCCTTGGACGCCACCCCTTGCTACAGGACGTCCGAAACGAGTCAGCAAGACAGCGCGGTGCTAGCCGTCCCAGGCGACCAAACCACCTGTCCGTGACAAAGGCACAACTAGTTGAGGACGAAGCACGAGGGACAGGAAGGCCTAGAAGCGGCGGAAAGAAACGCACAGGACGTACGATGGACACGTTAGACGAGGTTAAAGAGTGCTCCACATGTCAAATGCCTGTATTGCTGGCGACTTAAGAGTTTTGACACCGACGGCGTTCGACTCGGATGCTTTTCAGTGAATAGTTCTGCAGAGTTATCCGTGCGTCGAATCGAATCAAATGGCTTCGATTTGACTACGCGACAATGCGAGAACGTCATCCGAGCCATGCCGGCAGGGAATCACCGGCATGCGCAAATCGGCCGCAAAATCACAAAAAGATGATGCTTTTTTGGGATGCAGCGTTGTTCTGCCAGAGACGTGAACATGGTCGGATACAGACAGTAGCCAGAAGCTCAAGGCAATACAGATCAGGTCCTACCTGAAGCTCCACCATCTGAGACTGCAACTCCTCAACACGGCTTTGGATCTCTCTCGCCATTAGTTCCTGTAAGAAGCGTTTGCAATAGGAAAAAGAACGTTTGCTTCTGCCAAAATAAGGTCGTTTCAATTCCCGAGGCTTAGGAAATGACGGGCCGAGATGTGCAGAGCAATCATTGGGGCACGCCTGTCAATAGCCGTCGAGCCTCCGAGTACAGGGCATCGGCTTCCAGGAAGCAAAGCCCATCCACAGAGATCTCATTCATTCTGTGTAGCAATCTCAGTGGACCGATGGTCGGCCTTGTTCAAAGTTGGTCTTAGAGAAAGTAAGGTCGGATCCATGGACGAGCCTACTCGACAACCAGCTATCCAGCAAGAGGTGCGCCTTGAAGGTGCACCAGTTGGTTGGCTCACCTTGGCTTGGCTGGCCTGCAGCGTGACGTCCTGCTGCCCCATGAGGTCCTTCCTCAGCTTCTCCGTCATCCGCTCCGCCGCCTCCAGGCTGCTCCGGAGCTGGCGGTTTTCCTTATCCAGCGCCTCGAGCTGCTTCTGCTGCCTGCGCAAGACGTGATCTCGGAACGTCAGACACTTGAGCCACTCTGCTGCAACTTCTCATAAGGTTCCAAAAGACATACCCGTCGAGGTAATCAACAAGTTTTGAAGCTTCGGAGATTCAATACGGCAGACATCAAGAAGGTAAAGTCAGACAGTAGCATGTAGTGGCGTCTTTTGGAAAAGCCAGCCAGTTCCTTCTAAACAAGAAGAGAGAGGTTGTAACTGGTGCTAGCCCCGGGTTGTGATTGCAGTGCAGCAGTCGCAACTCCACAGGAACACGCACAGACAAGGCCGATCGGCTTTCGTCTTACCTCGTGAGGGCATGCTCAATCCCCTGCTGCTGCTCGCTTGCGACTGCAAGATCTTCTCGGTTCGTTTGGTGCTGGGAGCGCAGCGCCTTGATTTCAGAGACGTCCTGTACACATACAACGCCATTCTTGAGTTGGGGGCCAAGTGTTCAAGACGAAAAGATGCCCCTCACTCTCATAGCTCAGAGGAGCGGGCCGGATCGGACAATACAGAAAGGGATCACTAATGCAACAACCTTATGTTTGTTGGATTTGCCAGACACTTCCCGACCAAGTTCCATGATCTTGCTGATCAAACGATAGATGACTAATAAAAGACAGTGACGGTATTGAGCAGGTCAGAGTCCTGTCTCACATTATGTTGACTTCGACCGGAAAACTGTGTATCCCCTGAATCGAGAGTTTCTATGGATTATGGAGCGAGCACCTCACCTTCTGTCGCTGCTTCTGATGTGCATCATTCTCCTCTTTCAAGTCGTCCACCATGCCTTCGAGCTCTGAGATCTTGTGCGCCTGTGTGAGAACACACAAGAGACTTGAACGTCACACCATGAAACAAATGCAGATAAAGCAACAGATGAAGATAATCTAGTCAGTTTGACTTAAGTGGACATTATCTTCCACTGCCAATCTCAGCAAAGTCTGTTCTTTAACTCATCGCGTTCTACTTCCAAGCGTAGCCTCGTTGGGGGAACATATAGAGCTGTGCTCAGGCACTGTGCTATCTCCACCGTTCTGACCAACTCAGAAGAGCATTGGCAGAAAGATGGAGGCAAAAGATGAGGATAGCTCAGCAATCAGGGAGTTGCCCCACACGGTGCTTTGGTCCGTCCAACCTACCTGCAGTCCTTGGGCATCCTGCAGCTGCTTCTTAGCCTCCCTCAAGTTGCCATCCATTCTCTCCAGCGCCTTCTCCTTTGCTCGCAGCGCCTCTTGCAGCTGGTCGATTGCTCTGTCCTTTGAGGCCACTGCTTCCTCCCAGTTGGTGCGGGCCTCCGCACTCCGCTCCAGGAGATGCATGTGGCTCTCACGCAGCTCGACCAGCTCCAACTCCTGGAGTGCCAGAATTTTGTAGGCTTGCTCAGGTTTTTGTACCCAGGAAGAGAGCGGGCTGCCCCTTGAGTATGTACAAAGAAGTGGACACAGACTGATAGTTTCCTTCATCGTTAGCTAGGGGAGGAAGGTGAGGCACGCATAGATTTGCTAGCCTTCTGCTAAGCGTACCCTGCAAGTTTGAGAGTAAAATTTAAACTGCCAAACCTTGTAGAGGTGGGGCACAACGCACCACTAGCCATGCCCTTAGGTCTGCTGGAAATATACCACGTGAGGGCGACACCAGATGGTTTGAATGCCAGCTTATGCCCCTGTCCAGCATGACAGCGACAAGGGCATGCTGATAGTTGCTGCGGTCAATCTCTCACCTTCTCATTGACTGCACTCCTCAGCTTGAGCAGTTCATCGGTGTACACGGTGTCTGCATCCTCCTCATCCTCACTGAGCGCCCCTCTAACCCGGGCCGCCAGGTCATTGAGAGGGGAAGCCATGGGACTCTTCTCTGGGGGCCAGTGACTATCCCATGCCTCACTGCAAATCAAGGAGAGATCTGTTAGAATAGTTAGAAAAGTGGTTATTGGCTGCAAACTTATCGCCCCCATCACGCATATCTCATTGCCCCCAAACCCTAATTCTGAAACTGGCATCCTTTCATTGCTTGGTTTCCTGCAACAAAAGGGATGATGCAAAGCCAAATGCAACCGGAGCAATGCACTGTCCAACAGTCCGTCGAAGCAAAGAAGTCATAGGCTGCATTCTCGCCTTCTCTCATCTGAATGTGCCACAGAATCGTCCTTCAGCAACCCAGGGTGGCCCCTTCCTGCAAAATCGTCCATGATGCACAACCCCGGGACCAACCAGCTCACGTCAAACGCCCATTGCTTGTGCCAGCATGCGGACCCAGCTCCCCTGAAGTTGAAATTGAATGCGGATCACTATATAAATTATAATTATCTAGTGGAGCAATTGTGGCGCTGCATTTCTCTCACTGACATCAGGAGCTCAGGTGAAACAAGAGCTACGGTACCTACATTATATTTCTAGGCGCAATTTCTTAGAAAACTTGACACTAATTGTACCTTCTTTGGACGGTTTAAGATTCAAATTCTCAGTCTAAGGGCTGGCTCTGTCCTGAGGCTGACCCGGCCCTGGCGCCTAGAGCCGGCGGCAGAGTGACTTGGTATTTAGTGTCAAATCGGCCGCTTTTCTTTTGCAGCAGTCTGAACCTGCCCCCCAGCCTAGCCAGCACACCAGGCCCAGGGCCAGGGCACGAAGTCAGCTATGCTTTGAAACATGTACCGTATTATGCATCTTCTCTCTCTCTGCCCAGCCGCCACTGCCAGCAACCTTGAATGCAAGCTCATCAACCGTGATGGGACGACTGGCCTGCTGGTGATGCTCTCAACAAGGTGGCGAAGTATTGGGGGAGGAGAAGATCTAAGTAGTCCAACTGACTGCATTAACAATGAGGAAGCGCGACCTTGGCATCCTCCTACTGGCTGCTTTTGCAATTCTCGTCTGCCTTCAGGTATGCGCCCCTTGCTCGAAGTTTAGCTGGCGGTTCCACTTTCAATGAATTGTTGTACTATGCAATCGCGATTGTGTCTGAGTCTCTTCAGAAGGCCCTCAACTGTTCGATTGTAGAAGTCACTGCTTGCTGGACTCGGCTGCAATAAAAGCTCTGAATGCTGACCACCTTTTCTCACAGCATCAGAAACAAGCAGTCAACTCAATCCCCATTTGCCGCAGAATGAAGGCCAATTCTCGTTTCAAGAGGAGTGGTCACATGACAGCCAGCCCGCGGGCATGCTTGCTCTCGAGGGTGACCCGCTCCCGCCGCCAGTGGTGGCAGACCTCAACGGCGATGGGCGCAGCGAGGTGGTCATTGTGACCCATGATTCAAAGCTTATGGTGAGCACTGCGCGTTGCTGAATAAACACAGCGTTTGCTCGGAGTTCCCATAGGCTGTCTGCCATCTGCGCTTCTGCCCTGAGCTTTTGAGTGAGTTTGTGGCATCGACCAGCAAGCTGATAATTTGGAAAGCTGGATCAATCAGGAAAGTAAATCGAATCCTGATGGTTCTTATGGATCCTGCGAGTTCTTTCACGGCCCCTCATCAGGTCGTTGCAGGGTCTCCTTCATCGCAGCGCCACCTTCTCTCAAAGAAGCTCTACCGTCAGCTTCAGATCTATTTAATTTTGCCACAGGTATTGGACCCCGGGCGCAGGAGCAAGGCCGGCCTCTTCAAGCAGACGGTCGTTCGAGCACAGACCTCCCTCCTTCCGTCCAGAGTCCGTGTAGCAACAGGGCGCACTCCAGTGGCTCTGGCCGCAGGCAGCCTAGACGGCCCCAGAAACAGTCCCCGGGAGGGCGCCAGAAAGCAGGTCATAGTGGTGGTCACCGCGGGGTGGTCGATCCTGTGCTTTGACCACAACCTCAAGCTGCTGTGGGAAAACAACGTCCAGGTGAGCTGTCGGGGAAATTGGATGCGGTAGGGAGTGCTCAGAGAAGAGCGGAATCCAGGCGCGGAGTCGTTCTGGAGGGGAACGTTCTGCGGACACCACACGCCTGACTGACTGGACTATGCCAGGACTTAGAGTGCTTCAATCGAACCCGTCTTTAGAACCCGTAATAATTGCGTATGCTTTCATACATAGCTCTCGGAAACATTGTTCGTTCGTGATACTTTCAACCCGAGGGGATCTTCCAGAAACTTCATTGACAGTCTGGATTCCCCCCTTTCCATAATCCACCCCAGCACTTGAAAAACGAGAACAAACACAATTCAAGAGCACCTGGTCTTCAGGAGGATTTCCCCCATGGTGCGCACCACCGCGAGGTGGCCATTCACATTGGCAACCACACCCTGCGCTCGGGGGACCGGGGTTCCGTCATTGTGGGGGGCAGCATGGAGGTTGCCCCACAGCTGGCGGACCCCCTGGCGGCGGAGCTGTCAGCAGAGGAGGCGGCCGCCAAGCTGAGGAGATCAGCTGACAAGAAAGCGGTACGTCCTCGAGCTGACGAGAAGGCGGTGCATAAACTGTCTATGTACGAAGACAGTACTCAGTACTTATGTAGACGCTAGTTTGCGACGCAAGAGACTGGCCAGATCGCACACCTGTTCAAGTCGACTTCGAGCAACTTTTTAGAAGGCTTGATGCACAGGTAGTGCATCCGTGGCATTCCTGTCGTTCCTGGTTTAGCGAAGGCATGCATCTCTTCGAGACACCACTCTTGGTGTCTCAAAAACTCACGCTGTCTTTTTACAAACAGTTGCCGTTTCGTTTGATCGAATTGCCAAGCAGCAAGTACGAAGAGAACGCTCAGTACGACCTGTGCCCCATGATTTTGTCATCTGTCCTGCTTTGAACTACTAGTGCATCGTCCTTGACATTGAAAAGTTCAACATGCACCATTACCAAAGCTGCATAGAGTGTTGAAATCATGAGACTAAGACTCTTGAGCTTGAATGGAGAATCGAAAACGCCGCCGCATCTCTCCACAGAACTTGGAGGACGTCACTGGCGGTGCGGCTGGCACCAAGGAGCGCCACTTCTCGTACTACGCGTACTCGGGCGGCGACGGCGCGCTGCGGTGGAAGCACGACAGCAAGGACTTCCGGCGCGACGGCAGCGCGCTGAGCGAGCAATTGCTGCCGCAGCACAACTACAAACTAGACGCGAGTGCGCTGGGGGCGCGCCACTTTGGGGAGGCCGAGTGCCGCGAGTTCCGGGAGGCGGTGCTGGACGTGATGCCGCACCGATGGGTGAGCAGTGTCGATTATTTTTGTTGTCCGTTTCTCTGCCTAATTAGATTCGCTTTTTCATACACCTGCCCTCTGATCATTTCCTTACCCAAGAAAGTTGTTGTTTCTGAATGTCCAGTTATATTTGCGGAAGTGAAGGCTCGAGAATGCATCTTGCCAAGTGGACAATAGTAGATAGAGCAATCAAAGCAAAGCTGGTCGCCTTCGGGCATGTCCAAGGAAGGCCCTGCCGATCACGATCAAAGGACGAGGATCCGAGACAAGGATAATGACCAAGTTGTCCCGAGTTAGTTTTCAGGCTTATTTCATCGCTCAAGGAGCGAGCAAAAGAGGTGTGGTCGGTTTACGAGGTGGTCCTCCGAGGCTTGTCTGTCAGGCCACAGGCAGGGGACACCAACCTGTCAATTGTCTTCCCTGTCTTCAGCAAGCTCAACTTTCGACGATTGCTGGGAGCGCTCTGCATCTTGTACGAGCTTCCATTCTTGAGTAGACAGGAAGCGTTAATCCTTCATATCCTGTCAGAAACATACACCATGGTCCTCACGTACGACGTCAACAATCTGCAGGACCGGCGCAGTGACACGCACTTTGAGCTGGCCCACTTTGAGAAGCACCGGCGGCGAACCCCGCCGGGCGGCAAGGCAACCCCCGGCCCTCACTCGTCCCACAAAGGAGCTCACGGCAAGGATCACAGCAACCCGGTAACGCGCGCGCTGGGGAAAGCCGCGGAGCTGGCCACCAAGCCGCGGGCAGCCAAGGTGAGCAAGCTCAACTGGGCTACCGTGAGAAGATGAAAACAGCGAAAAAAGCACAGGAAGCAACGGGTTCGAGGTGGTGATTCGGGTCAGATATGAGAAAGCGAAAGGTACCCTCTCTTCAAGCGTCGCATATTCTTCCCGGTAGGAAGTATTGAAGAAGAACTTGAAACGGACTGTCCCGAAACAATTGCTGCCTTGACGATCTGAGCCCCCCCCCTGCACAAGGCCGACCGCTGGCACTTCTGCGTGATGGCCAACGCCCTCGTAGTGCACCTTGCCGCCTCTGCTCCTTTTCACACAGTAACTTTTGTCTCCTAACACTTCTCCTTTTCGTATCTTGGGGGTAGCTGTTCCACGTTCTTTGAACCCCCTGCTCAGGTCAACAGCAGCCCCGCCGAAATAAGGCATTGAGGGCGCCCCTTGTCACAGTCCCTAGTTCCAGCTTTCACGGACTCCTGAAGCGAACAGTACTCAAGGACGTTCTTCCGTTTCCAGGCCAACAAGAGTCAGACTTGGACAGTATCTTTACCCTCTTGTCTTTACTCTTTCCGCCTCTGTGGTTATCCTGCCCCCCTTCTCGGAGGCCACTTTTCTCACCCCTTCCGGACCTGCCCCTTCCCGGCCAAAGAGCAGCCATGCGGGTGTGAAATCGCCCTGGTGCCTATGACAGTCTACACATACTGCTTTCCAGAGACTGCTTCCCCCCTTCTCGGGGGCCACTTTCTCACGCCTGTCTACCCCCCCTCCACAGGCCAACAGCAGCCACGCGGGCGTGACCAACGCGCTGGTGGCCCATTTGAAGGAGGGCATCGAGGCGATCCACCTGTACAGCGGGCGCACCATCTGCAAGCTGCTGCTGCCGCCGCACCAGCTGCATGCTGACGTCAATGGTGACGGGGTCCTGGACCACGTGCAGGCGTCGGGCGGGCACGGCCAGGAGACCGTCGTGGTCCCCGGGATGAACGAGCCCCTCAAGCCGTGCTGGGCTGTAGCAACCTCGGTGAGAGGGGACTGGAAACGGATGTGCCGAACTTGTATGCTTGGAAACCCACACGTGTTTAGTCACAGTCCACAGAGATTGATGTACTACTCTGATTGAAGCGCTGACTTTTCCATATTCCATACTGTGAGAATTGCTCTTGTCATGTCTTAATCAGCCCGCAAACCGAGTCAATACTCCAAAGTGTCCAGCCTGAGACGCTGTGTGGCAGCATACATGATCTGTTTACGCTGTTGTGAAAGCCGTCTGCTTGTGGAAGTCTTTATACTTCGCACGCAAGGTCCTCGTTCCTATCGCTGAAGCAGGTACTTAGTGTGTCCGGACCTCTCTATTGTCGGAAAGGTTCTTTATCTCATCGGCGTTTGGCCATGGCGGCTCGCAGGGCGTCCCCGTGCGCGAGCAGCTGTTCAACGGCACCATCTGCCGGCCCGCGTCCATGTTCAGTGAGACCAACTTCGCGAGTCGCCACTTTGGCCGGGCGCCGCACGACGACTTCGCCTCCCTCGAGGTAAGGCGGCGCGTTCCTTATGGTACAACTCTCAAATGCTATCAAGATCGTCAGCATGTTGACCCCTCGGTGTGTCGTTCGGCTCGGTACATCTTAGAAGTCAGCATGATGAAGCGACGGTAGGCGTGGGCATGTAAACCGCGGAAGCATGGTGCGGAAAGCTTCGCGGCCAATGGCATATGCTCTTCCATTTCCGTACCATGACGTTTCTCTCGTTGCGGAATGTCAGCCTCTTTTTCACATGCACAGTCTTGTGCTTCTGGGGCATTTCCCCCTCGCCCGCTTGCTTCGCTGCCTGCATCTTTCGAGCCTTTGTTGTACTTCGAGATCTGCTTTGTTCCGCTGACGTCACATGCCCCCTGCTGATGGTGCCAGGTGGCAACCCCTGTGCTCATGCCGATTCCCGACGGTCACCGCCACCGGCGCAACAGCCGCGGCGAGGCCATCTTCCTCAACAGCCGAGGGGAGGTACGTGTGGTCATTGTACCGCGGCTTCATTTCAAAAAGCTGTTCTGCTTTTTTAATCAACGAAAGGAACCTTTTTACTCACAGTCCTTGTGACAATTGAATCAGTGCTTTGCGGGATCTAGCCTCCCCTTGTTACCATCCGCACAGACGTTGATTAACCGCAACAAGCATCATCGAGCGCTTTTGTCTCCGCAGATGAGTACCTTTCAGCATACCACTTGCGAATGCCCTCGTATCTGCTTGCTTCGTAGCAAATTCTCTGCCCGCTCCTCCGGGTTGCATCGTCTCATGCATTTTGAGATTGCAAGTGGTTCTTAAACCGTCCTAGCTCTCGTAAGCCTCCCTGTTGCCAGCCTGTGCTACGTATATCTTTCGTAAGCGTTCCCGCTTCTCTTACCGTTCTGCTCAATCTCCTAGGTGACGGCGTACAACCCCGAGGCGCTGCACCACCGGCACGGCCAGCGGCGGTGGCAGGTCGCGTCCCCCGCCAGCTGGTCCAACCCGTTCACGCCAGCGGGCGTGCAGGCCGACCGCTCCGTCCCCACGCTCCTCGCCATGCCCCTGCGGTCGGGGGGATCCCCCGAGCTCATCCTCGCGGCCGGGGACAAGGACGCGGTGCTCATCTCCCCCACCGGGAGCCGGCTGGTGGAGTTTTCGCTGCCAGCGAAGCCAATCGCGCCGCTGTTGGTGGCGGACTTCAATAACGACGGGCTGAATGATTTGATACTGACGAGCTTCGAGGGGTATTACGGGTTTGCGCAGGTGCGGCAGCCCGGGGCGTTGATGTTTAGCACGCTAGTGGGGTGCCTGATCGTGGCGATTGCAGTCGTGTTTCTGTTGCAACACTTTAACCAGCCTAAGGGAGGCCGGCCTGTTCCTTCGAAACGGGCCACGGACTAAGAGTTTTATTAAGCCTATCTGCTCTTGAGCGCGCATACCAGCAAACAGCTGCACATGTGGATATTTCCAGACGGACTCGGTGCGGAATCGAACCGAGTAAAGTTCGACGCGGGTCAACAGGTGATGACGCGTTTAAGTAGGGGCCTGGCATGCCTGCAACGGCTCCAACCAGATGTCATTTGTTATCCACCACCCATGAGATGTCGGACCTGGATACATGACAGCCTTTCGTGACAAATCCATCTATTCAGTCGGAGCGTGACATGAATTTCGCCGCCAATCTGTCTAGGACATCTTCTGCATTATATGAGCATGGTGCTGAGAATGCAATTTGCCAGTTGGAGCTGGAGTCTGTTCGACAATAGCCATCGGTGCTAACCTGCCAGTGGCAGCCCGCCAATACCGTCGATACTAAATGCAGCTGGCAGCCTAGCTATACTATATAACCAAGACAGGCTCAGCCTAGATTGCGCAGCATTCGTGCAGGCTCATGCACCCATGGCGGCCGCGGCCAGCTGAATCAATCATGCATGGGTATATAGAGCTAGCGATCAGTGAAGCTGACGCCGCGGTCCATTGAACTCAATTCAATGATTTACCATGAGGCTGGTATTTTAAATATCTCCCCTCAAAGTTGAAATTACGTTGCAAGCTGCTAGCTGTCATGCCTAGTATTGGCATGGGCCGCGCTGGTATTTGGCGGCACCGGCCAGAGTGACACGAATTGTATGCCCAGACTCGGCGAAACTCCGCATGCACCTGACAGTTTTCGTCACTACATGTCGAATGCCAAGCTAGGTAGATCTGGCTAGAAGCCTTGGGAGAAGTACATTGGGCGGCCGTCTCACTGACTCAGGTGCATATGTAATGTACGCCTTCTCTCGGAAGCTCTGAACTGTGGAGCTCAATTCTTGCCGTACTATTGGTGACGCGTAACCAGATCTAATTTTGGCGGGCTGGGGACCTGCGGTCCGCCTGCTTGACTCGTTGTCGACTTTATCTCATATCAATCAATCAAGAACCTGATCAATGCGTGTCCTTGAGTTCAAAAAGGCTAGATTGCAATTGTTGCCGGAACATTGGAGCTTTCCTTCTCCAGATTTCGACCTGTTTCGTGACTTCACAAAAAAAATGGGACAAGTTCGATGAAGCTTCATTGAAGCTTGCTACAACAAGCGCTGTAGAGGACTCTTTGACCATTGTTCTCCCCAGCTCTTGGTGGCAGGTGTTGTAAGGAAGCTAAACGCCATATATCGTGCCCCCACCCTTTTTTACCCCCCGTTCGAGTTGATTCCTATCACTTCCGGCCCCGGCCCTTCTTGGAGGGCGGAGCTTGTTGTACATCAGGCATGACAACGTCTTCCGGAGCGGGTGCTGCAAAGACGTACATATGACATATTGGTACACACGATTTGTTGAAAAGAGTTGGTCAGATCAGCATGACAGCAAATAGTACGTCAACAAGCTGAGGTCTCGAGCTTCACCTTGCTGGAAGCGAAGCACTGCAGCCAATCTACTTGTGTCGCAACCAGAAAGGACTGAAAGCAGAGATGAACGGCTCTCAGAAGGTGAATGCATTTGGTTTGCAGACTTCAAACATGACGCTGATAGCACTTCTATGCAACGTCTCAGAGAAGCCACGGACAAACGGGTCACATTGATGTTCCCGCCAACACGCCATCTCCCCTCCCAAAACCCCCCTGAGGCAAGCAAGGGGCTGTATCTTGTCGTGTAAGAGGTCCTTGAAGCAGAGAAGTCAAGATTGTCATGAAATATTTCTGACCAAGGTGTTCTTAAGGGAACAGTGTTGCCTCACCGTTTTCGCCCTTTGTCATCAAAGTAAAGAAGAGCGTGTTCAGCTTCTCCATCTTTTTCGCGTCCTGCGCCTGATCTGTCTTGAACTTCAAGCACTGCGAAACAAAGAAAAAGTTAACCCCCTCAAACTAAATCAATGAAAAGACATAAAGACACTCCAAGCCGTCAACAGACCGGAAGGGGCCACCAAACATAGAGAGACCAAATAATCAACAAATTAACAGATTAACGAATCGACAAATGAGTTCATAATCATGCATTGCAAAGGCGCCAAATCGAGACAGTCAGTCGACACAAAGGATTGCCTGTGCCAAGAAGCAGAGTGATCCTTGTTGCTCACCACTTTGTCATCGGTCACTTTGAGCACAAGTAACCCCTCCCGGTGCCGGTACTTTACGCAGTATCGCGTCTGGAAAAATGAGGAAGTCAATCAAGAATAAGTGGCCTCTTTCTGGGATTTTTCAGACGTTCATGAGCCACAAGGGATCTCTTGTTGGAAACAGCAAGGGACAACATTCCTTGAGTTCAGCAACCCCAAATCCGCCAACTTGAAGTACGCACTCGAGCAATGATGAGGACTAACACGCCATACTTAAAATGAATGGGGCTCTTCTTTGTCCAGCGCCACCCCCAATGAATGCAGACTTTTCTCAACATTCTAAAAAAAAATCAAAAGCTAGGGTGGTGCGCACCCTCAAGGGCTCTGCCCGGAAGAGCATCTCCGCTTTCTCCGCAAACTCGTCCCATGACTCTATGTACACCATCTGAATAGGAACCCAATCTTGGCGCCTGTGGCTTGCAGAAGTTGGAGAAAAATATGGCCGGTCACTGTGCCATGTGCAAGCGTTGTGACCAGAACAGTCAGGCACTTAGGTTGAAACTTGAGTGCTTGGCCTTCCCCTCATGCCTGCGCTCCAGGCGGTGCGTGCTTGCAATGCTATCACAAACGACGGGTCCTACTCAAACATAAGCTTCCAAGTTCTCATCCGATTCAGTAATTGCACAACAAAGTGCCTGCTGATGCCTGCACTGATAGGTCTGCCTTGCGCCTTGGAAAATGGCGGCCCTGATTGATATCAATGATAATAATCCTTGACCTTGATTTGTGAAATTGTGCTTGGGCAACGGGCTCTAGCCTCTGCTGCTGCGCCTCAGCTTGCTTGCAGCTGGCCAAGCCCAGGGCCAAGCAACTATAGCGGGCGGAATTTTCAGAGCTGAAACCAATAGCGAGCGGGAATGAACGGATCGGACGGAGCCTGAGCCGCTGTGGTAATGATTAGATTCAACTCAGGCTGGTCTCTGGCAGGATCAACCTAGTTGAGACCCGGCCGCGGGTCGGCGAATCCTTGGGCGGCGGCCCGCGCATGCAGGGCGGCTCCGAAGTGACTCCAGGGGTCGATGGCACAAACGGTGCATGGGGCCTCCGCCTCGAAGACGGCCATGATTAGAAGTCACCCCAAGGTCCACGTACGGAGAAATTCGTTCTGAATTACCAAGTCATCGAACTGCGATTGGCTTATGGTTAGTTGGCTCAATGAGCCGATGAGCTCTGATTGGGCTCTGATTCAGCGCCATATGACATAAATTCTTAGCAGAATAGCATGTTCCAATCACAAGCGCTCTGAAATTGCGGATTCGAGTTTCTCTTTCATGAAATGACTCAAGTCTCCTGGTTAGCAATGGCATCCCAGTCTTCCTGGGAAGTCCTTGCGGCGTTGAGGAAGCTCCGTGACAGCGGCCGGGGCACCCTTCTTCCAGGCAAGATGAGCCACTTCAGTTATCGATTTCATGACCTTTCTGGAGGTTCGACTGCTCCCTCCCATGTTCTCCCTGGTCTCCAAAAGGGTGCTTGGTGGGCAGCTTCTCCTTTTGGCTCAATCTCAACTGACGCCTCCTGATCTTATCCATTTACGAAGCGAGAGACAGAGCCTCCCCACTGGAAGCAGTGGTGAAGACTCCTGGTTGCAATTTGTAAGTGTCCAGACTAGAGGAACTTCGTGGACTGGCCGAGAGACTCCCAGAAAGGCAAATTAAATTAGATAAGGCCAGATTATAAGGCTCTTGAGCTGACGAACGGGTGCATGCGCCGCGGAAGAACGTACGGCTCAGCGCCCACGTGGGCGGATACTAGTTGCGGCGATCCGAAAGAGACAGACTTGTTCCCGATCAAAATGACGAGAAGTGCAAGCTGACTCAGTAGTCATGCTCGTGAAGCTCTCGGCCTGCAATGCTTACGGGGTGTCTGGGCTGTGCCTTCGTTCCGCAGGAACTTCAGCACTTGAGTCTTGAGTCTCTCAGTTTGAAGTACAGGGTTCTGTAGGACTGTGCAAGGTGAAAAGCGGAGCTTCTCATTGACGAATCGGCTCTCGTGAATCGAATGCAGGTGGCGTCGACTCAAAACGAGCATCCGAGAAGCTTTCAGAGAAGCGCCCAAGTCAACGATAAGAGCAGCAGCAGCTTTTTTACACCCGCACTAGAATCATGGCGCGCGCACTTCTCGCTGTCTCGGGCCTCTCGCGCCCGCTCTCAGTTTCTTGCGGGGGATATGAGCTCATTCCCCCGGGACCGAAAGAGGTGTTCAAGAGCGAGGGGGGATCCCTCCGACAGTGGGGCCCCTCTACAGCTGTGGAGAAGTGGGCGCGGGTGGGAGTAAAGGAACTGATTCTGGAGCCCGGGGGAATGTTGCTGCCCCAGTATTCGAACGCACAGTCGCTGGGATACGTGCTGGAAGGTGAGAGGGACGTCACTGGCTTCTTTAGGCAATCTCGTGCGCGGAAGAGGAGGCTACGTCGGAATGAACTCTTTTGGGGCTCCAAATCTGTTCCTCTGAGCAACCAAGGTATTCATGCGAAGACTGCGACAATCTCTAGCTCAATCACTTCGGTCAGCTCGAGGGTTGTCAAAGAGCAAATGCCCGAATGTGCATTGCAAGACAGTAGTATGGCGGTCGCCGAGGTGTGACGTAAAGTCAATATGGAGCAATGGATTTGCTCAGAGGACCTCTTCCTCTTCTTCTATTCAGCCTCTTGTAGTCCCAAATGACTCAACTGTTCTGTTGGCACTTGCGTCGAAGCTTTGCAACCGCAAACTCATTACGAGAACATCACTCGCAGGCCTTAGTTAATGTTTCGTAAATTGCACTTTCTAGTCGAGCCCACTCCAAAGTTCATCTCTTAATATACTGCGCAAGCGCATGATCTTCAACATCTCGTTACGGATCATTCAAGCCGTGGGAGATGGGTTAGATTCCTAAAAGTTCAAGCATTAACCCGTTCTCTGCCTCCAGGGTCTGCGAGAGCGGAGCTGATCGACCCCGTCGTGCCTACTAGCCTGCGCCGGCTGAAGCAGGGTGACGTGGTCGTCCTCCCAGAGGGCCACGTCTTTGGCCTGCACAACGACGGCAGCGAAATATTCAAGATCTTGGGCGTGGACCGCGGCACGGAGCGCGCGTGTGGCCTGGACAGTCCTACGGTAGGGTCTCCTCTCAGACTTCTTTCTGGTTGAGGAGCGTCAAAAGAATCGTACTCTTCAAGGACGGAGAAGGCGAAAAGTGGCACGGCAACGCTGTTTGATCTTGTAGTGAGGCGGCAGGATATATTAAGGGGTTTAGTAACGAGTAATGGTGGCTTTTTACTATGCAGATGTCAGATTCGCGTCCGATTTGCGTCAGGAAGTGGCACCATGCATTCCTTAAGTCGAGTTCGAGAGACCGCAGAAGTTGACAAACCGGTTCTTGAAGTTAGTGACTACGCATCCCACTATTTCCATAACTAAACTAGAACTAAAAGGCTCCGTTTCTCCCGGATAAGTTCCGCTGCATCTTGTTTTGAAGCAAGCTTGCCTTGGGTGTTACCGAGATTGGTTATGTTAATCAAAGGATTGGTTGTTTCTATTCCGCTCACGAAGGTCCAGCCTTTGAAGTGAGTCGGTCCAGCCTTTGAAGTGAGTCTCATAGTATCTTCTATCCGCCAAACCGTGCTGTCTGGCTGCGCAGAACTTCACGCTTTTCGGCAACCGCGACGACAAGTCCGGCGGCGCTTCCATCCTCAACGGCTTCTCGAAAGACGTCCTCGCGGCCGCGTTCAACGTCGACGAGCCGACGGTCGAACAGCTGCTGCCGTCAGAGAAAGGCGCGTCCATCATCAAGCTCGATAAGAAGAAGCGCGGGCGCGGGCGCGCGCACGGGCCCACGCGCGCGGCTGTCGACTGGCCTCTCGGGGACATGCGCTTCAACCTGGAGGAGACGCCGCCGGATATCGTAAACAAGGGCGGGTCATACAAAGCTGTGACCGTATCTAGGCTGCCGTCTCTCGAGAAGGTCGACATTAGCGCCGCATATGCGACGCTGAAGCCGGTAAGGAACCACGCGCCGCCCTGTCCGCAATTTAAAATGTGGGTTTCTTTCTGCCACGGAGGAGGAATCGCAAAAAGCTCCTTTCTCCTACAAAGTTAAATGCAATTGGAGAATCCGGTCACGTTGTAACAGCCGTGAAAAACTGCAATGGAACTTCAACATAGTTATGCGCTCACAGAATCATTGTTGCAACTCCAGATCGAGCAGTTGGTACAGAATCAGGAAACGCGTTCCACGTCTCAGAAGTTGGCATACTATTTTGCATTGCCGCTGCTCTCGTGTCCCGAGTGGTGCAAATAGTGAAAGAATCGCGTCGGCTTTTTCTATCTCAGTGCCCACTTTTACCAACAGAATTGCACCCCATGCCAATGCACACTCTTCAGCATTCAGAAGACCTCCGATTCCTCTCGGAGCTTCGTTTCAAATTTACACTTCGCTTCGCAGATCGCGCTCGGCTTTGAACTTCAACCACTGCCCACTCCAAGCACTCACGCTTTCTTTGAGCTCTGGAAACATGTAGACTTCACCCTTCCATGTAGGACGCAATCTTCGCCCCGAGCCGGTACTTTCCCGCGCACCGCGTCACTTACTTCACCCGGGGCAAAGGGCGTATTCAGGTCGCGGCGCCCGGTGGAACGAATGCGCTAGACCAGGAAGTTTCTGCCGGGCAGCTGGTGGTCATCCCCAAGAACTTCCCGTTCATCACAATGGCCGCCCGAGACTCGCCGCTCGAGTGGGTGGACTTATACATGGCCTGCTCTTCTCTGTGCTTCTGCTTCGTGGCCGGGAATGATTCGGTGTACAAGGCACTCCCCTTCGACTGGTTGGTGACGGGTGAGGCCGAACTCTGTTCCTTTCTTGAATACTGAGGTTGGGAGAGGTTCTTATATTGATGGACGGAGTTGAAGAGTGTCAAGCGAAGTTGAGATTGAGTCTACAGCTTGGCGTGCGAAGTTTAGCTGAGGTTCATTTCCTTGCGAGGTGCTCTTTAATTGGCGAAGACGAGCGGAGCCAATCTCCTGGTCGTTGCAAAAAGACAGCAGATTGCTCCGCAAAGTTTTCTGGGTTCCACGAGTGTCCCTGTCACCTTCTCAGGCTTCAACGCGGACCCTGAGATCGAGAAGGTGGTCTTGCGCGCGCGTACCGACGACGCCTTCATCTCGACCCGTCCCCCAAAGAAAGCTGTCGTCAGCAGCGGCCCGACAAGAGCGGCGAAAAGCACGCGGCCGCATCTTCTGACGGAGCATTTGAAGACTTCCTCCGCTAGATATCTGGTGGGCCGTTGGGACGCGCCGGAAGGGAACATGTAGGGCGATCTCGTCCGTCGCCGGTGCTTTTTCAGGGTCTCAGGAGAATGCAGATTCGATGGGTACATTAATAGTCACAATCTAAGAGGCGCGTACCTATGCAAAGCAAACGGCAGAAACTGTCGGAACGGTCGGGCAACTTGTGAAGCGAGAAGAGAGTGGCAGAGAGAAATTAACATCAGCCTTTGACGACGCGTTTCATATTGAGAACCCATGCGATTCATTTCCGGCTGCAACCAAATGGAAAATTGTTTCATAGCCCTGCCTTGAAATTCTTGATTCCAAAGCTCCGAATATACGGCGATGCAGTACTCTTTCTATGGCAGCCCAAAAGGTATGCTAAACTTCGTTGTATGCTACCGCGCACCCCATCACATGCGTCGGACAACCACAAGCAAACAGTCTGGATTCTCCGATATTGCAATTATCCACCCGCATTGAAAAGAAAGCAGGTTCTCCTAACCTTTTCAATTGGTTCCATATAATTATGAAGTCAAAGAACGCATGCTACTCGAATTCAACAACGGCGTCTTGCAGTGCAGTGAGGTGGCTTTGCGAATGTTATGCTCGGCATGGACAGCATGGTTTCCACTAAAACATTACTGCCACGGAGTCACATGCAAGGAGGGATTAAGGACTCCGTCATGGCATGTCAGAGACGCTGAGTCCATATGCTCAGATCTATAAGGAGAAAGTCATCTCCTGCATGCGGGGTTTGTAATTTGCTCACTTTTGCATAGGGCAAGTAAAGTCGCGCACATGTTGGCCGAGGCCTTGCTAATTGAAATATAGGACAATCACGATTTGATTAATTCTGAGGGCAGATCGAACCTCCATGTATTTCTTCACACACCAAGCTTTTCCTTTCACGTGCGACGAGATGGATCCTTGACTTCGCAGCTGCACTCTACAAAGTGGCAAACTCTCTACATAATCTCTATTATACATACGTACATACGCCGCGACGCTGTCCTTTATACTATGTACTAGTAAATACGAAACACAACAAGCAGGCTCATACCCTGCGCGTGGACCATTGCTGGGATCCAAGCGGAACTCAACCGTCGGCTCAAGACGGTTTCTACTTGAGCTTCCTGTTGTTCCCCCCGTACTGGAACAGGCTGAGGAGCCCCGGGATCTCGAGGTCGAGCCAGTAGTACGGGGCTTGATCTGCAGGGGAAAACATCAGCGAGTTAGTACGACGATGCTGGTAAGCGGACCAGCTTGACGGAGGTTTTTAGCAAGCCGTTCGAGGATACCATCAGGAACGGTACTTGAAGGTGTCAGCATGCTGAGTACGATCAACGGAAATGTCACGAATTGATTGCTCGAAAGCAAATTACTTTCATCGATCCGCATTAGGTCGCTCGAACACGCTCAAACATGTACGTTGCCGTTGCAAAGAACGACTTGACTCTTGTCGGACCTATGCACGACAACAGAGGGATAGATTTTGAGTTTCAGTAAAAGCCGAAAAGTGGTGGAGGCGCGCTTACCAGAGCCAGGGTTGCAAGCCGGGAAGTTGACGCCTTGCCAGTTCCTCCCCCGTTGGATGTTCGGATCCATGCAGCCGCGCAGGCAGGTGGTCTGCACGTCCAAAGCAGAGTCAGTACACAGAAATTGAAAGTTTAGCTGCTCGCACTGTCAAATTGTTACCCAGCATGACTATACTGTGGTTTGCCGTTGGAACACTCTGATGATATCTTAAGTCGTTTGATAGTTGCATAACAATTCACTCATCTACATAAGAGCGGAGGATTAAAACACAGTCGAGTGTTCGGCTCGGAGTATGAAACATGTCTTGGTGGCCTGTTGAGAGGCGCATCCCCACGGCACATTTCCTGCTCGAGCTCCTGACGCAGGACGAGTCCTTTCAAATGCAAGTCATCTTTCTACATCCAATCCCTCCTACGTAAACGCTTAGGACGTTCTTCCGCTCTCGTTTTCTGGTTGCTTCCGGAAGAACGATAAAGCAGTAACCACAACAAAGCTTTACCCGTCCTCGAAATGCTGAAGAGCATTCAAGCATCCGTAATATTCAACGAGAGGAAACGGAGACAGTCGACTCACTAGGTAGGGGAAGTTGCTGGTGGTATGGTAGTGGTAGTACGGGTGCGTCGTGTCCTTGTGCCCCTGGCAATCGTCCAGGTTTTTCGGCAGCTGGCCCCAATCCCCCTGTACAAAAACCAAGAAGCAACTGAGCAATCTGTCCTTGATGACGTGTGAAATGAAGCATGTGCACTCGGAACGGCTTGTAGATAAGCCCCGCAAGGGGTTGAAATTGACACCCAGGCTTCAGCCACTGGCACCTCCTAGTCAACGTCCAAAGCGACCTCAAAACGCGCAACGGAAATTGCACGACAGACCGTCGAAGTGCAGATCAGAGCACCTTTGACGTGCGATCTGCATGCAATTGCGCACGTTTGGTTGAGGAACGGCGTGAGGTTCAAGGAATCTACTGCCTCCGCCTCTGTCAACCATCAAGCGTTCATTAGCGAAAGAAAGTTACTTGGGAAGTCGTCCTCACCCTGGGTCCGTAGATTGGGACGCCATCAGCCATGACCCCGAACAGAGGAGAGTGCCACCATCTCCTGTCCGGCTGCATCCAAAAGTTGAGCTGGTCGCAGACATCAAAATCGAGGTTGCGGGAATCTCGGTGGCGGGTCGCCGCGCCATCTCCCGGGGTGGAGTGGTAGTGATACTGGTCGGGGCCGGGGGCCACGTGGCCGCCGCAGGAATCAAACGTGGCCCCCTCGAACACCAGCGCGTCGCGCCCCATGATGTCGAAAGGGCTGCAAGTGGGGAATGGTGATTGTTCGTCAGCAAATGGGTCAAGGAACGAGTGCAATTGGTGAGGGAAGCTTTCCTACGAGGTTGAAGCACCTGAATGTTTTAGCACAGCCGTGGCTATTCTCCTGGAATGTCCAGAGGAAGGACCTAAACTGAGATCAGAAATCTGGTTGGTAACCAGGGATGTACACTGAGTGCGTGATAATGTGGTAACAAGAAGGAAGGAAAGGGTGTGCACACAATGAGTAGTATAAGCTAGTATGTCTCCAGTTTAAAGGGTTCATTTTCTGCCTGAAGTGTGGGAATCTGGAAGGTGGACTCATAGTAAGGAGCACTTAGACGTGCCTCAACTGAACAGTCTGTCTTGATGCAAACCGAATCTTCATCACGGTCCAAGGGACACTATTTGAGAACTTTTTGTGCTCAGTGAACCTGTTTCTAAGGCTCACCAACCAACTCAGCTTTTTCCATTCGTTGCTTGAGAACACACTTCTGCCACCTCACCTGAAGAGGGGAGGTCCGAAGAGCGTCTGGCCCACAGGCCCTTTGACGGTTTCCAGTCGCAGAGCGTCACCAATGTCTGCCTGGATTCGAGGGCGTCGGGGGATGTTGAAACTGATCTGACTTTGTTTAGCGTGGGCAAACTCAGCGGTGCCATTGGGTCCAGGTGGGCCAGGGCTCTTTGAGCCATTCCAGTCATAAGGGGGGCAGCCGTTGCTGAAGATAGTTCTGCACCAAGAGGAATGCATGTGAATCTTTGAACTCCTGATGCAAAGTTCACGAAGTGCGATCGCAGGATACAGAGGCATCTCTCATGTGCATGAGAACCAAGAGTCTGCCGCTGCAAACCAGTGGTCAGCCTACTCTTCTCGAAGCTGCACATCTTTTGTTCTGTCATTCTTTACATCAACTGCTTACGAGCAAGTGAAAGTTTAGTTGCCACCTCACCTCAAGGTATCAGTTACACTGTAGGTCACTACCGCAGCACCACGGTCGGTGCCGCAATCAGGGTTGTTGTTGGGGGGAAAGGTAGGGCAGCCAGGAGCACCGGCTACATGAGTAGAGGAAAGAAAATGTTTTACTGAAACTTCTTTTGGAACTTAAGGTAACATTGCCGAGAGTTCCTCAGGACACAAAAATGCATAAACTTTCTGCATGTACAAGGTAATAGTGCTGCTTTCTTGGCATATCATGTCGGCTAACTCCACAGGTTGGCAGGGCACATAAAGTGAGCTTTGACCACTCAAGTTGCAAGAGATTATAAGCGGAAAAAGGGAAGCTGCAATTGCATAGGAAACCAATTTATATATGGAACAGGCGTTTCGCATAACCTTGGAAGGAGACTTGAAAGCTTACGTGGACATTGCGCCATTGCTCCAATGCTCAGAAATAATATGGTGGTAAAGACAGTGGCCAAAAGACGGAGCACCCGAGGGAGAGCCATCACTCCTGGAACACAAAAATTGAAAGAGGGTGATGAGGGAAGCTCGACAGCCGAACACACATTAGATGTTGCCTAGACACTGGACTTGAATCAAGTGCCCTCACTAAGGGCGCCGTGCCTCTTCTCTGTAGATTAAGTACAACCACCACCTGTATAACCACCAGTAATCAAGCCACTCTGCCAATGGTTTCTGATCACTACTTGGTTTCTGAAGTATATTCAAGTCAGAGTCTGACATGTGTAATCAGGTCGAAAGGGCCTTCAAACTCAAGCCTGCAGTGGCAAGTCAGGTTTTGGCAGTGGAAGAATACCCTCTACAATGCTATTTTCTTCTGCAACGAGCCACTAATTTAAACTGTCTACAAAGCACCGCACAGAGGCAGTGTATGCAAAGACAAATGATGTGCGCACAAAGGGTCAATTGCAGATTAAGCCACAGACTGCAAAAGGAGTGAAGCACATGCAGAGAATCTTTTCATCAAGTCTGAAGAACGGCCACATCACTGACCTGTGACAGCAAGAAGCGCGGTGGCAGGAATGTTGACCTGCCCCCTTATGTTGTACTTTGCTGGTCTGAGGGCTTTTCTTCACAAGGATGCAGGCAGAGCTGTGCAGGCACCTTGAACGATAGCGAATGGCGCCGTGCACTAATGAGTGAGGGCTGGAGCTCAAAATTGTTGGACCTTGGAAAACTGGAATTTGGAAATGAGCTACAATTGCATCTCCAAAGGCAAGTAACCTTGTGCGAGGACACGATACCGGTATAACCTTCAGACGCCAAGTGGCCACTACCACTTCGGCTTTGGCCGAGCTCCAATCAGTACTACCGAGCTAGAAATCTTATGCGGAAGCAGTGTGCTTGTTCCTATGCTCAAGTGCGAGAGGAGTTTGCGTGACAGAAAACGGGCACACTGTGTACAACCCAGCTCCAGCAAGCTCTGATTTTGGACTACGGCAGGTACGTCCTTGACCATACGCGGTACCTACCTAGATTCACTGTAAATATACAGTACATACCGTATACGATGTACCTACACTCCCGACAAGCTACAGACTACAGTAGACGAAGCTCTAAACCTGGCATGCGACTCGCGAGATTGAGTCCTTCAACCACCTGACCTCAGCAATAACGGTATGAGTATAACTGCCCGTGAAGCACGGAAAGCAGTTGATCGCCGTTGGATACTGATCTGACGGCTCACAAGGAAACAATTGGAAGGTCAGGATGAGCTTTGACGTCGGCACTTGTCCACCGACGGATGACCGAGTCCGGCGGGCAAGGTCCGTAAATTAGGCTTGATTGCGCCTTCAGCCTTCAGGCTTATGCACATGACCGTGACGTGAGCACCAGACACCGTAAGATATACGAATCGGACGGCCTGTGATTCAAATCTAGACTCAGTTTTCAAATTACACATACCTAGATGCAGATTTGCTTAATCATTGTCGGATGGCATTCAAAATTATAGAGCTCGGGTTATGCTCTTGATAGCTATACTTTGCTCCTTCATGTTCCGACCGTCGCATGGCGATCTTAGTAGCATCGAAACGATGTCGGAACTATTCCGGCCAAAAGCTTGCTAGGGTTTATAGTATATAATTTGGATAATTGAGGTTATGTCACTATGTCCTTACGGTCACTAGGTTATACTTGAATTCGAGTACCGTACGGTAGAATCCTTTACGATGACCGTCCTAGTAGTCACTCCCCCTGCCACCGAGACGGTTCTGGATGCGAGCCGGCTGCCTGGGTATGTCTTGCCTGACTGAGGGAAGCAGGACATTGAAAGCGCGTAGATTTGAACATGCAATGGGCGGCATCATATGCTAGACATCGATACAGATTGTAATGAGATTCATAGGCAAGTCTACCGTCTGAAGTAAGAAGATGACAATCAACCACCGCATGCGCTATATTGTAACATAACATGCTTATAGATCCTGTAGCTTTGTAGCAACAAATCTGCTGTATTAGCATCCCGTTGAAGGCGACACTGGCTATCCAGCAAGGCAGAAGCCTTCGTGCAGCGGCACACAGACGACTTGACACGGTCATGGACCCTTGCTTATACTCCAACCCCGTTCAGCCATCATTTCAACAATCTTCCTTGAAGAGTCGGCGGTATCTGTCAGGGGGGGATAACTCCAAGAGGAACGCATCTGCAATATAACACGGCAAGAGTCTGAGTCTAACTCTTTGGTCGGCGATTTGAAGAGGACGGGTGAACACCTATGCATTACTCTCGACCTTCATAGAATTATGGCGCTTATTTCGTGACTTGCACGAGTCTGAATACCAAAACAGACGAGCACATTGTCACGGACTATTATAGAGGGTCTGCACGATGCGCTTCCGCTCTTAGACCCCATGTGATGTACACAGAGGATTCCAAACTTCCAGACGGCCCACCACCCGTCTCGAGCTTCTCTCGACGACAGCTTCAAGCGAGACACAACGCAGCGCAAGCACCCAACGCTTCAACAATGTACTGTACGTCCCCAGATGATGCAATCACAATCAATAAGCGCCCTTCCGCCACAACTATACAATTGCACTGGATCCAGCTTTCGATAACCACAACGGATTTTTTAGAAGCCAATTGACGAGCTCTCACCGCTGCAAAGTCCCCCAACCCCTGCACGCGAAGCTGCTTACCCGAAAACCGCAAAACGCCTCAAAATACCGATCCGTATCCGTCTGCCCTTTGCTTGCCACCACTAAAATGTCTTGTGCAAAAAGCAGCTGTCTTGGAAAAACGTACATGCCGACGAGAAGCACAATGTAAAAGAGCCCCAGAAAACTCACGTCTTCCGTGCCCGTGAAGGGCCGCGTCGCGCCCCGCGCCTGCAGCGTGCGGTGGAAGGCGGCAATCTTACCGCGGCAGCGGCTGCCCCCCACGACGTACACGGGCTTCCCCGTGCTGCAGGCCTCGCTCAGCATGCTCACCGAGTCCGCTGTCACGATGAACGTGTCCGCCCAAGCCAGGTGGCCCAGGTGCGGGTTGTCTCCTGATTAAAGACGAGAATTTACTCTGCTAAGATTTACAAGAATTGTTTTTGAAGCAGCCTGATGGGTGTGCGGCTACCAGAGGGAACAATACAGAGTCGTGACCCATGAGGTGATGCCCCTGCGGTGTGAGATTCTGCAAAAGATTTTGACGGTCGGTTGTCGACCGGAGTCGATGAGGCGCCGGCCGGCCTTCGAGAGGCAGCCCTAAAGATGCGAGGGCAATCATCCTATTATCAGGTAATGTTTGGGCGGCAGGGCAGGGTCAGAACGTTCTGAGAAGAAGCTACTCAGAGAGGTCGATATGGTCATAGCCGCTGGCGAGAAGCACACCGCAGAAAAGACTGAGCGCGTAACTACCACACACCGTTCAACCCAAGCTTCTTTGGGGCTTTTCAACCAAAGAAGCAGACAACCGAAAGCCAGCATCTGAACTTCTAGAACTTTAAAAATGGTTATGCTTATCTGGCAGATTTCGGTCGACTGAATCTAAACCTAACAGATTGCCACTCCTCGACGGCCTTGATCGTGTCAAAAGATTGGAGACGCACCATTTCAAAATCGACTCTTCATGTGACCTCTTTTGAAGACCCTCGAACGTCCTTTGCAACCCTTAACTCTTTTGCCCTAACCTCACCCGTCCCAGATCTTGATCCGGCTCTCCCTGCTCCTCTCGCCTGAGAACCCTAGATATCCACTAAATCCAAACCCTCAGAAAACCTCACCTCGCCCGTCCCAGATCTTCACCCGGCTCTCCCCAGCCAGCTCCTGCCGGACGTGCCGCGCTATGTGCGCAGGCGTCCGTCGCGACATCGTCATCCGTACGCACCCCCCGTTCGCTGCCAGCATCGTCCGAAGCCCCGTCACGAGCTCCGCCGCCAAGTCGAGTCCGTACGGACAGTGCCGGGTCGGCCCGCCTATGCTGACGGCGACTATGGGGGCGGGGAGAGAGGAGAAAACGTCGTGCCAACGCGCGGTTTCCATGCGCAGCACGGCGGTGTCGACAGTGTGGAGGGCGCCGACTGTTAGGACCTGCGTCAATAAAGGGTGGGAGTCACGTACTATGCTGGTACTTTTGTCAGACTTGATTGCGGCTGTGATGTCTGTGTCGCCCGGTGTATGCGGGCCGCCGCTGCGCTTCGCAAGCGGTCGAACATTGTGGAATGTTCGACCATGCAAGCACGTGGTGCTGAAGGAGACGACATGATGCTTTTGCGGGCCCTACACGTGAGATGTTACCATTCTCGTCAACTGTGGCCGCCAGACCAGATCCCTCATTGATCTCACACAGGGTAGCGCTAGAATCGGAGACTTCAAGAGCGCCACATAGAGTAACGTGCGGGGTGTAGCAACAAGTCACCCTTCACAACCAAGCCTGTACGTATAAAATCAGAGTTGCTTGAAATATTCACGGCTGGCTGAGCGAGCTTCAAGCCCCTCGTTGTCAACCTCCTACCAGTCATACTTGGGTTACTCGACTGCCGTTCGTGTCAGGAACGGCACACCCACCCGGCAGTCACCCCAGGAGGAACCCTTTCATGAGACTAAGGAACTCGCCTTTTGAACCATACCTCGAAGGGACGATGCAAGCAGCGTTTTCACTCCCTCACCATGTTTTTAGAAGGGGGGTTTAGCTGGGGCAATAGTAATTGCTGCAGCCCAACCGGCAGCTTGGGTATGAGCTGCTGGTGCTTGCCCAAAAAAGGCAGGGCCGCCCGCCTTTCGGCTTGGCCCACGGGAGTGGTCGGATAGAAGTCGTGGGCAGGAGTGATAACTAGATCGAACTGGGAGACGTCCGCTCGGGGGTGCTGAATCTACGCACGGAGAGAGACGAGCTGGGTATAAGGCCGAGGAATGATTCTGGCGACATCAAGAAAAAGATCACTTGAATCCGACGTTTGAAAAGCGTGGTACGGAAGACATATACGGAAGACAGTTGGCGCTGCTATGACTGTAAGTACTGTGATGTCGAGGGCAAACAAACTTCCTCCGTATCATACTTTTGCCAAAACGATTGACGTTCTGACAGTGGATACCAAGTAACAAACAACGAGAATCTGCAACGTTGCAGCACCTTATCATAACTAAAGCAGGACAGTTGGTGCTGGAGGAGGTTGAAGACCAGGCAATGGGACGGAGTACTCAGCTCGAGTTCTAATCATTGAGGACGAAGCTCTGAGTCCCGACTTACAGTTGCTTGACAGCCTGGCGAACAGAATACGCGTCTCTTCGACTCTTGCGCGAAGAAGAAATGTTGACTTCGATGTACTGACCAACTTTGTGTCCAGAAAATCATGATTCTAAAAGGCACGCATCGACTTGACAGGAATGCCAAGATATTGTCCCCACCTGTACAACGAAGGTGGTCGAAGGCGCCTGTCGTTTGACTTCGGCCGCCAGCATCCACGTGTCGCGCCCCGACGCAACAACAAGAAGTGGGCCCTCTCTGCAGTAGACAACGAGGGCCGGTGAGTTGGGCTCCAGACTTCGAGCTTCGGGCACTTCAGTCCCTTGTTCTGCGGAACGCCTGGCCAGATCGACCTTAGGCTTAGCTGGACAAGTTTTGGCCGCTCGCTCCTCCCCAGCATATCAACAGGCGTCAGGAAAGGAAACTAGGATGGCATGAACCTCCTCTCAAACGTGGTGATTACACTGTTCGAAAGCTGGCGGCAGTGTGTATACGCTGAAGATGCATAGACCAATTAACTACCAAATTGCTTCACCGGAGTCGTAAGCGATGGAAAAAGCGAAACCGATTCTCACCTGTTCAGCTGGCTGTTCGCTTCCCTGGCAATTGCTTCCGGGTCCGCATCGGGCACGTCTCGAGCAACCCCGATCCGCGCGCCCTCCTGCACCCCGTCGTTTCGCCCCTCACGCAGCCACGAACTGGGGACCACTTGAGTTGAGCGGTTCGCCAGATAAGCGAGCGTCCGGTGCAGGTTGTTGTGCCAAGCCAGGGGGAGCCATCGCAGATAGTGGTGGAGGCCGTCACGAGGGCGGTTTACTCGCTGGGGGACAAAGAAAGGGGGGCTGAGCTCGATATGAACAGAGGGATTGAACAAGAAGGTTTTGAACAGAGTTGGAGCTGCCAAACAGACCCTATCCAGTTTGCTTCCTTGAAATAGAACTGGTGGTGCTTATGTTTTCAAGCAAATAAGCAAAACAGGAACCCTCTGATTGCGCCCAGATCAAATTAACGAGGGGGTTCGGGACGAAGTTTCGAGCGATCTGATCTGTGGTTGTCCCGTCAGAAGGGGCAGGGGATCAAATAACTTTCATAACATGGCATCAAGAGTCAAACTGACCATCAATTGTGCAAAAAACGCAATCTAGTGAATTGACGCTGTCAACTCAAGCCTGGAAGAAAAAGAGGCAGTCGGTGGTACCGTTTCTTCAATCGTGCAGCGGGTAGACTTTGTTCAAGGTGCAGGTTGCGAAAACCTTTCCATCGCCAATCAATCAAACCATATATTTCCTTCTCACATCACATACCCTCCCTGACGCACTTCATCACAAGCTTCAAACCGCTTTCTACGCAGCACTCAACCACCAATTTCAGGCGGCACCCCCCCACCTGCAGCAGGCAGCTTCGCTCTGGCAGGCCCAGTGCGCGCACAAGGCCCACGCACTGCTTCTCTGCGCCCGCCGCCCCGTTCCCAATAATCACAGCTCGCCGGACGACGCAATCAAGGCCGCGGTTGAAGATTTCAGGAACGCCGGAGGAATCCATCCCTTAGCAAAGATCAATCGAGGCTGTTCAAGGCTGCGCCCTCCATAATTCCAATTTTACACCAATGATGCGTCGTTTTGAATGCCAGAGAACCACAGCCACCTCATCGAAAGGTCGTCTGCATGCAGCAGGTCAAGAGAAGGGGCATGGCTCGGCGTCCTTTCTGGCATTCACTTCTTGGAGATTGCAATGCCGTGTGGAAAAGAAAACTTGAAGTTGAAGTATTTAGCATATGGGGAAGTGAACTCTTGCCTTCTTATGCGAGAAGTAATATTAGGATGGAGACTTGTCATTTCGTCTATAGAACTTGGCCCATTGGGGCTCGAATTGTAACGGAAGTTCTGGCTCTAGCAATCTCACCAACTCTTCAGACTTGCGTTACATATAGGTACTTACGTTTGCTCTGTGCTTTCTAGAAATGGATCTAAAATTTGGCAAAGCTAGAGATTTTTAAGCTAAGTACATGCAACTTGCAAGGAGCTCAGGTTAACTGCTTATGACGGTCGTGCCGCTGCTTATACCCGCTTAGGTAACTTTCGTTGCGCTTCCTCCGTGCATAGCTTGTCGCCCATTGGCATTGCTCAGCTTCCCCCTTGAAGTTGTAGCGCTTTCTTCCTGAGCAGATCCCCACACTGTGGCACTCATGCCAGTGGGTGAAAGCTCTTGGGCAAAAGCTGCACTTTGGCAGCCAGGTTCCATAGTTGGTCACTAAAATAGCGCGCTTGTGCACCAAGGCATGTTACCCAGCCAACTGCGCTCCCAAAACTGTGCAATGCAAGCCTGCTGATTGGAAAGGTCTCTCAGCACTTCAGTAAAAGGGGTTTGAAAACCAAGACGCAACCCCAAGTTCCAGAGTTGGCCTTCAGAAGAAGGACCCAAGGAGAATGAAAGCAGCATTGGAAGGAGAACGGCATCCTTGATACCAGGCAAACATATTGCTGCAGTGACTCGTTCTTCTTGGCGTCATTGACTGGCATCAACCGGACGCTTCTGCTTCAATTTAGAAGAACGCCCCCAAGGGGCTTACTCATTTCTGATTGTTGTTCTCGGCGTTCGTTGATTAGCATCAGCTGAACGCTTCTGCCTCAAAAGAACTGAACGCCCCTGGGCCCTAGTCGTCCTGTGTCGTTAGGATGGGGCTGTCAACCGAAGCTCAGAAGCAGGTGCGGGAGGCTGCTATCAAAGAGCTGAAGGGGGCAAATATGGAGGACATGACTGAGAGGAAGCTGAGGACTGCACTGGAGAAACAGCTGGGGCTCGAGCTGGGGGGCGAGGAGGAAAAGAAGTTCCTGAGGGCCGTCATCGGCGAGTTTCTGGACCAGGATGAGGTGAAGATTTTGATGTTCTGGCTGGCTCCTGTGAGAAGCAAATCAGTGGTGATGACGTACTTGGGGCAGAGTCGCAATGATAAGACTGGGGCAATCTGATCTCAAGGAGCGTAGATTGATACAGACGATCTCTTGAGTTTATCAAAGCAGAGAAAGACACTCTGTCAAGTTGTCAGGATATACGCTGAGAATGTCGGCTATAGGGCTCCAATTTTTGAAGAGTATTACAAAAGGGTCTGTCATTCCCAAGCGACGAGGTGGCTTGTGCGGGATACCTCTTGATCAGGGCGCATCATGAATGTGACCACGGGACAACTCGGTCTTTCAATAGCGAAGACTCAACTTATCAGTCATAGCATAACTCCTTCGCCAACTGATGCAGCCTGAAGAGGAACCAGAGGCGCCTATCGAAGTGAAGCGAAAAAAGCCTGAAAAGGAGGGGCCGTCCGGTGGGGGGTCCAAAGCCCCCGAGGCTAAGCGAGTCAAGGAGGTGGTGGAGAAGAAGGGCGCACAGCCAGACAAGTGGCAGTACATTGGGGATGGGAATCTTCTCGTTTGTGAGGTACGCCACGAATTCACTCATCAAAGAACGTGATCCTGTCAATCAGGAACCTGCTTCGAAGTAGTGTTTCTTGTAAGTGATGGCGATCCTCAGCTTATCACATGCCGGATCTGTTGGAGACTCCTCCTTTTGGACTATACAATGGAGCCCTCCTCCAGAACCACAGCCGGTTCCACTTTGTCTGGACCACATGATCCGCCTAACTCCGCCTAACTCGAGTATGATCCTTGTGCAGCTAAGCGGGAATAAGAAAGTGACTGTCTCAAAGTGGAAGAACCAGACGCTGGTCTCAATCCGGGAATACTACGAGAAAAACGGGGAGCAACTACCCGGCAAAAAGGGTGAGCACACTTAAAGGCCCAGCCAATAGCCACAAGCAGAATTGTTCTGACGCTATTCTTCTGCGTTGGCCTTGCTGATTCCCCCCAAGCTGTCTTGCACATCGGTTTGATTTGTTTCTGTATTGACCAACTCACGAGAGCCTTTGATTCTTTAATGTGTTCCAGGAATATCGCTGACCCTTGAGCAGTGGAGGGTCCTTCAGCAGAATGTCGACGTTGTAGAGGAGGCCGTAAAGCAAGTCTCGTGAGGCGAGATGCGACCTATAGAATTTGAGGACCTTCTCCAGACGCATTAGCTGATTGTGTCAACGAAGAACGGAGACCTACCATGTCAATGTTGGACATGGGGCTGGCTCAAACATCTTCGCGTACATGTACCATACGTCAGGTTAACGGACCAATGTTACCCAGCGATTGTAGGGCTAGATAACAGCGGTAGGGCCTGCCAACTGCCTAGGATTAAACGACATCTATCCAATCACGAGCAGTCAGTGTCATCTACCCCACCAGTGGGCCTCTGTTTCAGTTGCAAGCCTGGCCTCAGTGGCATGCACTTTACGTACCTTCGGCTTCACTCGCAATTAAGCTCGTGACCGAAAACTATGTCTTTACGGTGCCGTAGTATACGAAATTTTCTTTGGTAAGTCCTGAGGTCTATATATTGATAACAACATCCGATCGATCGATGCCAGACTCGAGCTGTTGAGCTGTTCGAATTGTATAACCGGGCCCGGCTAGTGGATTGCACGCATCTAGGCTGGATACTTGACTTAAGCTCGGTCAATATTAGTAAGACCGGGCGCGGCTGCATGGTATATATATATATGATCGACCCACACTGAACCATGCAGCAAGTTGATCCATACTGGACTAGCTATCACTACGTCACTCAAGGGGACCAAAATGCACGGGCCCCAGGTAAGAAAGTTAGCAACATGAACCGTGTGCCATGCAGCAGCCTGGCAAACGGCTTACTAGTTATTGCCCGGAAATGAAAATTGGTGGGATTGAACCTCCATGCAGGGGATCACCTTCATGAAAACCTGGCAAAGTTTGGGGTCCGGGCAGAGCGCCGGAGGAATTGGGGGCAGGTTTATAGGTGGGTTTAGCAGCCAAAATGCCCTTGACCTTCTTCTAACACTCTTCGCAGCCCTTCCTTCATCGGACCAGCCGAGGACCGCATCGGTCTTGGGACTTCCAAAATATGCAATCCTGACGTCCAGATCTCATGGGAAATGTTTCATCTGACGGTGTGAGATCGGATCATGGTTCACAACGTTTCAGTGGTGTTTGGCCCGTCCCCCCCTTCATGACGCGTCACTTCTGTTTTGCAGGATTATATAGAATTTCCGCCCGCCTAGCATGTGCCATGCATGATCTGTATATGCACGTATATTGTATTGTTTCAATATCGTGTACGACTCCGGCTCCAAAGTTCAGCTGTTGTCATGATGGCATGCCGCCCTAAGTTAAGTCTTAGATTACCATGCGCCTAGCGCCCGCTTCATGCAATGCATGCCAGACGCTGCTGAGGGTCACTGGCCCCAAAAGCTTAGTAGGGGCCCGTGTGCGTCGAGTGGCCGACGGTGATCACCTCAGTGAAGTCTGTGCACGACTGCGTCAAGGCAGCATTGAATCATGCTGACAACGCGCATCTGGCTATGCGCCAGGTTGATTGCTGCATCTCTCAACATGGGTAGAGGACGTGCTTGAACCGAACCCCTGCAACGATTATCTGAGAGCATATGGAGTGCCCACTGCTTAGTGGAATTGGCAAAGTGCTGCTCATATCGAGTCTGTGGGATTACTTGCGGCTCTGCTAGTTCCTTCCAAGTCATTTTCGTGTTTTCTACTTTCCTGAGATCCCTGACCAACTTCTGACAGCCTACTACCGGTCGTGTTAATGCAGCTACCTCGTCGGATTACACCCGGTGGGCTTGAGCAGCTTTAGCTAGCATACATCCTGGTGCAAATGCTCGAAACTCAATTGAAAACAAGTCACATCAGTGCAAAGTCGGACCGATAGGTAGCTGCGTACCTAGTATTTGAACCCCAATACTTGTTCATTATGCCCGCCGCTGCTGCCGCTGTAGCGCAGAAACAATACTTTGTTGCTTCAACACCGCAACACATCAATCTGCAGCCATGCAAACCAATCGCTAGCGCCCGAGTGTACAATCCATCCGTACGTTTGTCCTGCCGGGCCCGCAATCAACTCATTCCTTCTCCCAGATCTGGTAGTCCGTCCCTCGGTCTAGCGTCCTCCCCCATCGCCCCTCGAGGTTGTTCTCCTTGGCTGGGCTCCAGTCGAGGTGCCCAATCTTCATGCACAGCTTCTTGTCGATGACGGCAGCGTACCCCTCCATCGTCGCGTGCAGGATCTTGATTGGGCTGCGGCACTTGATGCCGGCGCGGATGCGCGCCTTGAGGAGGTCAGCGATCTGGTCGTGCATGCCGAAGTCGTACAGGTGGTCGTAGAACACGGTGGGCTGCAGCAAGAGAATGCAATTCTGGACACGAAGCGCTCACGTCACCATTGAGGAATCACTTTTTTTGGAAAACGCGGTTCCTAGACCGCCCTGGCGCATAAGCTGCTGGGGTAAAAGGCCGCTGACGTTATGGTTCAGGAGTAAAACGTGACAGATTGTCAGGTTCAGACCATGCTGCTTAACTGATGGACGTAGTCCGGCTAGCTCACTGCAAATCTTCAGTGTAAACGAACAAGCTGCTCAGGCTTGGTCTTTCTTCTCAGTCCGAGGCTCCTTGTTGAAGACGTTCAAGCGGTAATGAAGGACTATGCGTGGACTTTTCAGTCCCTGCCGGAATCAAGGGCTTACCGTTCCGGGGTGGGTAAGGATGTAGGCGTATCCCTGGAGCAGCTTGTCCCGAGGGAAAGGCCAATGTGCCTGCAAAGTAGCACCTCAAAACAAAATCAGCGCCGGGCTTTCCTCAGAGCCGCGAAAGCTCGAAATGCGAACCAGGAGCATCGAGACGGCAGAAGGTGACCGGTAGCTCTTACAGCTCTTCGGGACTCCCTCAGCGCGCCAAGCGCAGGGTGACGAATGTTTCTATGGGCTATGATACTCCACAAGCGATGCGATGCGGCTGCAAGCTTTCCGAGCCCACAACCTGCTTTCTCGACAAACGCTTCCTATACGGAGCAGCTTCCTTATTGCTCTGGCGGAACGCCACCATTCACCGACACTTCAGCGGAGTAGTTGAACTAGAAGGGGTAAAGGATCCTGGTCACGGCCACGATGTCGGACCTGGGTGGAGCCGGTGTCGTGGTTCTCGAGGAAGGTGACCGCGCGAGACGGCCACCAGCCCATCACCCCGGGGGGCTTGCCCTGGGGGTCGATCAGGCGCCAGTACTCGTTGTGCAGCGCCGAGTGCAGGATGCCCTGCAGAGGTAAACGGACGATCGCTTGAAAAATGCCCGAAGGAACTGGCAGATCATACGGCTGGGAGTCTCAGAATGTTGGCGGATGTAGCGGATTACGTGCCGAAGAGAGAGTGGAGGCTTTGTAATGAAACAGGATTCGCATTGGCAGATGTTGTACCCGCCTGGATTTGGCCAGCGAGTCAAGGACGCGATGCTTGACGACAGAAAGTTTTTTGCTGGACCCAATCGCAGAACGACACTTCGCAGAACAAGCTCATCTCTGATAAGTGCAGCCTTTCCAAATCACGTGCACACGCGGACTCTAGACTGAAGGCTCAATTTTCAAGAAAGTTTGGAAGTTCTTGTGGTGTTGCTTATGCCACTGATCACTGGTTGCCTAGCACACCCGTTCTACTTTCTCAATCATTACGTCGGAGAAGGAGCTGTCCATAGTTATGAATGGCCCTTTGCACGAACCATGAAAACAGTCGAAAAGCGAGGACGCTAGTGGATATGACAAAGATAAGCGCCAAGTCACCTTGGTCGTAACGTCAAATGCTGAAGCAGCGCCCCCGGTGGCGTTGATCCAGTTGATGATCCGCTGCCGGTGTGCATCTGCATAGACGAATGACACGTCAGCAACACGTTAGCAGCTAGGCGAGCGATGCCACGTGGCAGGAACTAGACTCAGCGCGTATGTTGGACTGGACCAGGCTTCAACGGGTGTACTTTTCAAGTCGGGGGAATGCGCTGTCGCTGTGTGTATTGGAAAAGGGTGTGACTTGGTTCTCCGCATCTCATAAAAGCTTTCCTGACGAGGCTCGTAGAAGAACGCACTCTCAGTCTACCAATGGAGCTCAGACTTAGGCCAAGTTACCGTTCGCTTTCAATGAAACAATTGGAGAAATCGAACCATGGTTGCAAACGTTGGAATGCCCCACGAGCGTGAGGTACTCAACAAACAAGGTTCGAGAGCCTCCAAAGCAACTTAGGAGAGAAACGACCATGTGGCAAACTTTGGCAAGCGCAATGAGCGTGAGGTGCTCAAATGAACAAAGATTGAAGAGCCGGCCGCACCTTGGTTGTAGCAGACCTGCCCGTTTTCGTACGCCAGGCTGTCCCAGTACTCGCCGATGGCAAAGCTGGGCTTGCTGGACTCGATGTACTCCTTCACCCAGCCGCCCCAGAAGCCCCTGTGACGTTCAGAAAAGTTTCTTGTCAGCCAAGGACGCGGAAAAAGCTCGGTCCGTTTGAGCGGAAGTGCTTTTTGACAGCGCTCGAAGCACCTCTCAACCCCACCGTTTGAATTCAGGCACAGACTCACTCCAGTGCCTGGTGCCATGGACAACACGGAGTCCTCTTTTAGAAAGACCGAAGCCCGAGAGTCTAGTTAACAAGCTGACAACCGGACAAGACGACGACCCGAAGCGTCCTGTGAAGAAGAAACGTGCCACGTTCTCATGACACGTGGTCGTCACCAGCTTGCAAAGAAATCTATTGATAGCGCAAAAATAAGTCTAATAAAAGAGGAATTGCACAAGGGAGCGCGCACCAAGTTGCATCGCCGGTCAACTGCCCAATCAGCGCTCACCTGACGAAGTCGAGACGCCAGCCGTCGTATCCAATGTCCTTGCGGAGCCATTCGAGCCAACCCTTGATGTCGTGACGCACAAACTCCTGCAAGCGGATCGCAGATGTTTACGACGGCCGAAACTGCGTCACAGCCATCCGAACCTCACATAACGATCCCAGTCGGCAGGTTCTGACCACGAGCGGTCCACTTGCAAAATATGCCAGGGTTTTGCTTTAGGTTTGGGTCAATGTGGCCAAAACCTCTCGAGAACAATGACTTTCAATGTGTCCATCTTTGTCGTCAACAATTAGACGGGTAGTGACACAAACCATATCGACCATCAGTGGTTCAATTCTTTGCGGTTTGCCTGCCTGCGAGTGGTCGATGTTGGGCGCCGCGTGGAAGATGTCGCCGCTCGACGGGTTGCCCTGCCCCTTGAAGTTGGGGTCGTCGCGCACGATCGCGTTGGGGCCCCACGCGAGCTTGCCGCCAAAGATGTTCCACGTGCCGTCGGGGCTCTGCTTCGATGCGCAGCGGTGGTTCAGAACGACGTCGCCCAAAACCTGCAAGCATGAAGATGACAGGGTTTCCAAAAGCTTCCAGGTTTCAAAAGTTCGGGTTTCGTCGTCTTAGGGTCACGACCAGCACCTCGAAGTGGTGTTTGTTCTGAAGATCGTGAGAAGTGCGCGATGAGAAGGGCAGAACAACGCACAAACAATGTGGGAAAGCTTCCAACGACGAGGGAACTTGAGCGATTCAAAGGAGATGGAGACGAAGTATTGGAGACAGAAAACTGAGACGGGGGCATCAAAAGGAGCTGACGGCAGGGCATTGAAAGGAAGCTAACAGATTGCTCAGGGGGTTCACTGTAGGATAGGAAGAATCGACGTCACAAGCCCCGCTGATTAAAGGCGAATGACCGCGGCAGAGCCGAGAGACAAATGAAGATGGGGAATTAATGGTCTGCAGAAATCTCAGGTCTGCGACTTTGGCGTCCTGGACGTACAACGTCTGCAAGCCGATCTGCAAGAGCTTTCCAACTTGCTGTGTGCCAGGTCATTTGCTAACACTATAACCTGGCAAGAGCCTTACAGTGCAGATATACTGGGGTATGCTTGTCAATCTACTACCTGCAGAATCAGCCTCTTGCCCTGCAGGGAAGGATGTGCGAAGCTGGAGCACGCCCAGATAGTGTTACGGTTCGCCGTGCCTCCACGCAGCTTTGATGATTCCCAATCTCTCACCTGGATTTCCTTGTCATGCAACGCCGCAATGCAAGCCTTGAGCTTGTCCACCGACCCGTAGGCCGAGTTGAGGTTATAGAAATCGACGGGCATGTACCCTGGAAAATAAACATCCAGAACGGGAGACTATCAGCGGAGCAAGCGACCGGCCCCGGTCTCGGGAACTCGACAGAGCGCGACTTTACCTGGATGTTGTGCTCGTGCATCGCGTCTATGCACTTTTTAAGCTCCTCTTGCGAGCCGTACGGAGTGTTCAGATTGTAGAGATCGACAGGCATATACCCTGCAGCATCACCAGCGACGAGCAGCATGCGGATACGTGAGATTAGCATTAGAACTCAAGCATGCTAGATGATCAGACTCGTTCACACCTGTCCGTTGCAACCGCAAGTCTCGATTTTGGCACCAACTCAGAGGAGCCCGTCAACCCTAGACGAGCTTATCTGAAGGGTAGCAAAAATAGCTCTTATCTGAAGTATGGGTTAGCCAGATCCTCTCTAGACGATGATTATAGTACAATCCATCTTTGAAACGATGATATTCAGTTTGGTCTTATCTCAGCCCGTATTGAAGACGCTCGAAACGATCGCTTGGTTTGCAGGGGCATACCCTGCGGGGCGACCGACTCGGTAGGCGGGGGCAGCCAAACGGTTGTGAAGCCGCACTCGGCGAGGTCGCCGGCCTTGGCAGCCAGCTCCTGGTACCACGGGTGGCGGTGACTCTCCCAGTGAAAGCCCTGGAACACGATCTCCTCCCCGGAACCCGTGCCAGACTCTGCGGTGAGACAGGCGCACTTCAGCAAGCAATGTCAAGTTTCGCGTCTAATCATAGTGTGTGGAGATCGGTCGGCGAAAAACATTGAGGGATTTCTAGTCCTCACGGTGGATCAGAAAGTGCAGAAGTTGGTCTAGCTGGAGAAGAAGCGTACTCAAAAGGTATTTGGACCGTGATGGGAAATCGAAGACTCAGGCGGTCTCCAATCGATAATGGATCTCGATTGGGAACAGATTGGCCTTCCACAGCGCTTTGCTCAACCATCTTACAACTGCTTCTGCTTTCGTTTCCTCTGTTTCGAGTCGTGATATTTTCCCTCCTTTCTCTGCGTTGCTTGTCGCTCGTTTTTCCCCTTGTTTGAAGTATAGCCCTTCTAGCCCTTCGATAAAGAGAGACGGGGATCCGTCGCAAGAAGCAGCTTGAGAACAAATGAGTGAAGCCTGACAAGTTCAAAGTGCTTTAGCACAGCAGCAGACTCGTGAGCACACAAAGAAAACCCGCCGCTCACAAGTTAGCGGCTCTGCCCGTAGAACTTACCCCAAGTGTCGTCGGTTCCAACATCGGACTCGCCCGGCTTCTCCCGCTTGTGGCGCAGCATCCTGCGCTCCAAGCGCTGCCGCTCCTTCTCAATGGCCACTCGGTCTTCCACCTCCCGGGTCAGCTCTTCCTTCTCTTCGGGCTTGACGGGCTGCAAAAAGAGGTTGGCGGCTTTTTGGGTTGCCAGCTATTGTAAGCTTCTCGATGAGCAAACCAGAGGGTGAGCAAGTAAGAAACCGGAGTGCAGATTGGCACGTAATATCAGATTTTGAAGATTGGTCCGTCGAACACCTCAAGAGGTGGCCCTACGAAACGAAAGCAGGAGCGTTTTATATTGCATGTCTTTGTCAAATGGAACGGCAGAGTAGAGACGAGCACACTGTAAGCCCGTCCATACGCATTGCGTGCGATTTCTAAGAACAAAGCTCTTTGTAAAGCGGCATTTTCTTGAGTCAGGAGTCTTTGATTGACAAGCTGCCTCACTTGTGAACAAAAACCCACGACAACCTAGGCGCAAACTTCAACTAGGGCAGAATGCAGGAGCTCGCTCCAAGTAGAGCAGAACAGGGGCCAGGCTCACCGCAGGGGTCGGGATGATGAAGTCGGCGATGGACCAGACGGAATCCGGCGATGGCAGCTCCACCGGAACGTCATCAATAGCAGGCTGGCTGCTGCGGGTGGGTAGCCCGTACTTGGGCACATTGAAGGGCGAGTCGCGGCGAGGCCCGTTGGCCAGCAGCTCCCACCGCTGCGAGTCCGACAGCAGCATGTTGCTCATGCGGCCGCCGTTGAAGAGGTCGCGCGCCTCGCCCGCCTCGCGCAGAACGTCGAAGCCCTTGGCTTTCACCTGGGGGGGGAGGTGCGAGGGGTGAGAATCTAGGCGTTAAGAACCAAAAATGGGTCAATGAAAAAAAGGCCGAGGAGAAACCAAAAGGTTTGGAAAGGGATTGAAAGATGAAGTGCCTTGCCCCCAGCATGTGCAGCCCTTGGCCTTCACCTATAGAGGGAAGGCATGGAAGGAAGAGATGAGCCATGAATGAACAACGGGTCAAAGGCGAAGACAACTCAATACCACAAGGGTTGGAACAAGAGTGAACCATCGCCATTGCCGCCCCAATGGAACAAGAATTGAACCATCACCATTCCCGCGCCAAATGGAGAGGGCCGTTTGTTGTTCTTTTGAAAGCGGAGTCCGAGCGTCCGTTTGCTCAGTTTCGAACAAAGGTATGGAATAAAACGTTGCCTCGAACACGGGACTCGAACGAAAGGTCTTGGTGTAACCTGGGAGCGGTTCAAAAGAAGCAGAGGCGGCTGTCGGACACAATAAAGTCTGGGAACCCCTTCTCGCCCTCCAAAGAAAAAGTAGCCGCCGGTCAGCGTCCAAATGCGTTTCCGGCCCACCTGCTTCATCAGATCCTCCACGGCCACCGCCCTCGCGCGCCACGCGTCCACCTGCTGCTCCGACGCGCGCAGCGCCTGCTCCAGCGCGCGGTACCGCCGCTCCCAGCTCGTCTCCTTCATCTTCGCCGCGTTCTGCGCCGCCTCCGTCGCCTTGCGTAGCTTCTCGTTCTCGTTCTCGTACGCGATGCGCACCGCGTCCTCCTTGGCCTGCGCCGCGAGCTTGAACGACTCCAGCGCGCCCGCCAGCTCCTTCTCCCGCCTCCCCGCCACTTCCTCGCTATTCCGCTGGATCTCCGCCACAGCCGCTTCCGCCGCCGCAATGCGCGCCTCCGCGGACTTCGCCCTCGCCTCCGCTTGGATCACCTCATCCCGCAGCCGCTGCACCTCCATCTGCACAACGCGGAGCTCGCTCTCCAGCCTTGCGCGCGCCTGCTCCGACCGACTCGCATCCGCCTCCGCCTGCGCCAACTTGTCCAACACCCCCATGTTGTCCTGCAGCGCGGCCTCCGCCGAGCGCGCCTGCTTTTGCGCCAGCGACGCAGCTGCGAGCGCGTCCTCGATTGTCGCCCGCGCCTCGTTAATCACCGCCGCGGCGGCCTCGTCTGCCGCCTTCCGGATGCGCTGCTCGACTGCAACCTTTGCATCTGCGGCCATGGCCTGCGCTTGCGCGATGCGGTACGAGGCGTCTTCTGCCGAGGCCTCGGCCCTTTCCTTGATTGCGCTCACGGCCATCTCTTCGACGCGCCTGCACATCAGGAACTCGTCTTCAGGAGCTCGACTTGCACAATCTGGCTAAACTTCTTGGCTCAAGACATATGAGGCAAAACGTTACATCCTTAAAGTCAGGCGATGATGAGTCGGAGCCCAGATCCCAACTGAACTTGTACCAAACGCTTTGTTCGGGTCTGGGTTCCATGGATAGAAAGCTCTCAAAACAGAACCCTGAGCATGCCCCAGAATCCCAGATACACTTTGGGTGAGATCCCTTACACAGCAAGCTGCACAGCATCGCTCTGAGCCTCAGCCAGCTTGGCCTCCACCTCGCGCTTCTCCTGGCTCACGCGCTCTAGTTCTGCACGGAACGTTTCCTTGGCGCCCTCCACCTCATTCATTGCCTCCTCAGCGGTTGCAATCATGTTGGCTGCGTACTCTTCAATGCGCTTCTCCGCGTCATGCAGAGCCTGGTGGATAGGATGGGTGTGATTGTATTGGTGATCCAAAGAACTGCCCAAGAGGAGCATGAAGCAGTGACGTCTTGCTTTGCAGGATACGATGCAGGCCTGAGGTGGCTGCATTTTAAGGAAAAGTAGTGATACTTGCTGGTCACAATGAGTGAGGTGTTGGAAAGTACTACTTGCAGTCTGCATCTCGAGCAAGTGGAACTGATGTTGAGGTGGACGTTCTTGATGGAAGCTGATCGTGTGACGAAGCGTCAGAAGGATACAAGACCTGCAAATATCTTCACTTGCTATAAGGAGAGACGCTGGTGCTGCCAAACCTCACTATCTGGCCAGTGGTTGTATTCAGCAAGGAAGATGCATCCCATACAAAGAGACGCGTTTTCCAAAAGCCACACGATCGTGGGATTCCATTGTTCCTGGAGCCAGTGGTAAAGGCAGCAAGTGCCCTTACCTGCAGAGCTTTCTCCTTCTCCGTGGCTGCCGCCTTGGCCTTCTGTTCTGCCGCCTGCAGGGCCGCCCTGAGGGCCTCCACATCGCTGCTGTTGGCAAGGGTGCCATTCTCGCCCTCAAGCACACCACCGGCGCGCTCCCCAGGTGCTGATTCTGACGCAGCCGGTTCGGTCTTGGCAAACGAAAGCAGGAAAGTTGGTTGCAAGTCCTTAAATGGTGCATGTAGAAAAATATCTAGAAGGCTTTGCAAAGGTGTCACGGCAAATCTGGGATGGTACACAAGCAAGCAGACGGTGCATTCTCTGTTGCCTCTGTTTAGATCAACAGGAAAACCTCGGCGATCAGTTCCAGTGATGCTACCCGGCTTATCAGGGACAGACCAAGTTCAATATCCTGTGAATACCATGGCGCTGATTCTCACCTTGAAGGATGATCCTACAATCCGGCTCCGAACATTGATGAGAGTCCGAGATGCACCCGATGCCCCTGCCAACCGCCTTGCACCACCCCTGCGTCAAAAGCGCCTTTGAAGTTGCTCAAACCAACCTCTGCCATATTGAGCTAGACATTTGAGACTCAAGTCGCAATCCAATCAATCGACAGTGACCCAATCAGTTTCTCAGGTCTCAGAGGATAGATCCACACATGCGGCGATCCAAAGAAAAACCTCGCATTTTTGAATGCTCAAATTGCACCGGAAGTGGCCCTGGCAGTGGACATAAATCAAGGAGGGAGCGTCCCACTCACTGGCCAAAGAAGCAGCTCTCGCGGGTCGCCAGATTTGATGGCTGGTGCGACGGTAGAAAATCCCGCCTCAGGGGGTTTCCCTTCACAGCGTTCAGCTTCCTCGTTTGAATCTGGCTGGCCCTTGTGATGGCAGCCGGAGCAAAATGTCCGATCGGAGCACTTCGTTGATTGCAGGAAATGTTGACGACACTTGAGGTGTAGAATGATGACCGCTTGGACATCAACAGGGCGGCTGACGATTCCTGCAAATCGGCAGCAAGCGAGGTCCATGCACGCACCCCACACCAGATGCATCAATGCGAAAGACAGTGAGCTTTCAGATGTGCTCCCAGGAGCCAGGGCAAACCAACAGCATAATGTCTCGTCCTTTGACATAAATTGCAATCAATGGATGTGGTCTGATTTGATCAAGGACCACTGGGAGAACTGTCCAGCTTTTCTGGCAGTCGAGCATCTAATAGTGCTCAGATGCTTCATTACTGAAAGCAATTACTGGAGCTCATTAGAATGCAGGTCCAAGAAAACCCGAATCATCCCCAACATAGGACAGCTGCAGATTGAACTTATACATTCGTTCATTCATTCATTGAAAGACATCATTCACATCTGCTCCCGAGATCTGTCGGAGCAGAAAAAACCTCACCATCCCCTCTCAAGTTGATTGATTGCTCCGCCGACAGAAGTTCAAGTAGCAGAGCGCAGCTTCGCACATCTGATCTGCAAGCTATGATGGAATTCTGCAGCTCTCAGAAGCAGTTTCGACCTAATCCAAGTTGCTGCTTGCCAAGATCTTGCTACATTTGAGGAGTTTGCAATTTGCAAATTGGAGCAGACCAAAAGGATGCTGCTCAAAGTGCCTTCCACTACTTCACTAAATGCTCACATCGCAAGAGACTTCAAAACTGGAAATCGAGAAATCAAAGAAGACAGTCGGCTTCTTCGCAGCTCAATCCACCCTCGCTTCAGCAACATCTTGCCAATGGTTCATTTACCTATCGAATTAAGGTGGTAGGACGGTAATTCAGCCAGAAAAGAGGGTTTCTAGGGTTTGAAGGGGCGTAACTTGGTCATAACGTGGTCAAATCGAGTCCCGTCTTTTGCATCTTTCGGGGGGGACCAAGGAGGCCCCCTCGAGCACTCTGGGACCACCTCGAACTCACTGACGACTTGTCGAGGAAAGTCTGAAGTGAGGAAGTTTGAACATTTACCCCCCTACATGAACCCTTGGCCGTCAGAAAAACGAAATGATAGAATTCTCATTGACCCCCCTAAAACTGAATCGGGGCAAGCTGGGATGTCTATCGAACGGTTAAATCACAATATTGACGAAAATGTGCACCGTTAATGGTCAAAACTCCCAGCTTATATGCTCAAAATGGTTTTTTCTCAGGTTGTTGACCAGGTATGTTCCCCCCTGGCGGTGCACATTTCCGTCAGATTTTTTTTGGAAAAATGTTTTTGACATCCCAGCTTGCCCCGAAGGTGATTTCCTCTTGTTCGAAGGAAATTTATCGTGGCAGTTGACAGGCAGAAAATCCAATGGAAATACCCCTTTGAACCAGGTTGTTTGGAGTTGGCAGGGTTTCTCAGACTGACCCAAACTACTTCGAGGTGGTTAGAGGAGCTTCGAGAGGACCCCGAGGGTGTCTCGAAGCCATTGGAGAAGACGAAACCTGATTTGGTTTAGTTTTGAACATTCTATGAACCAGAACGTAAACCAGGGTCAATCCAACCTGAATTACCGTCCTACCACCTTAATATGAGCATGCCACTTGAACCTGTTCATCATTCGTGCGAGCAAGCTGCGCCCCAAGCGCTGAGCAATGGTCATGGCTCGTTAAAACTAGAGCGGCAATGTTCATACCGGGTATAGCCTTGCGTTAATGGTCATATTTACCATTGCCAAGTTGTCGGAACTAGGGTAGGCAGCTTCTGGGGCCAGCAGTTAGCCTAGGCGGTCCCGGCTGATTGAAATGATGATTGGCAGCGGCGCGGGCGGCCGCGGTTAGCCGCCCAGACGTTGACACTACCATCTGTATAGACTCGGAGTTGCCCGGCCGATTCTTCCGATCACGTATTGCTGCCGCCCGGGCAAGCCAGCTACAGGGCCGGCCGGGCCAGAGCGCCAGAGCGGGGCCAAAGCGGATCGGCCGGAGAGCTAGACTACCGGCCGCAATTCGCGTTCGCCAGCACATAGACGTAGCGCATTTTCTTCCCGGTGAGCGCCGGGTGGATGGTCGGGAAGTCGTGCTAGGACGGTAGATTTGCTCGGTGCACCATGTACACTTTCAGTACGGAGCCGGTGTCAATCATGCTCAGGGCCTCAGGCTGAATGTGCTAATCTTTCAGCGGGGATCCGACTTCTGAAAGGACTTTGAACCGTTGGATCTCATTAAACAGTATCCTACGACCTGCATTTTACGCATGACTGCAAACTCGAAGGGGCCGGGCCTGTTCTCACCAAATGTGACCAAACCGCATTGACATGGTTTCATTTCGCGACCGACCAAACCGCATTGACATTGTGACGGTCGTGACTCGTCAGGCTTCAGCCTGTGGACTTGGAAGTTGCAATTGGTACGTGCAATGTGCATGCGGCGCACTCAACTGAGTCATCAACTGACGTCCAGCATGACGCCCGGCCAAAGGAAAACATACGTACGTTCCAACCGAGCACTGAAGCTGGGCAGTTGGTTCTACCGGCCACACATGAGGTTACTTGCTACCGGCATTCCTGACACCATCGAGCCCAGGCCTCAGGGTCAGGCCGGCCAAGGCGATCGGTGGGACACTCTGCATCTTTCAGAGATCCAGTTCGTACGGTGTACGCCGCTCTGTAGATTCAATCACGGCCCTGGGTGCCGGACCGAGCACACTTGAGCTGCTCGGAAAATGCCAAGGGAGTCGGGGTACAGGACTATACCCGGTGGGGGCCGGGGCTCAGGAGACCGGGCGCAGTGCACTGAACAACGTTACACTGACAAGAGACACTGACACAGCACTGAGCAGTGCAGACTGAGCATCAGGATTCAGCTGATTCGCATCAAATTTACAAAATGCTCGAAATTGAATGACTCGCAGGCCAGGGGCAATTTTGAGCAGCATGATCTGATGAGGTGAAGCACTTCTTTCTTAGACTTCATTGAAGTAGGGGCGCAAGGCTGGGAGCTGGCGCGGGCGATCGCCACCAAAGATTCCCGTACTCCAGCCTGGCAGGCTGCCACTGACCGTGGAAGAAGGAGCTCTCGTTCTGTTCGCTGGCCTGAGGTACAGGCGTCGAGCAATGCTTGCTTATGTGCGATCGTGGTTTTTGGCGGTGGTTGAAACTCATGTTTGAATGGTCCACAAGCATTTGCAGAACTCCAGCCTGATCACCAAGCAAACCAAGTTATGTGCACATGTGTAGTCCGCCAGCGCCGCTCCTCAAAACAAGCTTTCTCTGACTATGTTTTCCACCAATGAGCCTCAAGCAGCTGCTGGGCTCACAGATATTCGGAAGGAGAATGCTCACACTGAAGCACAGAGGCGTCAATCCGACGGTGGCAGGGGGAAAAAGCTGAATGCACCTGGCCATACATTGGAAGAGAAGAGCAGGTTGTCTCTGAAAAAGGTTGACACACCGAATGAGGTCCACGCAGATGTGCTTCTGAAGCAGAACCGGGGGGACGGAGCCGAAAAGCTGGATGATGCTTTGCCCCGCTTGGCGCCAGTCAAAATACCATCCCTTGGAGCGAAGTGGGAATATTACTCTGGAGCTCCTCTCCCTCAAGAACCTCAATCACCTGACAGTGAAAGGGACTCCGGAGAATCGGCGCAAGGCCCTACCCTTGGGAAGAATGCAGGAAAGCCGAGTGTCATGCGGGCTAAGAGCATAGCGTCATCGATCTCTACTGGGTCAAATTTCAGTCGCTCGTCCCAAGGGGGGATTAAGAGGAAGCGGAGCTTGCCCGGTACTCCAGGTAAGCTGTTCTCTGAAACTAAAGACATAAAAGCAGCGATTCTGAAGACAGTAGATCGTGTTTTGTTCACACAGCGTAGCGCTTTTGGCATCAAACAAACACACAGTTCAAACGTATGTTCAACTCGTCTAGAATGAAAGGAATGCTTTTGGTAAAACCTTTATGCATGAGACATTTCTTGACAGCTCGTCCTGCATACGTTTTTCTTGCGCCTGAAGAAAAGCATGAAAATTATCGGCTTGATATACTGGCACATGCGCTCCTTCTAAGAGCAGAGTCCAATGCAGATGGATCTGACAAGCGGTGTGTGGCCTTTGCTCTTAACTTACATCGAGGGTGTGCGTTCAAAGCTTCAACGTACATTTCGAAGCTGCAAAAGACTCAGTTGGTGGCAGAATCAGTTGGTGGCAGAAGTTTTGAAGTGGGGCTTTTGTAAGGGTGCGCAACTGTGGGTTATATGCTCACCATTTCCTTGTAAGGCTTGGCTTGCAACAAACAGCCAACCCCTCAATGCAGATTGCCATAATTTGCAAAAGCCTACAATGTTTTCTGTTGCATCAGACCTCTCTTGCAGTCTGCTTCAGTACAGGAGCGCGTTATCTTCATGTTAATCTGTCAACGTGATTGCTTGCTGTGTTTGCTTTGAGACAAACCAGACGTGCATCTGTCCACCATCTTGCGTATCATTCACCTCAGAAAGTCTTCTACATTCTCTTTGCAAATTGACACTGCAGAAGATGCGTGTCCCCCCATCACTGGGCAAGCTGTCATGCTAAGCGGGCACTAAGTGCTGGTCAAGGGGAAAGAGATCATCTGTGCTTTGTTATTGAACTGGATGTGTCCACACCCCTCTGCTTGGCTCTCATGCAGTCTGCGTCTCCCAGCTGATCCTCTTTGGTGCTTAATTCGAAAGCCGCAACAATATCAAAGCAGGGTCCGGTGCTTCCAACAAGCAAAGCATGTTTGGCCACCCCACGTGTTCCTCATCTTTTCACATTGGAAAGCTACCAGTTTCACCAACCAGCTCGTCGCTTATTTCTACTTATCACTTTTCCGTCCAGATCCGAATGCGGAAGTGATCGCCCTCTCCCCAAGGACACTGCTCGCCACCAACCGCTTTGTGTGCGAGATCTGCAACAAGGGCTTCCAGCGCGATCAGAACCTGCAGCTTCACCGGAGGGGCCACAATGTCCCTTGGAAGCTTCGCGCCCGTCCCCCCTCCAACTCATCTGGCAAGCGGGTGTACGTGTGCCCTGAGCCAACATGCGTGCACCACGATCCGCGGCGTGCGCTGGGTGATCTCACCGGGATCAAGAAGCACTACAGCCGGAAGCATGGGGAAAAGAGGTGGAAGTGCGACAAATGTGGGAAGAAGTACGCGGTGGAGGCAGACTGGAAGGCGCACACCAAGACGTGCGGGCCGAAGCAGTACACATGCGACTGTGGGAGTGTGTTCACAAGGTGAGGGCAGAATCTGCTCTCGCGATGAGCGCCTTGAACGAACATCTTGGAAAGCTTTGGCACAACTGCTAGGAGTTATGCATTCACGTTCATGTTCTGCAATCTCCTCGTTGCAGATGGTCGTATTTGCAGGTACGTTCGGTATTGATGGAGCGAACGCCTCAGTAGTTGGCAGCAATAGCTGTTCGGAACTCAGAGAAGTGCTAGTGGGATTTCGGCATCCTCAGCGAATCCTCTCGGTGTCAGAAAAGTCCAATTCTTTTAGTCATTGTCCATGGTAAGTCAGTGCTTCACAACCAGGAAGTTGCTCTGTGGTACAAAGCTTTGGTCAAACAACTATCAGCTGACGCCTTCCTTGCACCCCCTTGCAGGCGCGAGACGTTCGCAACGCACCGCGCCTGCTGCAAGCATGTCTCCGACAGACTCCAACCCCCCGGCCATCCCCAGCTCTCGGCCTTTGGCTCAGGTCCATCCACCCACTCCTTCTCCAACTTCCAGCTCCCCCCCAGCAGCTTCAGCAACTTTGGCCACCGCCCGATTCTCCCGCGCCGGCTCCCCCCTCCAGCTCCCGTCTTCACTGCTCGATCCACCCCTGCGACGGTGGCGCACATCGGTCAGAGCCATGACGGCACCCCCCTGCTCATCAGCGTTCCTGCTAGGGTGTCCGGATCCGGACAGCCGGGGCTAATGGCGGACATCAATCTGGCCGCTCGCAGGGGGCTGAACCGCGAGCCGCTTCAACTGCTGCCCCTCTCAGGGCCAATGTGGGGCCAGAGGTCGCTTGGGACACCCCCTCCTGCCGCCTCTGCGCCGCTGCCGCCTGCGCTGAACTTGTGGCTGGGCTCGAGACCACCGGCCACTGCGGTCCACCAGAGCCAGCCCCTGCAGCCGCTCGCGATCCCTGGCAGAGTGGGCGGGGTCAAGCTTGAGATAGGGGCAAACGGTAACGGTCTTGGGGAGATGGGCCAGAGCTCAGAGGGGGCAACCTCACCGCTCTCCCTGAGATATGCGGAGACCTTCAGCCAGGGACAGCAGACAATGCTGGTTGCCCCTCAGACTGCCGGACGTGCAGCTTCCCCCCTGCTGCAACCGTTACCAGTGTCGCCGCGGCCAGAGCAGCAAGGTGGGGACGGCGGGAGTGGCTTGGTCAGCGTGCTAGGTGGGGATCCGCAGGCAGCGCTCCCGTCGGCCGCTGCTGCGGCTGCGGCCGTAGCAGCAGCCAATGCGGGCCACCAGGTCACGATCGAAGTCAACCCTGCACCTGGGGAGTCCTTACCTACAGATCATTCACCCAGGGAGCAGGTTGCTCCTCCCGAGGGGGGAGCTTACACAGTGCTGGAGCAGCCCCCCGTCGTACATCCGGGAGCGCCACTAATGGGGACCAGCCCGGGGGCGCCAGTGGTGCAAATGTCGGCAGTTGCTCTTCATGGGGGTGAGGTGGCGGGGATGGGAATGATGGAACAGCAGAGCCAGGGGGGGCAACTTTTGGTCGCGGCAGCCCAGGTCGGCGGTGGTGATCAGGCGATGCTCTTGGATGCACAGCGGCCAGGGGGAGAGGGGAGCCCTATGCTGGTCGGGGGCGGACAGGTGGTGGAGACCAACCAGGAGGATGTGCTGTGGGCTAAGGTGAGAGAACCCTTGGCTCAGTTGTATGTTTACCAGTGCTTCAACTGAAGTTGCGTTGCTTCAGATGAAGAAATTGACCGTGTTGCACGCCTGGGTATGCATTCTGGGGCGTAGTATGGCTTGTGCATTTCCATCTTTGCGCCCATTCTTCATTGCACCCCATCAACTGAACCCAACCTTTTCGCAAGTCACCCAAACTTCAAGTTCTTCAAGCAAACACGAGCTAACCCCTATATTTGCTTTGTACACAGATTGTTGCACCCGCACTCCGGCATTCCGCGTCCTAGTCACGATATTTTGGTTGATGACACTGCTCAAAATCAAGCGTTGCAAATGCCTGTTTCGACACCTGCTGTATCTAGCGCAACGTGGTTCGTCCCTTTTCATACCTCGATACAAACCATTGCAAGCTTTTGAATGTGTGCTATGCTCCTCCTTCTAGATGCACGTCGACGAGCAGCAGAAGGCCCAGCAAGCAGCCCAGCAAGCTCAGGCGCAGGCGCAGGCCCAGCAGTCCATGCAGCACCAGATGGCCGTTCAACAAGCCCAGCAACAAGGCCTCCAAATGGCCATCCACCAGGCCGGCATCCAGCTGGCGGCTGCGCAACAGGCCCAACAACAGGGCCTGCAAATGGGGGGCCAAGTCGACCTCCAGCAGAGCCTCCACATTAGCCTGGACGCCCCCCCCTCGCAGGTGGCCGTTCCTGGGGGGGTTCCCGTGGGGCTGCCGCCGCCCTCCCAGCAGATGGTGGCAACGCAGCAGGAGATGCTGACGCATGCGCAGGAGGCGGAGCAGCAGCTGGCGGCGCAACAGGGCCTCTTGAACCTGCAGGCTGTGTCGCAGCAAATGGGCCTCTCGGCGGTGCCCCCACTGCAGCGGCTGAGCCCGGGCCTGCCCTCGATGGCCGCACTCCACCCTCCTCCGGGGGCCGAACTGCTTCCGGGGCTCCAGCAGCCTGCCACGTCGCCCCGGTCACTTTTGGCTGCGCTCCCGTCAGGAAGCGCGAACACGACTGCGCAGGGGGGGGCCGCGGACGAGGGGAAGAAGGCGGACATGATGCAAGAAGCGATCAGCGCCGCCGCGCGGGGGAGCACCCAGAAGCTGAACGAGCTGATCGAGCAGGAGGCGCAGAAGCAGCAGCACGCGCTTGCGCTGGCGCAGGCCACGGAGCAGCACCAGCACGGGGGGACAGCGCCAGTCCTGGCTCCACCGAGCGTTGTGCTTGTCGAGGGGGGGAGTCCGAACGTGCTTCCCGAGGGCTTCGTGGACCCCCAGGCGTTTGGCACTCCGAGTGCGGGGCAGTTTTTTGCGACGGTGACGCCCCAGACGGGGCTGACGGGGCTCGGAAGTGTGCCGCAGGGGGGAATGGCAGCTCAAGTGGTGGGCTCATCCATTCTGGGGGGGTCGATGGGTGGGGGGCAGCTTGATATGAACCGGGCGAACCTCTCCCCCCGCGAGGGTGAGCAGTTGCTGCGGAGCCTGTCACGCCAGCATTTGAGTGAGCTCGCTGCGGCGGGCATGGGGGGGGTCCTCGATGTGGGGGGGGCGTTGAACAGCGTCGGAAACCAGCTGACGATGCTGCAGAGCGTGGAGGAGGGAGCGATGCACGCGGAGCGAGGCCGGCAGGAGGCGCTGGCTACGGAGCAGGTGATTGAACGTTGTGATTCTGTGTTTTGAATCGAGTCTAATTGGCGGATTGTTGTGGCCAATTCGTCGCTTTGAAGTGGATCTGGGGGATACTCTCCTATCGGAGTGCAAGAAAACGTTTTACTTTGGCTCTTGTCTCCGGCTAGATTCAAGGCGTTTCCGCTTTCTGCCTGCTCCTGGCTGGGCCGTCTGCTTTCCACACTCCTCCAACAGCTCGCAACTGGTCGCCAGATCCACCCACGCAACCTCCGAACCCAACGTCGAACTTCCCTCATCTCCCCTTGGAAAAGGTTCCGGTTGAAACACACAGCAGCTTCTCGTCGTGGGCTTTCTTTTCCATTCCCGTTTTGCATGCGCTCCCCACTTACTTGGTGATGAGATGTTTGTCGATGTCACGGCAACTTGTGTTCGCCATCCTGTCTGACGGCTGTTCCGCTCAATCCGCTCATTCGGTTGACTTTCTGTCGTTGCAGCTGCATTCGCACCAGTCCGTTGCGAGCATGGTGGCCTCGCAGCGCACGCAGGCCGACCTGCAGCAGCACTCGCACGTGATGGGAGGGCTGTACCGTGAGCAGGATTCGCTGACGCAAGCATCCTTGGTTGGAGATTCTTTGGGGCGCGACAATGAGCACCCACCTAGTTAGGACTGCGGACTAACCTTTTCAGTGTCTACTGTGTATTATATTTACGGGGTCGGTGGGAGTGTGTGGGAGGTTCGACCGTGGGGGTCGACAATTTCGGATTGGGCTGAACAGCTTTTCGTGTATGTTCTGTGAAAGCAGTGCTTCTAGTTTACGTTCGGCGGGTAGACTTATCGCCGCTCCCCTTGGGGCATAGCCGAGTAGGTTAGGTTTTGCTTGGGTTTCGTTCATCGCAATGCTTAGTGCAAGCACCAGGGGCGGCTCTACTATCTCTACACGCACGTATCTACTAGCGTCCAAATGCTTATCCTTTCTAAAGGGATACTCGCGATTTGGAGGCTGAGGTTAGTAGCCAAGCATAAGCGCTTTGCAAGGATTCAAGTGTCAAACTCGTAACTGCTGGTTTGCCGCCCTAAAGGGTGGCTTACTATTGCCCGCCAAAGGGCTGTAGTGTACCATAGAAGGATCGACGATGGATGCACTCGTAAGTGGAGTGACCGTTGGTCAGACGATTTCGTGTCAAACTGCAATGACGAGTAGCTCTAGACGTTGTGAAGGTTACTATGAAACTTTATCCGATTTTTTTGGTAGCGTAGAGTGATAAGAAGGGGGTAAGGGGCAAGCTTATCTGGGGCTGCTCTGCATTTCCTTATTGGCTGGACTCAAATTTTCAAAAGGACATAAAAATTGCATTGATTGATGCTAGGCTGTCATTTCCCCCTGTACACGTGCACGTTCAGATCTCTATTGAAATTGTGCGCCGATTGTTGGATTGAGCAGATATGATGATACATCCCGTCATTGATCGAGCTCAAGGTATACGTCATGATAGAGGCTGGTAACAGTAGCATGTTTATTGGTCCCCTTCTTTTATCATTAGTACCATGTGTCCTACCAGTTTGAAGGTACCTACTTGAGAATCCAGTCAATATGTATACGCTACACAATTGAACGAGTGAAGTCCCAGGAGCATTATGATTTATCTTCTCATCTTCGAAAGCAATCTGGATACAATTGCGCCTTTTGAGTTTACTAAGGGATTCGGAAGAAGGGGACTCAAGCTACTGGCAGTAGTACGTCTAGATTCGAGGTTGCAGCTAGGCTGAGCCAACCCGGCTCGAGCTTACATAGTTTGTTGGAGTCTAGATAGTAGAGACACCGTGTTTCTAGTCTCTAGTTAGATGGTATCCTGATTCGCTTCGATACGCACAGACCGACTTTCTGCAGTTCGGCCTAGTTCGCAGAAATGAGAATATTTGGCGGCAGGCTGAGCTCACCGTACAATCATGTACATGCACGCAGGGCCATGAATGGTGCGAGTCACGCTGCTGAGCTCCTGCAGTGGCACTGCTGCAGACCAGTGATCGTGGCGAAAATAAATCTGGGAATACACTAAATAGGAGCTCCCAGACACTAATTGGCGAAAATGACACTAATGGCGAAAATCCCAGCGGCAGTTGCGGCCGGTAGAGTGTCCCGGCACCAAATTTTCTTGTACCGACCAAGGTTTTTGGTTGTCTCTGGAGAGTCAACTGAAAATGTGCAGGCAAAGGTAAAGTACGAGGTTCTGAGCAGGGTTAACATTCGTCAAGGCGGGTGGGAGCACCCGAGCATGTTAGAATTGGCTGACGGCCTGACCATTTTCGCCAGGCCGGCGAAATTCCCTTCCCAGACACTAAATGGCAAAAATCTGGCGAAAATCACATTGGCGAAAATAATTAGTTTCGCCACGAACATTGCTGCAGACACTGTTCAAGTTGAATGTGTTGTCCATGATTACCTACAATGCTACATAGCAGCATTGCGGCCTATGGGTCTAAGAGCAGGAGGTGCCCTTCGCTTGAGACTCTTTGGCCAGAAAAGCTTCTCTATTGAGTTCGTGACGCAGCCATGGTTGTCCACCGAGGTTTTGCGATCGTTTGATTTCTCCTTCCTGTGAGCTGGGCATTGCAGCTTGCAGAGATGATTCTTCTGAAGTCATGACAAATTGAGGACTGCAAGAAGGGGCATTGTCTTCTATGTGAGATCATTAAGGGACACATTCAATTGCACACAACCAAACCTCAGGGTCAAGCTTGCTCTGAACAACATTCCTATTGCACGGGAACCTGTGTTAGATGTTGCAGCATAGGGGAACATTTCTGCACCATGACATGTTGATAAGAGCGCTACCATCTTCAGAAGTTCCATAGAATGTGGTGAGGATGCAAAGTGTCGGGATGCTTTCTCTGCCCTTGCTGTTTCATCACCCTTGCACAATCGGTTCTTTTTCTTGTTAATTAATCTCCATTGCTTCTTCCTCTTCAGAGACAACGGTGGGAGCTGCACTGAAGCGGGGCCTGATTCCCCTCTTGCAGCGGTGACTGGGGAGGGGAACTTCACCCTCTGAAAGACAGTGGTAAGATGTCCCCTTCGTCAATTTGAAGCTTTCTTGTGGACACTTTTAAAAGTTGTTGAGAGGTGGAAGACTGGATGCAATTGTTTGCTCTTTCCACCTTTCCCACCCAATGCTAAGTCTTTTGCTGCTCTCTGAAGGAGCGCTGAGGACTGAGCATCTTGGTTTGGGAGGAAGAAGTAGCAAAGTACCAAAGTGTCATGAGTTTCAAAACCCTCCTCCACTGTTGGTGGTTGTCAAGATACCAAGCCTCTACGTTGGTCGGTCTCCACCCGGAACTCCGCAGAGAATTGATCCAAGTATGTGATTGCAGGTGTCCTTCTCCATGCTAAATCAGAGGCGTTCAGCTGTGCCCTACATTTGCAGCTGTAAAGGGACGCCGAAGTCAGTCCGCCAAGGCGGTTAGATAGGAAGGCCATGGGGGGCAAGAAGCAGAAGGAGTTCAAGGACATCCCTGAGTACCACATCAACGGGCAGGAGGGGGAGGACACAACTGTGAAAGGTAAAGTCTGGCTGGATCCCATGATGCACACAGAACGTAACCTGATTCATCGGTATACGGCAGCTTGGAACCCCAGGTGGTGAAGTTAACAACTTTGACCTTCTTTTAGTCATTCAGTGGGTTGACACTCCTCGTCTCATTTGACTCGAGACTTCGCTGGCGCAGCTGCGATTCTCTTCTGGCGCTCAGTTAGTAGCGGACAGCAGGTCTCATCACAGCAAACGCAGTCAGGAACAGGCCTCTTCTAAAGCGGCCTTGCGTTACTTGAACTCATTCAAACTATCAGTGTTGCATCTCTGACTGCTCACCTGCTCCTACTGATTGAAAGATACTGCTTAACTTTGAAACTTGGGCTTGGCGGCAGGCAAACTAATTGTTAAGATGCTTCTAACAGAGAATCCGTTTTAGGATCGAACGACCCTCCTTTCAGGGCAAGCTCTAATGAGTCTCTTTCTCTTTCTCCATGCAGTGGGGGATTGCGTGATCATGCGTCCCGACGCGGGAGAGCTGCCATACATCGGCAAGGTAGAAAAGTTATTTGTGGCAGGCGAGGGGAAAAAGCAGGAGAAAATCAAGGCGCGGTGGTATTATAGGCCGAGCGAAGCAAAGGGAGGGCGACGAGCTGTGAGTTTCTAGCATGAGAGCAGTGGGCCTTTTCCAATCGGCTTCACGGTTTCTGTCTTGGCGTGCAGCAGTCCTAGTTTTGAGTCACTGCCTTTCACCTCTTCTGCACATTTTCCCCTTCTGCCAAGTGCCTTGAGTACATCAAATGTCTCCCAGGACGTAGCGTGAACTCGCTTGCTTTGCGAGCAGGAAACGCCTCTCGTAAACAACCTGCCAATCTTGGCTTCGCCGTTTCTGCGCACTTATCTACAAACTATCATCATCACTCCTTGTACAAGAAGCACGTCTCATCCTACATGCGAACCTTTCCTAACCCCTCGCACCATATTATTCGCTCTGTCTGTGCAGTTTCACGGGAAGGCGGAGCTGTTTCTGTCGGACCACTACGACGAGGTGTGGGCGGAGGCCATCATGGGCAAGTGCCGCGTGCACAGCTTCAAGAAGTACATCCAAATGGAGGACCTCGGGGAAAACGACTTCTACTGCCGCTTCGAGTACAAGGCCCAGACAGGGGCCTTCGTGCCGGATAAAGTAGCAGTGTGAGCAAAGCTTCGCGGGCTCCCTGTTTTTCAACTTCTTCCGTTGTTCTTTTGCAGGCGGTCAAAGTAGTTCGAAGCCATGGAATTCGTTATATGCAGGAACACGGCAAGCAGTGCCGCCCCTGCTTCTCTTCAAACCTTCTTCTGTTTGATCTGGTCTCAGCAGGTGCCTTTCTGTGGCGTCAGACTCGTTGTCAGCCCGAGATGGAACCCGCTCACAAAGTTTCCGTTGTGGTGCCTCTGTCGATGAGGGAAGTGAGCAGCGAAGATGAGGGGTTCACTCAAGGAAGCCTTCGCGCGCAGACCGCTAAGACACGGTCTGATTCTGTATGAATGACCAAGTGTTACCGGGATTTGCAGGTACTGTCTCTGCGAGATGCCCTACAACCCGGACGACCCCATGGTCCAGTGCGAGAAGTGCCGCGACTGGTGAGGCTGCTCGCGGAACCGCAGAAATCGTCTGCTGTCACTTGCGTCGGGGGGATCAAGACTCGCAAGCAGAATGCTTCAAAGTCGTTACGTAAATTCTAAGGAGCAGATAGTGGAAGCTTCCTCTGAGCCTTGAGTATTTTCCGAGGAGCAGGATCTTGGAGGCTTCATTCGGGGTCAAGAGCCTGCCACATCCTGAGGGGACGCTGTCCGTAGGTGTCAGAACGCGTGGAAGGAGAACGGGGACTCGAATCGAGCTCCCAGTACCCCCTTCAGTCTAGGACCCCCTGCGCGCGCAAAGGTTGACGACATTGTGTCCGGCCGTAGTTCCGCAGCTTTCGCTACATGCTAGTGTACCGATGGTTGAACACCCACGAGTCCGGGCCCGGAGTCCGGTCGAGCTTCGATCGGCGGACTCAAAAGCGTCACCTGCCGCGCGCGCAGGGGGCCCTAGACTGAAGGGGGTACTGGGAGCTCGATTCGAGTCCCCGTCCTCCTTCCACGGGTTCTGTCACCCCGTCTGCCTGCCTACTTCTCGCCAAAAATTTTGTCCAAGTGCCGCGGTATGCTTGTGTGTCGCATCACCTCCGTTCCTGAGAATGGAGCTGCGAGGTCCTTCGCGCCGCAGTCCGTTTGAAAGGGCCCTTCGGTGACTTGAAGCCGATCTTAGATTTTTCGAGGGCCTTCGGTCTCTTATGTCCACCACTGGTCCGACAACGACGCTGCACCAGGCAGCCAGAATGGCATAATTTCACCATCCTCCTTTTTCAAACGGTTCCACTCACTATGCCACGGAGCCTCCGCTATTCAGAACAAGGTTTCCAGAATTGGCTATGATTTTGCTGGGCTCCTGCAGATACTCGTGTTCTACCCTTGCCTTCATTTTCGTCCTTTTGCTGCGCAGGTACCACCTAAAGTGCGTGAATTTAACCAAGAGCACTGTGAGGAAGCTGGAGGTGTTCTTCTGCGACTTGTGTCAAAAAGAACCGCAAGAGACGGTCGAAAGCGGAGACGAGAACGTGAGGGCTGCGCACCCATTTTCGCCAGTTCCTCACAACTTTGTCAATCTTTTGTTCTGTCCTGGAACTTGTTTCTTCTCTTAAGAGGGCGTCTCAGGGTTCTGCGTTCCTCTCACGTGTTGTGGGCTTCCGAGTATGTCTCGCAGTCCCTTACATGAGACAGGACGGCAGTCTTGCGTTCCCCGCTACCTGTTGTTGGCTTTTATACTACTTGCCGACCCGTTGTGAGGTCCTTGACCACGATGGACTGCGTCGATGTTGCCAGCTGATTTTGCAACTGTTTTCGAGTCCTGGAAGGCTCACTTGTACTTCCATTCTGATCTCGGGGCGGTCTTTCGACAAAAAAGTCATGAGCCATCTCCAGTCAGTTGGTCGGTGCTCAGGGCCTCGGGTATTGATCCTCCACTTTACCTTTGTGAAGGATGCGTCCAACGAAACCCGTGCATAGCTGCATAGCGGCCAGAGACATACGCATCGTGTTCTGGTAGTAGAGCCCCAAACCACTGAACATCGTGGAACGATATCTTAACAGTGTATGCGCAAGCTGCCCTGATACGCTCTCAAGGACCAAACCCGCGTTGTTTGATGGAGCCGGAGGATGAGCGCATGGTCAGGTTTGTCATAGATCACCGTTCATTTTCGAAGCTCACTGAAAAGTCGTTGTGCTGCAGGCTAGGAGCTAGCATAGAACAGCCGGGAGGCAAGGCTTGTCATTCTGATCGTTGCAAGCAGATTGTGTGTAAGGATGCAACAGCGGGTCGAGGCAAAATTCCTGTATGGACGGATAAAAATTTGGCACGTGTCCCTAGACAGCAGTTCGACTGTCAGTGTTTCAAGCGGTACGGGCACAAGAAAAGCGTAGCAAAGTGTTGTTCTGTCATAGGTTTTTCTAGGTCGCCGGTTAACTTAGCATGTAGATATGTGAGGTGTAAGATCTATGCGGCATAAGATAGTGGATGTTCCTCACAGGACTATGGATTCAAGGGTCCGTTTAGCAGCTCAGAGACATGGGGCAACAAGCCTCTCACAGTTGTGTGAGAAAGGGCCATACTTAAGCGTTGCGTCAGCTCTGCAATGCTAGTACAGAGGATCAGTCCTGGATTTGACATGAATCAGACTGCAAGAGAAAGTCAGAAGGGTTGCTTATAGTGCTATGTGGAATTGACTTGCAGGTGGTGCGCGCACAGCGTGCATCAGGATCCGATCCTCATCGATCGCACTGCAATATTTTTGAAAGACCAACATGTCAATCATCAATGTATTCGCAATGATGCACCGGTAAGGTTTCTATATCATTCAATGATGTATACGTACAGCTTCACTGTTGGAGTGCACGGGACCGCTACGGCGCGACGCGCGGTTTTAGGTATTTGCAAGGTTCTACCTCGATACCCGGTCGGTCCTACCTGCAAATTACCTCTTTATCGACCTCCGTATACCTCCGATAAATCGGTGTTTCCGCGGCCGGATCGAGGTTTTAAATTTCAATTTAACGACTCGGCGATACTGTGAACTGGGCCAATTCCTGTACGGAATATGACGTGGCCCTGCCCTACGACAAATTTTCGATCGCGACCGGACGGTCCCGACCGGGTGGTACCGCCCTTTACTCCACCGTCCGATGACAATTATGAGTGCATTATCGACGATTTGAATGAGTCGCTCAGGTACCTCAACTCGCGTTGAGGCTGGAGAGGCCCCGTTGCAGGTTAGAAGACCCACGACCGGGACTGAAAAGTAGGTAGACCATGAAAACACGGGGCCTCGAGTCATGAGGTGCTGCAATGGCGTTTTACACCAAGGACGGAGCCACCTTGGCCATGGCTTCCAATACCTCTTGGGATGGAGTTTGGGGACAGGGGCGGAAAATTGGAAAGTTGCAACTCGATATATACCCCTTGGACTACCTCCAACCAAGTGGACACCCCTGCCTCCTCTCGGATTTGCATGTTATATAGCTGCCTCCTTGGCTCACATTTAGGGCCAAATTACCTTTTTCTAGAGTTTTTTCCTAGGTTCCAAAAATAATTCCAAGGTTTCTCCTCGGTGCGATCGTACTCCGACCTCCGAATATCCAAAATTTTGCCTCCGAAAACCGTCGATTTACCGTCTCGCGCGACCTGCGGACTTTCGGTCCGACCGAGGTAAACCGTAACTAAATTACGGTCGGACCGAGGTCCGCAAGTCGCGCCGTAGCGGTCCCGTGTGACTGGCACCCGGCCGGCATGACAGCTTTCCAGCTGATCCATCATGCCGGCCCATGCATCATATTATATGCATGTGATATGCAACGGTGCATGCATTTCAATACCGTCATATATATGCCGCCATGCGAGCATGTGCTAGGCCATCCGGCACATGGGCAGCTATAGTCTAGGCAGAGCTATACTAGCTATAAGTAAGTTAGTACCGTACGTCCGGGCTCCCGAGCGGCAGGATCGATGCAATACGCACCGTTGCATGCCAATGCAACGGCTTATGCGATCACTGGCAGCGCCGGCCAGGCGGCCGGGGAGCAGCCAGTGTACGTTTTGAATACATCAAAGATACACGCGAAAGCTCATTAGTATGATATTCGTGCTGGCATGTGCTTTAAACACTACGTGCGAACTTTATTCAGCTTGTGAACCATGCATGTCAGTCGGAATTTGAATGGTTGCCAGCACTGCATAAGGCTGGGGGCTGCGGCTAAGGCGCTGGATTCCCATATCATTGCCGGTTCAGGATTCCGTTGGCTGAGACATGTACATAAACTTTGTTTCCGATTCCGAGATCCACGAATGTACACTGTATGGAATCTCAATCAGACTTGATCAGCCTCGAGTCTTCGACGTGTGCGTGTAAGGAGAGCAATGTCCGATGCTTGGAGACATTCCTGGAGGAGCGGAAGCAGTATTGAGTTCTCGAAAGAGATCACAAACGACAAGATTCTAGACGGAAAATCTTCATCAAATAGACAAACGGAGATGGACATGCTGACCTGATTACCCAAACCTAGCGGCCAATGCGTTCAATTCTTGAGCGGCTTTCCTAAACGCGCAAGAACGGATGGTTGAATCGCGTCCCGCCAAGCGCAGTCACACGAATATGGAAACAAGTACAGACTAAGGTCGCCCGTGAGGTCGCCGACAAGACAACAAACTGAGGCTCGTTGCTATGAAACTCGTCGAGAAACATCGACTCGCTCGGCAGGAAAATTGCTGATAGCACTGACTTGCTTGAACCACAATTAAATTAGAGCCGTTACCATCACAGGTAGCATGGGTCTGATAGTAATGAACACACCCCACATATGTATGCCATGAGAAGCCTATGGCCGAGCTGGCTACGGCGTATTTGAAGAGAGACCAATCACAATAGAAGGGCAAATACCTGGCGGTCGCCGCTGCTAACGGCCGAAACTCCTCGCCCACAGCTGTACAGGTCCGTTACGACGTCTCCGGACGTCCGAAACGTTTCTACCACCGTCCGGGCTGCTGCCGGGACTCAGCAACTGTACATCACCTTCCTGCAGCGACAAGAGCACGCCAGCATGACACGTAGCTCGGCCAGAGTATTGTGTCCTGCGGCCAAGATTTGAAGTTGCAGCCCATGTGACCGTGGACAGTTGTTGTACCTCGTCAAGGCGCAGACGAGGTTCCTGGCTTGTCATTGATGCTTCTCAAATTGTCGCCTACAAGAGGCGGTATGAACAGCCTAAAATCTCAACCTGAAAACGCAGAGCTTGATTCGTGTCTACTATCAAATTTCGAACTCGTCCTATTGTCGTCAGAACAAGAGCGACTTGACTCAGGTTCCTGAAGGCAAAGCTAGATTGGAAAAGCGATTGAGGAAGCGCAGTTTAAGGGCGGACTCGAAGAGATGCTCACGTTAGCGCCGCGTCTAGTTCCTCTTCGTCCGAGCAGTTGTATCCGAGATAGTACGCCTGAGCTGTAATGAAAGACGAGGGGAAGGCGTTACTGTGAGGAACTGGCTGAATTCAACGGTAAACTATTTGGTATCGGACTTCGGGTTGGACTGGACCAGAAGAAGGCGATGGGGACGACCTCGGGCGCTGGGCCTGGCGTTTCTAAGGACAGGGCATGCACGAGAGTCGTTCGAGATGAACCCTCGTGGATCATTATGAGGTATCATCGATCATCGTTGATTCTGAGCAGAGTCGTAAACGCGTTTACTCTGGCGCTGTCTCGAAATGCCGCCTGTTCTCAAAGTATGGAACCTCATTCAAGTGTCTCCGCACGGCTATTAACAGCCATATTCATGAAAAGTACATCTGCCATCAGTTGGTGACCAGTGCTTTGAGTAGCGTCTCCCCCCCTCTCTCCCCCACCTTGCCCGGGGGGGTGGAGACCCGTCACTCTCCACCCCCTCTCCCCCACTAAAGAAAAATTCTCTCCCATACTTTCCCCCCATTCAAACATTGCTTCGTATCGTAGAAAGTGCTTGGAGAATTGTGAAAATACGAGACCGGACTCTTACCAAGGCGGCCTCCCATGGCATACGTGTCCTGTTCCTCTACAGCCCGCGCCTGCAGAAGGGAAGCATGATGCGAGTTCTCATGTTCGTGCTTCTGCCAGCTTACATTTCCGGGCTGTATATCCGCAAACTCAAGCTATCCTGTTTCCTCTGCTCTCGGAGTCCTTCCCAACAAGTCATTCAGCTTTCTCAAGCACAATCGGGCAAAAACCTCGCAACTGCTTGAGCATGACTTGACCGGGACTTCGACTGTTGTGCCTGTCGAGAAAGATGCTCCTAAGAAAGTCAACTTAGCAGGTGCGAACTTGACAGCAATGCGAACAATGCAGCGATGCAAATGACGCAATTCAACATATGAAGCACAATATCAAAGCCGTTTTTCGTGACTGACCCTCAACGGCCCATGGAGAGGCGGAAAAGTCCAACAACCACAAGACTTATCGGAGAACGAAGGAGTCTTTACACAATCAGAACAGAAGCTAGGCAGGAATACGTCTCAATGACCAATAGGCCACTAACTACTTGACACTCCGAAGCGCTAGAACTTGGAAGACGAAAGACTTGGAAGCAAAGATGCTGGAGAAGCGAACGGAATGTCGAAAGTGCAGAGACCCGGCGTCTGCCCACCTGCGCCCCGGCCTCCTCCTCCTCTGCTGGCGTCACCCAGCGGTCGAAGCAGCGGCCAGAGATGCCGCAGACTAGCAGGTCGCTCGCGGGGTCCGACACCATCTCGCGACACGTCTCATCGCAGACTGCATAATAACGGGCGTTTCTGATGAGCGTTTTTGGTGGGCGCTTCAATTGAGTGACAGGCGTTTTCTGATGAACGACTTAAGCGGACGCTTTTGGTGGGCACTTCCTGAGGGCGCTTTTAATGGGCATTTGGTTTAGCGAGCCGATCTGGTGGGCTTTACTTGGTGGCCGTTTGATGCGGGCGCTTGTTGGGCGATTTCTGTGGGCGCTTTCGGATGAGGGACTTTTGGTCGGTCTAGCAGGCGTTCTTAGAAGGCGCTTTCCGTGGGGGCTTCCACTTAGCGAGAATTCGCTCTTACTGCCAGAGTACTCCTTTTAGTGGGCGCTGTTGTGAAGCACTCTTCGAATACTTTCTTAGCAGCCTACTGCAGAGGGCGCCTCCAATTTGCCTAGAGCTTGAGCTTTCGTCGCAAAAACCTCCGGAAACCATCAAGATTCAATGGAGGCTGCGCGAAGAAGGTTTACCATAAGGGCAAAACACCCTTCTGGTCCGACCAATTCGATCCCATGCGGACAGTTGCTCAAGCACGTTTCGTTCAACAGGAACATCAGGGTCCGAAACCGCACAAGCTACACGCAAAGGCCCTGATCGCCCATGTGAAGCAGATAGGCGGTAAGACCGTCAATAGAATCTGAAGCGGTCAAGCAAAACCAGTGCAAGTTTCCCGAACAAGCAACCACCAGTAAAGTTCGCGAGGGCGGCAGGCAGCAGACTGCGCCAAGATATCCGACGTCAGAGAACGGGCACTGACACTCCATGTTTTGTCCCAATCGAGCTTGAAACAATTCCACCGTTCGTAGCTCAAAACGCTCGCTTTCTCTCCACAGAGTATGCTTTCCGAAAGTCCTGGCTAAACCCCTCCAGCATTCTCGTATCGTCCTGCCTAGCCCCCTGCGATTCATAAGTCTGCTTTTCCAATTCCCGCAAATTTTCTCACCGTGAATGTTCCCCGTTCTCTCGCAAATGAAAACGTCCCCGATGCGATGGTAGGAACACCGCTGGCCGGAGCACACGTGCCCGGCACCCGCCTCAAAGGTCTGCTTCGCTTTCCAGTCTCTGATCTGGTCCGCAACCGACGTGTCGACTTTGACAAAATCCCCCGAATGCACCTACGTGAGGAGTCGAGAAACTCTCTGTCTGTTCCTGCCCTTCGAGTCGTATAAGAAACCATAGCTTGCACACCCACAATGCGCTCAGCCTACCCATCATCGTGTCCAAGAATAAAAACAATGATTAGAGGTACATGCAATTCGCTTAGCGGACCTGCGCTCTTTAGACGTTCTTAACTTTAATTTTCTTTTACCGTCTCAGAACGGGAGGTGGAAGCATTAAAGCGTTACGCACTATCAGAACGGCTCAAGATGCATCTCGAAATCCGTTTCCTAGAAAGATTTGCTCAGCGATTGATGGGCAGCGGTTGATGGGCGCTGACACTGCACTGAAAAGCTTCGTTGTTCAAATGCGCCATACTACTCGCGTTGCACATAAGCGAAGAAGTTAACATCGACAAAAACCAACCGCATCGAAGCTGAGCTCTCATCTTTTACAAGGATAACTCGCAAAAGGTTCACCAGAGTCCCCTGAAAACTTCGATTATATATTCTTCCAGGGTACTCTGAGATTTCTGAGAAATAACAGAAGGCGTATACTCCAAGAATGTCACAGATATTATCTGATGGAAGTTAGGGTCGCACCTGATGGACTTGCTGCACCGCTGGCGTCTGTGACCGCTTTGCCGCGGCCATCTGACCGTAGATCTCGCGGTACTCGGGGGGAGCGTTTCGCAGCGTTTCGCGCATTTCGGAACCATCACGCTGCATCACGCAGAGTTGAACAAGGGTTCAGAGTCCGTGAGTGAGTTGGATACTCCCTATTCTCAAGTATACGACATGTAGCCAGTATCTCATTTCACATTACCCCGTATTGGAAGAAATTAGATAACCAGGGCTTTTCCAGTTCTTACAGAGTTGCCTTAGCGTCAAAAAGGACTCAAGAGCTGGATGAAGCGAGTTGAAACCACAGCAGGAACCTGAGAAGAGTTGTTCACCTTCTGAAGACTTCAGGAACAAGGAAACAAACGAGGCAGGAAGTTGAGCTTCAAAGCAACACCAATACGGTTCTCGAGTGCCCTGCTCGTCTCTAACGAACTCACAGCGGCATCAGAGGCGGACCTCCTTGCTTTGAAAAGATCGCAGTAAGCATGCACAGCTCGTCAGAAGCCTTGTCTCGAGAAGTAAAGTAGAATCCAATTGGTCAAGGTGGGCTACACTGGTCTCAGAATGAAGGACAACAAGGCTTGCACGCATCACAACCCACCTCGAAATAGAGCTGCTTCCATGATTTGCCGCGCACTCGACTGGAGCGCCTGCGGTCGGTTGCAGGGGGCGGCCCCCAACGGTTACAGTACCTGCAATAGCACGTGCATATCTTCATTCGTTCTGGGGGATCCCCTAAAGCTTCGATAGGGCAAACCGCCCAGCAAATGCAGTACAGAGACTTTGTAAACTGAGAAACTTCTTGAGAGCCCCAAACAATCATGTTATTCTGAAGGGAGGCTTGTATGTGTGTACCGCTACCCCGCAGGTGGTATGTGGCTTGTATGTGTGTAAGCTGCCCCACAGGTGGTCTCCGTGTTGAAAGCCTATCCTCTCGCGACCTCACTCCCACACTCTGACCCAAAACATGGTCGTGGACTATGATGAAATGAGTAATATGTTGCATGCGGGTTGCGCATGATAGGGAGACTTGCCACTCACAAGCTCCTCCAGAGGCCCTCATCTGACGACAGCGCACGGAACGTGCTATTCACACGGGCGACCACACAAAGGTCCTGCAAGGATGCAAGTAAGGGGCATATTACACTGGACAACGGTATACGATACAGAAGAAAGACATGCCTACGAGGCGACGAACTGGGGCAAAACAGATACTGTATCCTTGATTGACTGCGCTTCCGTGGAAATATGAGAGGCTCAAAAGGAATGGGCACGTACTCATTCGGCACAGAAGAACATACTAACCCATTGAGCAAGCAGGGACAGTTTTTGAGGAGGAAGGGAACAAGAGCCTACCTCTGCCGAGAAAAACTTCATGACATGCATGAGCAGCTCGGAGGGCAGCCATGCGAAGCAACCAAGAAGGTAGCCTTCCGATGGCCCTTTCAAACGCTGAGCAGAGCCCACTTGGATCTGCATGAACAGAGTGTATATTCATCAAGGTTGACGGCGCCACTCTGCCCTTTCTCTTCTTGTGAACCCTCAATTTGCCAATCTGGCCAACTGATCTTGATTACATGGGCGGTCGTTGGATTTAGACTTGTGAACTTTTGGCTAGCTGTTTGTGTCTTCTCCACAACGATGGGCTGCTTGCAATCGATCAAAATTGGAAGCTCTTCATACTCAAGTCAGATGTATGGTGGTGTGATACAAAGATGTCTGCGCCCCTTGAGGCATCAATTCACACCACCACCGTTTGAAGCTCAGTGTCTGCATCAGTTACTCAACATTGATGTAGTTGGCTCCGTCAAGATGGAGCTGAAAGATGTTGAGCTAGGCGTACCTCAAGCGGCTTCGCTTCCGCACCACTCCGTTCTGGCCCCTCCTGATCAGAGACGGTCTCCCGTTCTCGATTTCCAGACCGTCCCTCAACTCCCCCCCCTGCTTTCTGATGCCTTAATGAACTTTCTGCTGCTCCTTCAGGACTTTCCTCTTTTCGCATCGGGGGCATACAGCCCTCGACTTCCTCCTCTTCATTGCTTTCTTCTCCGCAACTGAGCAGGTCTGCTTCCAATTGCCTTGCGTACTCCTCGTCGCTGTCATCGGATCTCCGGCTGCCGGCATCGACCTCAATTGCTGACCCCCTTCCTGGAGACTCCATGGTTTTGGCCTGTCCCAACGGGCTCGAAGGCGGAGAGACCAAACTCTCAGAAAGTTGCTGGCAAAGTTGGCACCAAGGTCTAACTTAGAAAATAGAGCACCACCTTGCGGCCCTTGCTGTCATGATGATCATGTGTGAACCGATGCTGTGTGGGTAGCCATGAGCAAGAACCGAACTAGAGGCGAGAATGCGGGATTTTCCGGCGACTCGGTCGGAGAACACCTTCAAAACCTCGTCGAAGTCACAAACTATTATTAAGGAAGCTTCACAGTTGGCCGAAATCGCATGTGAAACCTTTTTGTCGAGCGTCGATCTGCAACTTGCAACTTGAATTACCCTATATCGACGGCACATTCGCATCTCACACAATTGGTGCGCTATTTATCATATAACTATAGCGTATGGGTACGTCGATCTGCAAGATCAGATCGTGCCCGTTCAAGAATTCTGCCAGTGCTGGTCGCAAGAATCCCGGGATGGCGGTCCGACTTTTCTTGATCGAGACGTGACGAGGAGGAAGAAGACGAAGCACCAGCGACAGGCGCAGGTCTCATGCCAATGGTCTCATTGGGTCCCCCATTTTGTTTTGTCTCTGGCGTTTGGACTCACATCTTATTGCAGGGGCCGTCCTGTCCAGGCAAAATGTGATGAGTAGGAATGTCTGGAGCAGAGCAAGGGACAAGTTCTGGGTGTTCTTGTAATTGAATCTACGACAGGATCCTGCAACCCGTTAGTAGAAAGACGCTGTCCTTCGTAGCGAGGCCATAGCAACAAGGTTCTTGGCTACAGGCCTGTGCGCACCTGAGGCCCTGAATTAGCGGCCAAATGGCACTACAGGTGCAAGTCTTGAACGACGTATCCCCAAAGGAAGTTGCCATGCTTGTCCAACAAGAACTCACAGCCACAGTGCTTGATTCAACCTCGAGCATTGAAGTTCACATGATGCAAATTTTGGTTTAGACTACTTTTTTGCCCCCACTCACTAGGGCCACAAAATCTTACTTGGGTGTATTGATTCAACACTCCAACAAGAGCAGGCACGGTAGTTCTCGAAAGAGTCTGGGGCAAGCAGCACAGATAGAGACGCGCTGGCTGCCAGACGAGGCCCCCAGATGGACCCCGGCCCTGCCCAAGAGGCAATGGACGCAGCCGAAACCGGCCACCGCAGCTCTCCTCGGCATTGGCCCCCCGCAAATAGCCTCTCCTCTGCATTCCTTTCGGGGTGGCGGCAGGGCCAGGCCCCTGTCTCCAACATGCTCTTCCGCTGGATGCATACAAGAACCATGCCAACTCAAGAAGAGAGCAGAGCCGGCCATGACCAAGCGGGGGCTGGGACGTCTCAAGGCCTGGCGGAAGGGGATGTGGCCATTGAGATTGGGGAGCGTGAGGTGGACGCGCAAACGACTCCCGTGAGCGCGGTTCGGCAGAGCGAGACACCGACGCACGGTGCACCGCACGCAGCGTCGAGTCCCCTGCTGACGCCGCAGAGGCTGGGACGGTTGAACAGCTCGGGGAGTGTCGTTGAGCTGTCGCAACCGGCCAGTGCGCGGAGCAGCAGAGCGGATGATAGGGATGGGGGGGAGAGCATGGGGGGCGGGGGGGCGGGGAGAGACGCGGGGCCGGCGAGGTATGATCTGCAGCAGGCGGCGCGATGGTTGGAGCAGGCGCTGCCCTTCATTCTGCTGCTCATCATGGTGTTTATTCGTGAGCATATGCAAGGTGAGGACGGTCTGAACGAGTAAGTTCTTGCGAGACTGAATCGAGTTGACGAGAGCTGCAATCCGAGCAATGCTGAAAAACGTTCTGTTTTCTTGTTTGCGCATCCCACCGAGCTTGCCCCATACCTTCCGATGCGGACTAGTTTGATCTGGGAAACCCAAAGGTGGTCAGCGAAGCAAGTCTTGTGCACATGGTTTGAAAATTGTTTGGAGGACGGCATGCTGGCAAAGTAATCTGCAAAGCATGCATGGCTTTCTCCATACATTCCAGCCTGAAGGAACGTACATTCAGCTGGTGCTTGCTGATTGCAATGCAGGTTTCTTGATGGTTGTTTGGATCACTGGCTTGATGATGAAGGCGAATGAGATTATCCGGAGAGAGACGGCTTTGAAGGTGAGCAACTGATCTGACAATTCAGTCCCTCCCACTGTTGAGCTCTAAACCAAAACTTAGTGCATAATCGATGGTCGTTTGTCATCGTTCACAGAAAGGCCTCCCAGTAGATTGTCTCAAATTACTGCTCAATTTACGTTAGTTTTGACCTGTCTTTTCCGCGCAATCTAATCTGGCCGCTCAGCAGGCCGTTGCCGAGTGACATTGATTCTGTCAGCTGATATGTGACGGTGCCACACTGATTCTGTGAGCTGAAGCGATATTTCGTGTCTTGTGCAACGTTGCACAGTGAACAAAGTCCGACCATACAAATTATCCTCCACAGCTCGCTCCACCCATCTGTCATCTGCGACCTCCTTCAATAACTCCGAATCCACGGCATGGAGAAGGATCATTCCTGCAGTCAAAAAGTGGAAATGGAACGTTGCTCATCATTTCGAATCTCGGCACGACTCAGTCTGGCATCTTCGTTGCAGACTGAGAAGCGCAGCCTGCTTCTGCTGGGCCTGGCGGCGGTGCTTGCGCTGCACATTGCGGCGGTGTACTGGTGGTACCGCAATGACGAGCTGTGGCGGCCGCTCGCGCTGCTGCCGCTGCTCAAGATCCCGGGGTTCTGGCAAGCGGCCTGGATCATCGTGGTCAACGGTGAGTTGAGAGTGAGCTTGTTTTCAGCGATTTGCCCTGCTTTGTGAGGTACTGGCTAGCAGCCTGAGATAGTGTAGTCAACGGTGAGTTGAGATTGAGTTGTTTTCGGTGCATTTGCGCTGCTTTGGGAGGTACTGGCTAGCAGCCTGAGACACTGTGGTCGAAGATGAAAGAGCACGCGTAGAAGCACGTGTTATTCCGTGGCTTACCGAAAAGGGATCTTTAGCGGACTGGGACGTTGAAGGGTCTGCTCGAAGTTGCGGAAGGTTGCTCTTTGACAATGATGACTCTGCTCTGAGGAGGAGAAGTTTCAGACTGAAGACAAGCCACTTTGGATTGGTTTTGCGTGAGTTTCACAACGATCTTGATACATGGTTGTTCGCTTGAAGACGTCCGGTTTCGGTTTCATCCACGGCTGTTCCGGGGCGAGTAGCTCTCTTGCCGGTCCATTTTGAGCTCGGCTTCTGCGTGCTATTCGAAGAATCGAAGATTACCCACCGCTTGAGTGACTAGGATTTGGAGCTGCATTAAGTGTAGGCACAAACTCAAAATGAGCGGTGCTGCTCGAATTCGTTGAGGAGCGTTCCTACAGCCGTCCGACTTTCTGTCACGACATGTGATCCTCGTTATCTCTCATGCAGACACTCTGGTGCGATACTTCGCGATGATCATCAAGGCGTGCCTGCTGGCCGGCCAAAAGCACGCCAGGGGGCGGCCGTTCCGAAAACAGGTAAGTCCAACCCACTAGGACGAACTTGCATTCGGCTTTCGTGGCTGGGCCGTGTGCAGACGGACTTTCAGGCTGTTCTGCTATCCATATTGTTCGTATCAAAGTTTCCTGTCTTTGTGAGAAAGTTTAAGACAACACGCAAAGTAGACGCTTTGCACCTTCGGTATGCACGTTCGCTTGGGTAAACTCGTTCACGTGGTAGCCGGTCGGAGTCCTGCAGGTCGTCCGAGTAAGACATGACACTTCAGGAATAGTAAGCTCAAGGAATAGTAATATCACCAGCCCGGGACGGGCAGGGTTAGTTTGGGGGTCAGGGTGGGTACGGGTGCGGAGCAGGTAGATTTCATAGGTTAGGATTTTAGTGTTTGGTTTGAGCTTACTATTCCTTGAGCTCACTATTCCGGAAGTGTCGCGACATCGTCCAAGTGCTCACTTACTTACTCCGAGTGGTTGTCGGGTCGCGGCATCATTGGGAGCATCTTTTGGCCGAGAAATTTCCGATGCTTTTGTCATTCTTCAACTGAAACCGTCGTGCGTACAGGCCCAACTTTTGACCTTGGTGGAGTACACTTCGCTCCTGTACCGAGCGCTCATCCCCGCCCCTGTATGGTACCGGTGAGCAGCCCGTTTCTCCACCCCTTGATTCAGCTCAGGCATATTCCTGTTTAGGAGAACATGATCCTGGCGGTTCTGTCGTCGGCGCTTCTCATTCTTTCGTTGGATTGAAGCTCCCTCATTCCCAGACCTTTGCAACGCAGTAGGTACAAGGTGCTTGGTAAATGATCTGGTTGTCTTCCGTCTTGTGCCGCAGCATCTGTAAACTCTCTAATGCGAATGTGGACCTTTTTTTCATCAATCGTTTCCGCACTGTGCTTGTCTTCGGAAGAGCTACCGGAGCGGAGGAGCTCGTTCTCTGTCACATGAGCTCTGTGCAACTTTGAATCATAAGGAGTCCCTGAAATACTGCCCGCCCAAAGTCTTACAATTCCAGGCCAGCACACTTGCCAGCTTCTAGTTTCTCACACCTGGCCTCTCTCGACGTCAGGTTCTTCTTGAACGAGACGTACGGCCACCTGTTCTCGAGCCTTACCACGGGCCTGTACCTCACCTTCAAGCTCACGGCGACTTTCGACAAGGCAAGCTTTTGCTTTACGCTCTCCTTTCGACTTTATCTCTTTGCCTTGAGGAGTCCCTTGACCATCAGAAAGCACCGCGTTTGTTGGGACCCGTGTTCAGTATTTGCCGGGAAGCCAAGAGGCCAGGAATCGACCACCATACTGAATGCTGAAGTCCTCTTTCATTCGTATTTCACCAAACACTTCAGCTTCTTCAATTCCGTTTCGGCTGGTGCAAGTTCTTTGGCAAAGTGAGGATCACCATTGTAAAACCTCTATTCTGCTTGAGGCCATTATCCGAGATCAGTCCGATCATTCTGGTGACCGTCTGAACACACAAATAGTTCGGGATTACTCGAACCCCTGTAACCGACCAAAGCCGTTTGATCACCCAAGAGCCGTCTTTTCACTCCAGCTCGATTTGAACCAACCACCCGATGGTTTTGGACCTAAAAGACCGTCCCAATTTCAGAAAGAGAGTGTGAAAAGGCACCTGCGTCCGCAGGTGTGCTCGTTCATTTCGGCTGCGCGGACCGTCGCCCGGAGAGAGGTGCAGTACGGCCAGGTGGCAACTTCTGAAGAGGTAGGACTCGTGATTACGTCTCCGCTGAACAGTTTTTGGAAGTCCGATGCTTGCGGTCGATCAGAGGTCGTCGGTCGTCCTTATCGACGGCTACCGCTGTTCGGTTCGGGCAAGCGTCTGGCTTAGCCCCAAATTGACAAATTTTTTTGACATTTTTATTCTTTATCGCTTCGCACACTCTGGGAGCCAAGCCCTTCCCTCGGAAAAGATCTGGAGTTTGAGAGGGGAAGAATCACAGCCGAATTCTGCAAAGATATGCGCCGTCTCGAGTCGGAAACGGGCCGTAGTGGCTCAAATGTTGCAGTTTTCCCTCAGCGCGGGTCCACTCTATTCGCGAACCGGCCCCATTAGAAGGGACGAGGCCTCGTGCGCCTCCTCGCAGATTGCACTTAGCAGTCTGTGGAGCACCGATGGCTGGTCTGTGGAGCATTATTTTGAACTGCGTCTCCCGTGATCTCCAGACCCAACAATCAGACTGCTTCCGTCAGCTAGCAAACCAGCATTTTGGAACGGCTATTTGCAGCTGCGAGATCCGGAAGGCCCCAAGCATTGACGCGCTTCGAGTTCGTATCGTGTTTGTGACTAAAGGTGCACGGACTTACGGACCCACGCGGCCATCCCATCCTAGTTGTTTGCTCTGCAGGTGCTGGCGGCAGGGGACCTGTGCGCCATCTGCCAGGAGAAGATGCAGTCGCCCATCTCGCTCCGGTGTCACCACGTGTTTTGCGAAGACTGCGTGGCAGAGTGGTAAGCATTGCAAATCTCTATCAGCTTTTTCCGCGTTGTTTGCGCATCAACAGAATGAATGCGGCCGGTTAAGGGGTAACCCGTCAAAGGTGAGCTTCGAGGAGCGGTTGATTGGGAAGTCCGAGCGTTTCATTCAGCTTCAAGCAGTACCAGATTCATGGGGCTGTTTTGACGTGATCCACTTGGGCGTTGCAGAGCATTCGTCTATCTTTGACTTAAAAAGGCGTGGTTCGTAATGCTAGCGATGGTGGTGCAGTTTGATACATCCCGCTCCCTCACAAGCCCTCGGAAGTGACAGTGTCTGCTCGATCATCGCAGGTTTGAGCGCGAGCGCACGTGCCCACTTTGCCGAGCAGTCGTCAAGTCAGCTGGCTTGCGCTCCTTCGGAGATGGTACAACCACGCTTTTGGCCCAGCTGTTCTGAAATTCGGCGAGTTTTGCTGGGAATGAGCTAAAAAGAGTCTGGAGGAGTGTTGACCGCATGTCTGCCAAGAAACAAGGACTTGGCTTTTTATTGGCGAACGTTCCTTAAACAGGGTTGGCTCTTGGAGCAGCTGGCTCCAAGGTCCTACCGTTGCTTTCTTGCATGCAGTACCTAGTTCCTCCACTGCGCCAACTGGTCCACCAGTATCATGCGCAACGTTTTGAGAACGATCGAAGTCACTCTATCAGGACGGTCGACCTGTTGCTGAGTTGAACATGTGGTGCTGCAATGTAGGTGTTTGAACGGCTAATGATAGTCATGCAGCGAGACAGCCCTTGGCGCGGATGACTGGCTAGGCACTTAACCACATGCATAGGCTGGTGGCTAGCGTTCATGTGGCCGGCGGTATTGTATGCTTACAACTTCAAGTATGTTGCATGATTGGCCGATCTTTCATTCGTTTACCCTGCGTAGCTGGATAGTAGCCTGTAGTGACTTGAATGCATGAGAGATTCAAGTGAGTCCATGCACGTGAATCCATTCGATCATATGGACTCTGGAGCACCGCGTGCCGACGTTGTTGAACCTACGCGGCGTATATCTCATGTTACATGTATACGTAGAGAGCTCTATCATAGTATAGCTTTGTAATTGTTATTGCCCACTGACCGTGAGTCCGTCATATATATGGCATGGCCAGGCAGATTGACGACTGCATGCATGAGGAGCTGTCACTTGCAACTTGCTAGCAGACTCAAGATCTCCATGCATGCATGCATGCAGGCTATATAGGCGATCTGATCTGTACTCAGTGACCATTTGATTCGACATGGCGGCAGCTGTCGGTTAGGAGCTGCCGAGTATCACCTATGTGTTCTTAACTCAGGATTGGGTCAATTTAAGTAAATTGTTGGCGAGTTTATGGTTTTAGTATATGGTATAGACGGCCCCGAGCATCGCTATATGGACGCGCGCAGTGTACTCCAAGATATTGCATGTTACCATGCAGGGTGCAGGTCATGCAAGGCGTTGTTTGAGTTATCTTTAATTTAAGGCATGCTTCAAATCGAGTCTGAAACAATGAATTCAGGAAAATCTAGCAGCGTCAAACGCTTAGTGTTGGGATCCTATAATCATGCAGTAACCATGTGACATTTGTGTGCTTGCACCTGCAATTACCGAGAAATTGAGCATCAAAGCTGCGTGAATCAAATCTTAACGTTACATTGGCATATACCTTCTCGATCATTGTCGAGCTCGCAGCTTGAAACTAGAACGTCTAATCCTTGAGCCGAGCCTACTGTTCTGTCTAATGGCTCTTCAGAGATGCACCTGTGCGTATACCAGAATCAGACATGGTCAAACCCGCTGGCTGTGACCTAGAAACCCTCCTTGCCATCTGCCTTTCGGAGTGATCCAAGTGCGACTGGAGCGCTTGTACCAACAATCGTTGACTTGGCGTATTGAGACGCAACATCAACACCAGCAGCCTTCTCCTTTTCAATCTGCTCCTTGATCCAGAAGTAAGTGATCCTCAGCCCGTCCTGGAGAGACAAGAGCACAGGAGTTCAATACAAGTAAGACCGATGCAACTGCCCTAGTTCAACCTGGTCAACTTATTGAGCAATCAGAACCGGGCAAAAATTTCCGTGACCCGAAACCAACAAGTACAAGTTTGCGGCGTGAAGATACAAACCGGTGATTCGACGATGAATCGCCCTGGTATACTCAGATGGACCCATGGTCGAGGCTAGAAGAAACATGGCTGTCTTAGCAAAAAGAAGCGACTGACAAGAGAGTGCTCTGTCCAACCGGACAGAGTAGCATGGAGTCAAGAAGAAATCATGCACAAAGTTACAGTTCCTATCGGAAAACCAAGCTCTTGCTCCAATGGGTTAAGAAACTGATGCTGTGAAAACAGTGCTCACCGCAAGCTTCATTGTTGGTGACCAGCCTAGCTTCTCCTTGATCAAGGTGTTGTCCGAGTTGCGCCCGCGCACGCCCTCGGGTCCAGGGATGTGCTCAATAGGAAGGTCCTTGTTTTCGAATGACATGATGATCTTGGCCATGTCGTTCATGCTGACCATCTCATCGCTTCCAATGTTCACAGGCTCCATGAAGTCGGACTTCGTTAACCTGCAAAAGCAAGGAGAGGGTTCCCAGAGAGTCCCAACTAATAATAGAATAGTTAGTCTGGGTGGCGAGTGTCAGTCAAAGCCACGTGACAAAGCCACGTGTGATCGCTTCCACTACACCAACTGCTACTTTGCTGCACACAACGTGAGAATTGCACGCTAAGATGTCAGGTGTCTGCGCCACTTCCCCCTAAAACAGAAGTAGCGACTATGATTGACACCTGGAAGGAAAGGCCTTCCGAGTGCCCCCCCAAATCAGAGCAATGTCTACCTTATTTCAGCTGTCCTTATCTCACCTTCTCTAGACTGCACCTACCAAACGACACGATCAGTGCTTTATGTTGATTGATGACCTACCTCAATACGCCTTCGACGCATTCATCGATGAAAGTGAACGACCGCGTCTGCTTCCCATCACCCCACATCTGGAACTTGTCAGTGGCGGTGAGGACCTTTCTGCAGAAAGCTGCCGGAGCCTTCTCCCGACCACCTGGCACAGGAAGAGAGAACTTTTGAGTACAGACAGATTACGCCACCAATTGATTGAAGTACCACAGCAGCCGCGCTTACTGCTTCATGATAGACAAGGCGCAGCGCAGACTGGATCAGACAGCAAGCCTTTATGGGAGCTGGAAAAGGTGGTGCATAGATCCCCAGCAACACAAAGCTGCGAAGGGTGTGGAGCTGGCGTCCATTCCAGATTGAAAGCCTTCCAGAACAGTTCCTCACCCTTCCATGTGCCGTAAGGCCCATAGATGTTGTGGAAGCGACCAATTCGGCACTCAATCTTGAAATCCTTGTTGTAGTGTTTGCACAGCTCCTCAGAGGCCAGCTTCTCCAGACCATAGGCATCCTGAGGCTGCAAGTTGAGAACCACAGCGCAAACGTCAGAACTTCCCCAGGTACAACAAACTGACGCAAACTGTTGCAAGAGCACCAAGCCTCTGAACAGCAAGCTCTTCAAATCGTATTATAGCATTTCAGGTGTGTTACCTTCCTCTATCTATGGCCCTGTCAGAAAAATCATTCATCATTGCGATTGTTTGGCTTTGACACTGCTCTTACCTTGGCCCTGCTGATGTACTCGCAGCATCGCAGGAGATTTTGATTAGCCAGACTAGAAATCTAATCAGGCTGCTTTTACTTTCTTTCAAAAAGTAGCTGCTGCTTTGACGAAGTTCTTTAGACAAGCAGCCGGTCTACCACCACTTTCTGGAAAGTACTGCTGCTTCGTGCATTTGCATATATTGATCAGGGGTCCACCGCCACCCTCGTCAGCTCACCTCAGCGGGCCAAGCGTCTGATTCCTTCAAGGCCACAATATCTGTTTGCAACTGCACAATACAAAGAACAAGAGTGATTTCATCTCCTTCATTCAACTTTTGGGAGCAGGTGGCAGTAAGAACCATCACTGAACAGTGCAGTTTGATTAGTCAAGATGCAATTGGTCAGCCTTCAGAAAGTGGATTGCACTGATCAGGTGCAGCAAGAGTGCTGATCAATCAGAACTTTGGTGCAAAGTTTCCGACATATTCACGTTTATGTTTTGACAGGAAGATTACTTGCCTGCTTGAACTCGGGGTAAATGCAGGCGCTTGAGGCGTAGAATAGTCTGCAAAACCACAACACTTTGGTTAATGATATGCTGATGGAGGAACAAACACACACATCAGGACGCTGAAGACGCTTTCGACTTTCACTAAAGCGTGCACTGTATGAGACAGCGGCTACTCATGATGATTTTCTCTAGAATTACGCTTACCACCACCACCCCAAGCAAAACTGCATTGATCCACGATCAAGCGCCAGGCGTTGAGAATCACCTTTGAACCCCATTGATCCGAGAGGCCTCCAACATGTTGAAGCTGATCATTGTGTTGTTATACATGATGACGCCGTGGTTTGACTGGATAAAACCCATGCCTCCCATGTCAGCCGCCAGGTTGAAGACATGATCGATGCCCTTGGTCACCTCCAAGCAGTTGTCCATGACCCGAAGGTCAACCTGAAAGCGGAGGCCTTGGATCAGTGCCTTACAAAGTCAGCACGGGGATGCACAGAATATCATGCTATGGATGAAACAGCAAACTGCATCGCAAGCATACAACAAGATACGATAGGCAATATCCTCACAGCGTCATGAGGACTGCTGGCACAATGGCACAACCTCAACCTACTTACCAGATGGAACTCGTCGCAGAACATGTCCTCCGGCATGTGCTCATTCTTTTTCCAATCTGAAGCAACCACGTAGTGTCCCTCCTTCTTGAGTCTGCGTGCAATGTGAGATGCAATGAAACCACCTGCACCTGTCACAGAGATCCTCAACTTCTTTGATGGCCAATACGGCTCCTTATCCAGGTTTGTGGCCTCGTAGAACTGGGAGTGCGTAGCCATGGTTGATGGTCGCTGAAGCGAGGAAGCTCGCAACAGGAATGGTTGTGCGAAGCGCAAATGTTCTGAGTACTACTTACTGCAAGGGTGCTGTGCTCCTGCTGTGCTTCCTCAAAAGAATTCTGGAAGTGAAAAGCTTGGTGTGGGAAAACCGTGACAGGAAGAGACAAAAGATCCGATTTGCAGAGACAGGGAATCGCTCTGGATCGTTTGCACAGATTGGCCAGTCGCAGCAGCGGCTGCAGCCTGAGGAATCAGACCTTGCTGCCCTGCTTGACTCGTGCCAGCCTTGATCAGCAACTTTCAGCTCTGTCAACGGTGCACGCGCACGCATAGCCACACGATCTGGCACCTGGGTCAAAGGCTAGCGTGGACTCGCCTTCACGGTTCTTTCACCTCTGTGTAGGGGCCCGGGAGACGTCAAAATAGTTTCTAAGTGTCATACGAAAGCGGAAAAAGGATCAGTCCGTGGTTGACACTTCCATTTCCACCGGGCCTCCACAGATCTCACCTGTCCTCCAAATAATACCGGACCGAGTTTCGTACCTGGGGATTCGCACCGTCGATGAATCTGACTCATCTTTTTGGAACCAATCGGGGCCTTTCAATAAAATACAAATTTTGACCGTAGGATTAGTGCTTTGGGAATCGACGGTTCGAAGTGGCCTTTAAAACAAATTTATTGTGTCAACAGCAGATTAATGTCGGCAGCAATCAGGCACGTGGCAAGATAAGAGGCAAAATTACCGGCCAACCCCCCAGTAACCAGAAACATATATATATACATCGTGGCAACTCCCTTGTCTCCTAAGGGGCTTTCTCCAAAAATCTAAAAGCCCGGGCAATTCTGCCAGAAACTCTAACCCAAAACCTTTATTCGCTCCGCACCTCTACCAACTCTAACCATTTAAGCAAACCCTACTCGTTCCCGGTATATGAAGCTCCAGAGACAAGCCCCTTAGGAGACAAGGGAATTGTCTGGATAAGACATACGCCGTCGAGGCCAGTTGCATAACTCGTTAGATAACCGGTATACGAGGTACCGACCTACCTAAGCGTCAAAACTACCGATATACGATATCGAGCTTCCGTAATATGTAGCATTTTCATGTTTTCTACGATCATCAACCGTGGGGTGCACGGTAGCCGGTGGGAGTCGGAGTGCCGGAGCCACAATTTGGGTACGAATATAGTAGCACACTACACGCCGGCCACTATCACAGGACTTTCCTAGTGCTCGGGGGCTATCGCCGGCCGTCGGAATCATGGATTTAAACAGAATTTGCAGTCTCCTGAGGCTGCAGCCTGCCTCCATTCTTGGCACCGAGAATACCCGGCCGCCGGCACTCGCCTTTTTGGCAATGCCAGCAAACGCCGTCAGGCGTGGCATTGCCTTGTATTACCCCTGTACCGGTACGTCCTCTCCCGTTTCCGCCTCCACAATCCATTGCCGTTCAACATAAAATTCTTAGCGACAGTTCAGGAAAGAAATTTCAAAGTTGCAACTCCGTAACTCTCCAAGAATCCGAAGCCGGAGCAGTTGCAACAAGTTGCAAAACTTCTACAATCGCCGGTACGGCTGTACCGGGCACCCTACTGTGGAGAATAATACCCGCAGCTGTGCCCGGCAAATTGAAATGTCTTGGGTCACAGCGTGCACCGGGCTCCTCGTACGGCTCGTATCTAGATTGGGACAAATATCTCGGACGCAATGGAGCTGCGCATTGCCATTTTTCGCGATTGATAAATCGCCCCCAGAACTTGTCTTCACGATAGCTTATATAAAATACTCATCCAGAGGGCCATTCGACTCGAATTAGCCGGAGGACAGATCAAGTGCAGGCTTTGGTGCTACCTAGCATGCTCCCAGATTGGAATATTGTTGGCTAGAGAGGCCCAGGGCCAGGGCTAGCTTGGTGAAGAATGAAGGGCCCTTTTGGCAGCGCTTCCAAAGGCGCTTTCGCGTAAGCTGAGATGCCCACATCCATGCAGGCCTCCCAGAAGGAAGGTAGCAGAGCTTGAGCCACCTGATGCAACTTCTTTGCCTGAATTCATGTAGCTACTAGCAATGCACCACTTTCAAACCTGTAGTAATCTGGTGCAGTTTGCTTAGTCACTCTGCATCAGCACCTCTCCAAATTGAGAGCCTTCAATATGGCTCAAACTCTGGCCAGGAGGGCCTTGCGAGCTTTCACACAAGTGGACTCGGCAAGCTGTTGGCGTCCAGTAGCATCCAGAGTGCAGACTTTGGGTCGTAGGGAAGATGATGAACAACATGACTCTGAGCTTGTTCCAGCACAATTGCTGAACCCGGAAGTGCCCGATGCTTTGAGGAAGCAGACTGGTGGCTCCCCTCAATCATGCACTCCCTTTGCGACCGCATCGTTTTCCCGGCAGTTCACTTCAAGTTCCGCCGGCGCCATGTTCCATCTGCAATCCCGCTTGCTCCACTCCTCGACCATGCGCTACGAAAGCGCCGTGGGGCAGACAGTTGAAGTGCCCGGTGTGCAAGCGCCGGCAGGGGCGCCCGTAAGGGCAGACCCGGTGAGGGATACCAAGGCTCTTTTGAGGACTGCGACTCTGACGCTGCTCCGGGAGCAGCTCAGGGACCATGAGCGGGCATGGATCAGCCTTCCGGAGCTGTACACGATGTGTAGGGAGACAGGTGAGCATGGTCATTTCGAGCAGTGTGCATGCTTTTGGTGCATTGTGTCAGGGCAGTTTCCTGGCAGGACTTCTGGCAGGACTTCTGTCAGGTCGCAAGCAGTACAGTAACACTAGCGGCGACAGAGCAGGCTACTTGTGCTGAGCTGGCGGTTAAATGGTAGAGCTTCTTCTTGGCCTCTGACAAGTTTGCAATTGGTGTCAAATTTACCTTCCTCTTAAAGCTTGAATACAAGCCGATTCACCATGTAAACCCTCAATGAAGCCCCAATCGAAGGTTAAGCACACCTTCACGAGCCTTTCCCGGCCCTAGTTCGTTTCTTTTCAGGCACACTTTTTCCCCGCTTTGGGAGCGTCTGCTGTGCTTGTTGAAAGAGCGTCCTTGCAAAGTGAAGATACGTGGTTCTTAACCTCTTTTTTTGTCTTCCAGGCTCAGCTGACACGGACGAGGAGGCGCAGGAGGTGGTTGCTGCCCTTGACAAGGCGGGCGTTTTGATCCAGCTTCGAGACAAGGCCTTTCTCCGGCCAGAAGAAGTGAGGCCACCGAATTTCCAGCCACATTGCTTTTCAGCGCAGAGCATCCTGCACCCCACCTTTTTGTGTTCAAATGCAACAGCGCGAGCATTACCCCACTTTGAAGACTGGTTAAGTCTTCTTTACAAGTCCTGAAAGTCGGTCAACTCACACTTGTTCCGCCCGGTCTTGCCCTGGGAAGATGACCATGATCTGTCGTGTAAAGCCAGTCATGTCGAATTCCTGTGGTGTTGCTAACATGTCTTCCGATTACCGATTGCCGTCCTGTCCGTAATACAGTCAATAGTCAAGAACAAGTTTGACGTTTGGTCAGCAGAATGCTCTGCGATTCGCAGCTTTTGAATGTTGGCATGGGCGTATAATTGTTGGTTAAAGTGGGTGGTGCCATATCCGGTTTGCCAGTTTCCATAGCATCTGACAATGACGCGTTGCCCTTTGCACCCACGCCTATCATGGCGTGTCCTTGCCAGTATGTTGGACCATGTCCAACCAATATTTGCAGCTGAACAGTTTGTCCAAGCAAATCTGGTAGAAGCGGGTTTTCATCCATCAAGAGTGCAACTTCTTCATGAGTACTTTGGCAAATGAATGTATGTGATCCCTCCCTATGCAGATCGCCCAGCAGGTCCTCCAGGCGCTCCCGGCCCCCATGGTGGACGAGAAGGACCCGCGCATCCAAGAGTTTGAGGCGATGCAACTAGAGAAGCGGGCCATTGACGGAGCGGCGCGCGCGCACGCGCGGCGGTACCTCTGGTTGGGCTGGGGTGCCCTTTCGCTGCAGACCGCCTTTTTCTTCCGGCTGACGTTCTGGGAGCTGTCGTGGGACGTCATGGAGCCAATCACGTACTTTGCGGCGATGGCGACGGGGGTCTTCGGGTATGCGTGGTTTCTAATCACGCGCAAGGAGCCGAGCTACAGCGACGCGTTCACAAGGTTCTACTTGACGAAGCAGGAGAAGGTGGCGCACGCACGGCACTTCGACATGGAAAGGTACTACCGGCTGCAGCGCCAGGTGCAGAGCTTCCGGAAGCATCAGGCGCGGAGTCGGCGCGCGGCCGTTGTCGATGACGACGATGACTAGCAACTGAAAACGAGGGGAAAGGTTTTAGTTACGAAAGTAGGAAAGCGGTGTCTCGGAAGTGTTCTTAGTAGTGGGGAGAGAGCTACAGGGTGATCGAAGCTAGTCGCCGGTGACGGAAGTTCTCGAAGGTGTTTGACAGCTTCGAGTTGTTAGGGTTGTACTGGATGCTGATGACTTCTTGTTGTACACGCTAGAAGGCACTTGTCAAGTCGAGAGAGTCACGGAATCTGTTCCATAGCTGCTGCCAGATGAAAGTCTGTGCAGCTCAGTGATAATCAGCAAGTGTCAATGAAGCAGGCAGCATCCGCACTATGCTTAGAGCAAAACTGAGGTGTTTTTGGAGAAGATATTGGTCGTATTCAGTTCCCCAGCAACTTGCCACACATGTCGGTGTCGGGCGGGTTCCCCCAAGCTTCCGAAGTTCACAGAATGCATAATTCCTGGGTATATAATTGCCATGGACAGGATCCGGAGTTGCCTTCGTTTATAGCAGCCATGCCTGCAGAAATCAACATATCGATATCGTGCACAGCATGTTCACATGCTATCTTATGCATGCTCGCGCACCATATGCAGCGCTGTATATGATCCGACACACCGCGCAATATATGCTCGACCCGGCCTAGACAATTATGTGTTTTACACTACTGCATGGCGGCCGCATAAGTCAACAGTTTTTGCCTTATAATGAATCGCTCCGACGTGCCAGACCGAGTCAATCACGTTTATGTACAAGACTTCGCATGCAGAGAATCATCATGACGCCAGCTAATTCGTCCGACTGTGTTTCGCCTACACCTCCTCGAACTTCTGCTCGAAGCTCTTATACTGATCTACATTCTTTTGCACAGCGTCCCCGCTTCTGCGAGGCCCCACTCCTGGGCTCTCCTTCTTTTCGACACCATCCGTTTCGAGCCCCAGGAACTTTTTCCACCCCCTCAGCCGCTCCGCATCGCCCCCGGCTCCATTTGCCCTGGCAGCCCCTCCCTCTGGCGGGAAGAACCCCTTCAGCGCTTTGCTCGCACTCTCCTCCAGTTTCGTTTCGAACTGGCCAAGCATTTCTTCAGTCGCTTTAAAAATGTCTTTGAAGAACGAGTCCACCCGCTCTTCCCCGGAGGGCCCTTCAGGCGCTCGGGGGAGAAAAGAGGGCAGCGAGGGCAGTGACGGGAGTGATGGCAGGCCGGGAAGGCGTTGGGGAGACGTCTCTTCTTCTTCAGTGACTTCTGACGTGGACTCGACAACTTCTGTGGGCCTGCAGAGGCAGGGGATCGAAGCCACGCTTGGTTACTCTCAGGTGATAAGAGAAAGATCTCACATTGAAGAGAAGAGAAAGTCCAGCTAATATGAATACTCAGTACGAAGGGCTCGCCAAGTGTCGGTGAACAGAAATGAGAAAAAGTTTTCTCCCAAGTGAGAAAGACTAGGAGAAGCCCATCAGAGCTGGACAAACATGAAAACACCGTAACTTCTCTGCAACTCCGCTTGCTTAAGCTTTGCATGTGGGCAAACAACTTGGACGTAAGTTATCACTGTTTTCACGCACAACCGCATTGGAATGCCGAAAGAGCACTGAGAAGAGGAACTACGTACGAGGAAGTCAACGGCATCAAGTGGAACTGGATCCATCAATAACCGGGAACTTTGCTGCAATACTTGAGCCTTGTGGCACTAGCACTATCCAAAGAGGCAACAGCAAATAGCATGTACTCAAAACCTGCTTAGGAAGCTCCTAAGTAGCAGCAAAAAAGAAGCGGCACCCCGATGAAGCTCAATTGCCGAACCCTTACAAGGTAATAACCAGAACCCTTGTGTTCTCCAGACCAGAAGGGGGCCCTGAGGTTCTAAGAACAAATCAGTCAGTGTATTTCGAAGATGGCAGAAAGCCCAAAAGGGATTGAAGTGCCGGATGTCCAGCAAGGGCTCCACTCCAACCTGAGTCAAAGCAAAGGACACCAAAGTATCAGGCACAGGCAGGCAACCAATGGCAACATCTGATCTTCCAGACCCTTTTCAGAGATGGAACCCCACCATGTAAGGAGTGGATACGAAGATTTCTGAAAGAACAAAGTAGTCTTCAAGCTGGAAAACGACATCAATGGTCAAGACACTCTGGGCCCCAGCTTCTTCAATGTCGCTCAATCTGTGCCGATTCAAGAGGTGACCTTCTCGTATCAAACCAGCTCTCTCCAGTGGAAGAGACTCTTACTTTCCAGGGCAATGCCGCAGTAGAGTCCTGATGCGCTCGCACCGTCTTACGGGCTTGTCCCCCGCCTCCGCATCAAACGTGGTTTTGCAGCTGTAACTTTCTGACCGGCTGTACGAACATTGGCCATCATTGGCAAGCGTTCGTTCCCACCAAGGCGTTATCGGAGGCGCCGCCATCGTGATTGCTTCCCACCGTCCGTAAATGAGACAGGTTGGAGGACAACCTGTTGTAGCCGCTGTAGCCTGTAATGCACACAAAGCTCCGCCGCTGCTGGCAAGTTGACAATCTGATTCTCACTCAACAGGAGCGCCCCTTGCAGAAGCTACCGTACCTACTTCAAGTTCATGGCTCTGCAGAGCTCAATCTAGGGAGCTCCCTCTGAGTTTAGGGTTTGACACCTTCAACCCGGGGCCTCCCGACTTTGGAGCTCACGTGACACTAAGAATATTCTTCCCGTCTTTCCTTCCAGAGCAAAGGCTAGGATCTAGTGTCAAGTTCACCGGGAGAACGAAAGGTCGCCGGCATGAAAGTGCGTGGTTGCGCACCTGCCAGCTGGATTGTGCTTCGCTGGACATTCTCCTTTCGAAGTTTGCATGCTTTTGTGTCACCGTTTTGAGTCACCTTGCACAGCTCACAAAGCAGCAGAGCTGTTCTCAGAGCTGTTCAAAGGCGAAAGGGGCGGGTTTGTGGCGGACGAGCTGAGCAGGTTCCGTTTCTCTGGCAAAGTACTTGCGCTCTTGTGCTTTGAATACTTCCATCTTTGAATCGGGTCTGATCTGGTCCTCAGAAAGGAAACTAAAAAGGGAGGCATATTTTTGATTGACAACGAAGATCAGCGCCTGCGCCACACGCTATTCTGCTCGAAAGTTTTACAGATTCTTACATCGTCTGGTTGGAAACAGCAGCAAGGATGTCGTACGCCTACCTCTTCAAGTATATCATCATAGGAGACACAGGTGAGCAGCTTTATACTCTGTATAATTTCTGCTCTCAGGCGCCGGGGCGGCCCCTTGTTTTCAATCACTTCATCCTCTGCAGTTGCTGTTGTTGCTTCACGCTTCAGATGCATTTGCGTCCCTGTTGATGGACGGGTCATCTGCTGCAGGGGTTGGGAAATCGTGCCTGCTTCTACAATTTACCGACAAGAGATTTCAGCCTGTTCATGACCTCACTATTGGGGTTGAGTTCGGGGCACGCATGATCAACATCGAAAACAAGGCGATCAAGCTGCAAATTTGGGATACAGTGAGTTGTTGACCCCTCAGGCAGTCTGCATGTATCCTGCTTTCACTTCTCACCATTTGCATTTTGACGGAGACTTCGTTCAGACACTTTCGAAGTTCAAGCTGATTGTGGGGCTGGTTCCAAGTATCATTGGCAGTCGCATGCTTGTGTCCGCTAGCAAATCTGTTTGATGTAACTTTGAGCAACTCATTGAATTAGGGTTCTGGCATATTCGGGAAGGCTACTTTGGGTCTACTCAAAAGTCTAGTTTGGGTCCACTCAAAGACAGGCCCCAGGTGAAAAATTGTTGAAAATTTGTTCAACCGAATCCTTAATGTTTCGCTTTTGTCTGCCAATTCTGCATCTCATAGCCCTTACTCAAACCGCTCGTGTTACGCCAGTGGTTAAGGTTGCCTTTTTGTTCCTCCTTCTCAGGCGGGCCAGGAGTCATTCCGGTCAATCACAAGGTCTTACTACAGGGGCGCTGCAGGAGCCCTGCTGGTGTATGATATCACCAGGTGAGCAAATGCTTATCGTGGCTGTCTTCTGAAGCTGTGGGATGGCATGTCCTTCACAGAGCCAAAATAGCCATGAGTACGGCAACAATTCTTGTTCAAATCCTGCTCTTGCTTGTTGAGCGGGACTGGAGCGCTTTCAAGTTGATTGTGAATAAGCTTCCAGGATATTAATTCGGACATTGGCGGACTTTGTCCACAAACCTTAAAATGGAGGGGCATGCGGTAGTCCTGATGTTCTGAGCTCTTGACTCCAAAGTCATGGGTCCGACTGTCATGTAGTTTGCGCTTGTCAAGGTGATGTTGCAACAGATGCAGGAACACACTTAAGGAATGGAAGGAGACAGCTTTTGAAAGTTTAGTAGAAGCAGCTCTAATCTGAATTTGAAAGATTATTGCGCTGTAGGCTGGCCGCTCTTGTACTGGCGGTAGTTGTGATTTACGAAGTTTGACAGCGGGGGAGTGGGATGGAGAAAAAGTTTGTGACAAGGAGCGATAAACTGTTCCAGAGCTCTGTGGATATCTGCTCCACGGATCTTCTGATCTTTACTTCCATCTCATCTTGGTTTTTCACCTTTGATCCTGGACTGTGCGGATTGTAAGGGGCCCTTTTTGGATCTCTGCGGACAACTCTGCCTCGTTGATATGAGACTGTTTCTTGAGCCTGGTTAGGGCTTACCTGTTCTAATCAGACAAACATCGCCAGGGGACCTAACCCAGGTGGCATGAAGCTGTTTTTGGGTACTTTCTCCGCACAAGAGGTTGAGACTATAATCAACCTCTGTAGTATCTGAATTATACTACATCCAGAGTAGTATAAATATCCAGGTTTGCAAAAGCTGCACCTCTCTGCAAACGGCAAGAGATGTTGATTGCAAAAGTAACAGAAGCTGGTTAGCTGTTTCTTAATCACAACAGGCGGATTTTGAACCAAAGGAAATTGGATCTGGTCAACTGTCTTGCTCGTGACAGGAGGGAGACGTTCAACCACTTGGCCAGCTGGTTGGAGGACGCACGGCAGCACGCCAACTCCAACATGACTATTATGCTTATTGGGAACAAGAGCGACCTGCAGCACCGGCGGGCGGTGAGCACAGAGGAGGGGGAGCAGTTTGCCAAGGAGAACGGCCTCATCTTTATGGAGACCTCCGCAAAGACCGCGCACAACGTGGAGGAGGTGGGGTGTCAAGCCTCAGCGCAAAAGCTTTCGTGCAGTGCGAGTCGATGAGCCTATCTCGGAAGCCCAGACTGATAGTTGTTTCTCGGGAGAAGGCTGTTATGCTGTGTGAGGAAGCTTGGCAGACAGTTACAATAATGTGAACAGTGCCTCCTCGTGCTTATGATGTACTTATTGTGGTTCGGCTGAGCGAAAATTCGCTCAGAGGACAAGCATCAAAGTCGGTTGAAACGCCAGTACTAATCAGGTCTGTGAAAGACGGAGCACTAGGTTTTGCCTGACCTGTCCCAATTGTTCGTAGCGTCTATTGCCTGAGTCTAACGAAAAGTAAAGTGTGCTTGCAATGGACTCGTTTTGACGTAGCCTTGTGCGCAGCAGTGGCAAGCGTTGCTCAGATCGATTCTGCTCATATCGAGCTTTTGAATTGTCGTATGCTTAAAGGCCGTTGTTCTTCTGGGACAGGCGTTCATCAACACTGCTGGTTCGATCTACAAGAAGATTGAGGATGGGGTGTTCGACGTCTCAAACGAGGTGAGGTTTGGGGACAATTCTGCGCAGCAACCTTATTGTTCTGCTGGTGTGCAAAGAAACTGCAAGGCTGACTGTTTCCTGCAACGTTTTTGACGAAGTTTCTGTTGAGCTGAATAGAATCCCACTGATATTTTGCAGAGCTACGGCATCAAAGTAGGCTATGGAAGCGGAGGGGGAGCTGGGGCAGGCTTAGGGCGGAGCGATGCGCAGGCGAGTCGGAGTGCGTGCTGCAGTTGAGAGTTTCCAGGGGATGTCTCGTGGACGGTTTCGGATACATAGAGACTTGGGTTGAGTATACAGATGACAAGGACCGGACTTGCTTCGGTTTCTCACCAAAGCTTTAGAGCAGTCTCAGTATCTCCGTTCATGCTAGACCATAAAGTAGAGGGGGGCTTTTGTCGCGATGTGCAGGGCTAAAGCCCTCATGCAGTGATCTCAGATGCCCAGTGTACATAATTAAGGTACCTGCAAAAGTTTCTTGCTTGAAAACGGGCTTTGCAAACTAATGTCGACCTTATAAGCTATATTTCCTTTTTGTCTATATTTGGTTCTCGGCAGATCGATTTATTAACCACTGCTCGTCTGTCGGCACAATCAATGTAGTCGCAGATTGAGTCCGGGCCTGCATTTGAGAGGGATGCAAGAGGTGAAACATAATTCTGCCGTCTTTACTAGCTTGCATTCTGACAGTAACCGTGCACATGTGATTGAAATGATTCGGCTGCACAACAATCATGACCGTCTCACATGCATGATGATGTATATTCTCAATGGTCGTTGAGTGTTAAGTCCTAGACATCGAAGTATACCAGACTTGGCAAATGATGGGTTACAAAATCGAAGCTGAGTGTACATAGCCGCGGCCGCCCTAGTGCTAGATAGGTATACATCTAAACGCTCAACATACAATTAACATTCCATGGACGAACTCGATCTGGAAAACGGCCCGATTCCAGCATGGTCGGATCGACAAGATCGTCAGTACACCAAAACGCACAACATCATTCGACACAATCGTCGATGAACCTCCGTGCAATCATGCATGCAGGCGGCCACAATGGGGGGCCGGCCCGGGCATTACAACTCCAAGGGTGCTCTCAACCATAATCAACCTCAACCACAATCCGACCAATTCCTGCGTACGGTAACTGCGTGCATATGATCCCTAGCCGCTTGATTCTAGCTATAGTCGCACTAGCAATACCTATATCTGCAGGCTCTTATAATAATGTCAAAAGCCCATACATCAAACCCCGTCCTGGCTGTCCAGTCCTCAGATCGCCGCATGTCTTTGCTTCTAAGGGTGTGTACAAATCTGTATGCTGATACGTCAATCGTGCATATTAGAACCACCATGGGACAACACTGTGATACAGCACAAACACCTTGAGCAACTTGAGTGCTTATCGTTTCTACAAGCTTCATTACAGACCCTTACATACTCTTAGCATTGAGTCACATAAACTATAGAAATGATAATAGTCTAGAGCCTAATACGACGCACCACCCGTTCCAACTTGTTACTACTTTGTTTTCCAGCAATTGGATCTATTGAGATTCAGTAGTCTACCGTGATATAGAGACCGACTTAAGTCTATCCGAGCAAGTGCGTGTCGAGCCCACCCGTCCTCGATAGGGCCGTTTCGGCTTCCTTCTTCCAGTCAATCATAGACGTGAGAATTGAATAGATTACAAGATTAGCAAGTACTCCCATGAGGAGCCCCGACCACACCCCCATGGCCTCCAAATTGCAATAGAATCCCAGAAAGACCAGCATCGGTATGCCGACCAAGTAATAACTCAGAAAGTTGCAGAGCGCCCCAAAGTCCTGCTTCCCCGACCCCCTCAAAACACCCGACATCGTGTACTGCAGAATATCCGTGGCTGCGGAGATACTGAGCAGCGGCAACAGGCTCGCGGTCAGCTTGATCACCGGGACGTCGTCCGTGAATATGTACCCCCAGACGTGCCGACACGCAAAGAGCGTGATCGCGACGGCTGCCGCGGTGACGACGCTCGTGACGCGGGACGCGAGCACCGCGAGCCGGGCGCGCTCCGGCGAGTTCGCCCCCAGCTCGTTTGCCACGCGCACGCTGACCGCCGCACTCCACGCCACCGCCAACATAAAGGTCAGCATCGTTGTGTTCGTTAGAATGTTGATCGCCGAGAGTTGCACCGCCGGGTTTGGTAGCAGCCCCGCAAGAAACAGGGCGAGTTCGTACACCCACGACTCGAGGCACGTCATGATTGCGGACGGGAAGGCCAGCCGTACGTACTCCCACAGCTCGGACACGTCCGAAAACATGGCCCGACGGGACCATCCGCCCCACGTCTTCTTGTGCGCGCCGGAGATGTAGATCGACCCCAGGAGCAGGAAGAAGAAGACGAGCTGGGAGATTGACGTCGCGTACGCGGCGCCCATGAAGCCGAGCCCGAGCGAGAAGACGAGCGCGTACGTCACCGGGACGTGGACCGCGAGCGTGAGGCCCGAGCACACGGCGAGCGGCCGCACGATGTTCTGCGTCTGGAGGTACTTCACGAGGGGCATGCCCCACGCGGCCCCGAACAGCGCGGGAAAGAGGCCGTACAGGAACCGGGTCGTCGCGTCCGCGATGTGGGGCTCTTGTCCGAGGGCTAGCAGGATCTCCTCAGCGTACATCCAGAGGATCATGACCGGGCCACACAAAACGGTGTTGACGAACAGCGCGCGCTGCAGGACTTCGCCCAGCTTGTGGTACTGCTTGGCGCCGAAGGCCTGCCCGCAGAGCGTCTCCTGTTGGTGGATCAAGACGAGCGGCTTTCAATGCGTAGTACATGTCCGAAAGACAAGAATCAGGTCTAAGAAGTGACCTCGCTTTCGGTTGAAGGGGTCTACCCGCAGATATCGTCACCGGTATTCAAGGAGTTGGGAATCAGCGCACTGTTCAGCAAGAACGGCAACTTGAAAACACTCAAATAAACTCTGAGGCCAGATGATCATTTGAAACATTAAACACGTGTGAGAAAGTGTCGGAGGACCGCGAGTTGTCTGCCCGGTTTCTTTGCTTCTTTCTGGACGGAGTGCACGAGAGGGAAGAGTGTTGGGCTGGAGGCAAACGTTGAGATTCATAAGGGCCTCCTGAAAAACAATCGTCGGATGTGAAAGGGTTGCGAACGGGGCCGGAGTGGCAACTTTTTCCGAGTGAATCTTGCAAGGCACCACTTACCGAAGATTTTAGGACTTTTACACCATCAGAATAAGAATCAGAATGATCTGGTCCCGTCAAACGGTGCGAGACAACAGGCACACCAGGAGCCAAAGTTCCTTGAATTGATTGCAATCTTACTCCCGAGCTTTCACAGATTCACAACTTGCACTTCGTTCTGACATTAGGTGATCTTAATGGTGTATGTTAAGGACGCGGTCCTCCCTAAACAAGGCAGCCGAGCTAAGTACAGGGCAGTTTTTCCACCCACCAAACATTTGTTCGATACAAACCATGAGGCTCAACTAAACTACTCACCATAGCCCCCACGGATCCCAGCATAATCCAGTAGCCGGTGGCGTTGTACAGGGAGATTCCAAGAGAGGCGCTTGCCAGCTCTAGCTCCCCAAGCCGACCAACAAACATGATGGATACCAGACCCAGGAAGACCTGCGCATGGGGGAAAGAGAGAACATCACGAGCGGATTGAACAGTTTCACTGTTTGCGAGTATCATAGTTTGGTGCATCAAAATCCGTGATTTGTGCTACTGTAAAGATCAGAGGCAAGAAGGCACGTGGAGAAAAGCTGATGGGCGGAATGTTCGGATGATGGGGAGAGCTTAGACATAGCTTAAAAAGTGCCGAACCCACCACGACATGCATGGATTGCCAGGACCCCCTCAGACAGGCGCAGCTTGTTTTGTACTTGATCATCAACTCCCCACAAACTGATACATTCAATTGTTTGTTTAACTGACTATATACACAAGCATTGGCTGCGTTGGCTGCAGCTCTGTGTGAGTTGCAACAAAAGCATGGCCCATCTGCAGACTCGGTCAATCAATGGCCACTTTGCTAGTTTCTGTATCTTTTTTGTGTCAAAAACACTCGGCAAAGTTTATAAATGAGTCCCAAATTCATGCGGAATCAAAGTGCCCCTTTGACTCCCCCTCAGCGCCGTCCATGGATTCAGATCCTTAATTGCACATCCGCTTATGTCAACGCAAACATTCTTCATTTCTCTGGATGCCGCTCATACAAGTAGAAGAGGCCTTTTTCTGACTGCAGATTCAGAAAATCAATCCAATCTTCTCACCTGCAAAACCCCCTGAACCAGGAGCGGGGCCGCCAGCTCCCATTGCAGCCACAGCTCAAACTTGAGCTGATTCCACGAGGGCAGCTCCGTCAGCGCCGGTGCATCTGTATCGCTCTTGCGAAGTCCAAGCCCATACGAGGACCCAACCCGGACGACAATCTTCCGCGAAGGCTGCAAATCGCCGGCATTGTCTTCTAAGATCCGCCTCGGCAGAACCTGTGGGTCGCTTTCATGCCGTGACACCACCATTGGAGCGCAAGCTTTTGCCCTCCACACAAACACTAAACGAACCCGTCTCCAATGGGCGGTCGGTGAGCAATGCTGGAAAGCTGTATGAACGCAATATTTGAACGATAAGCAAGACAGGACCTCGCTTCTTTCTCTGTGCAATCCTGATCTTCCACCAGGACGTCTCCCCACGGGCTCCCCACGTCTCCCACCGCTGTGAAAGAGTGGTGATGTCGCAACCTGAATCGAGATCTGCAGGCTGCAGGTCAGCAATGCACATTTGTGCTTCCTTGGCAAGTGTCGGGGGAAAAGGTCCGTAACCGAACCGGCTATAGGTAGGTTAAGTGACAAGTCTCAGCCCAGGCTGGCTTATAGGAGAGGCTGGGTTTCTGGTTGGTCAGTACCGTTAAACCAACATCTAAGATATTCGGAAACTTGACACAGTTTCTAACATGTTGAGGTTTCCTTCTTCGAGACGTTCTTGCCTTCCTTGCCAAGCTTCTTATACGCCACTTTCACTGTTTCAGGAAGCTCAGGAGACCGTGACAGGACAAAGCGGTTAGGGCGCCCCCATAGAATACTTCATAGCCTTGTCTCATTAACCTGCTCTGTAAAAAGGTCTGCTCATTCCTCCCGCCTTTTCCCTGTTCCCGCCGCAAGTGTGGCTCTGCTCGGCCCGTGGAGGGCCTCCCTGAGGGTAGTGCTCGCCAAAGGGTCGTCTGCCACCATGCAGGGCTCTTCTTGCACGGCCAGCAGCAGCCTGGGGTTAAGCCGGGCCGTGCTTAACCTGCTAAGCAAGCCTGCGCCGCGCAACAATGTGGGACAGCAAGGTGTCCCGGGGCTGCCTCTTAGTTTGAGGAGTGCATTGGTTGGCCACTTTTTACAGCCACGGCAGACTCTGTTCCAGGATCTGCTGGCAGTGGATGCATTGAGGCAATCAGGGCTCGGGGCACCTGGCCCTTTCTATGAACCTCAAAGGTCAGCTGTCTCGTCATTCTTCATGTACCAAGCTCTGGTGACAAGTTCGCATTTTGTGCGCAATGCCGGATCCACACTGCATCCTCATTGGGGCATGCACATTTTCACAAGCTTTCAAGTTTCTTTGTGAAGGTTTACAGTTGTTGAGATGGTATTTCCCTTCAAAAAACAGGCGCCATTGACTGGTGAAGAACTTTTGTGCTGAAGCCCTAAGTTCATGGGATGTGATGGTAATGGTGACTTCAGAATTGAATGAAAGCGCTTTCTCGAGCCTTGCATCGATCGCCCTCATTGCTGGCCTTCTTTTGGAAAGTGATGAAGTCCGTCATCTGCTCGGGGGATTCCTGAAAACAGGGCGGTTTTTGAAACTTCCTTGGTTGCATTGTGCAGTCCTTTCTTGCTCCGCATTCAAAGCACCAACTTCACCTGATTTCTGCTCCAGCAGGCTGAAGATGGTCGGAGATCGAATCAAGAAAACAATCCCAGACTTGATCAAGAACGGTTGGAAAGTACCTATTGCTCATTGAACTCCTCCAGGTTTTGGGGAGGCACATCCATGATTGGCAAGATTGTGCAGGACTCGTCTTCCTGATTGGAATTGATTGCTTTGTCCGCTTTTTTGACCAGCATCGCTGTTGTTTTTGTCCAGGTACAATTTCGCCACAAGCCCAGTGGTATGCCAAGCGTACGGCGAAAGGGAGAACTATGGGAGACGGCCACCACCGTGAGTAACACATCTTGCGCCCTTGAATCTGTATTTGGATATTCTTTTTCTGGAAAGCAGCATGTCCTTAGATGAGGTTCAGCAGAAGAGAAACCAATCACTTCAGGGCATGCTCACTCCTTGGTGTGTGCGTAAGGTCGCTTTCCCGTGGACTGCCTGGACTGCACCACTGTTGACACACTTCCAACCGTTTTATCCAAAACCACTTTGTTCCTCGCCAGGAAGCCTACTAACACTTGATTCCTATACAAGAAGCTCATCAGAAAAGCTCAGATATTTGCGCGCGATTGCGAATCAAACAAGCAGATGCTTTTCCAAGTCTTCATAAGGCCGTCAATTGTTGACGAAGATGTCCGGTAGATCTGGACCGTCTTCAAGAAAGTCACATAAAGCAAGACAGGCTGTCTGGTGGTTTTCCAGGGTGGTGGGCGATGCTCCGGTGGTACGCCTGCGAGGCCTTCCGTGGGACACCACGAGCCAGGATATCGAGCGATTCCTGGAGGGGGTCCAGATGGGCCCTGAAGGGATCATCCTAACGCTTGATGCCAGAGGTGCGCAGACCAAACTGATTAAACTCCTTTCTCTTTGTTTCATGGAGGTGTTGTCTATTTGCAGTAATTGCGGAGGCCTCGTGATGGTCCGTGCACGTCTTAAGAGCTGAAAGGTGTGTGTACCTCCTGAGACCGGTTGAAGCGCTAGCCTCAGATCAGTAGCTCTCCCAAAGGGTGGCGCTTGCGCGGTCTGCAAAAACTTGTCAGTCGCATGGCCAGTCTCAGCTTCCACCAAGTCTCAGCCCCAAGCTCGACGCCGAGGCCATGTTCCGGATTGCGTTTAAAGTTGCCGGGCCCCGCTACAAAGGTTATGCCCCCTTTTAGTTAAGATGGGCGTCTGAGGAAGGTACACCGTTTGAAAGTTCAGGTCTTTCGTGCAGGGCGGCCGTCGGGAGAGGCAATCGTGGAATGTGCTTCAATCGAAGATGCGGATCTGGCTCTGGGAAAGAACAAGTGAGTCAAGCAAAGTTCGTTACCTGGAGAAAGGTCACCGTCAGCCTCAACTTGCTCGCCAGTTTCGTCCAGTATTGCCGAAACCTTCCTCCAGAACCCCCCCGTCACCGCAGTCTGCTTTTGGACACGCTCTGGGACACGCGATTGCGTTTCAGCAATCAACGGAACGTGTCGGGCCACATCGTGTGTAGTACTTCTGTTCCTGTAGATGTCTTGACAGGAGGACTTCTGGCATGAGGATGCTTAATTGACTGGCTTGTGGTTTCTCCTGCAGCGGGTATGTCGGGAACAGGTGGATCGAGGTCTTTCCCGCAGGATACCAAGATCTGGACGTAAGTTCCCCGGGCCTGCATAACGATCACGGTGTCTTCTGCTCTCTTTGTAGGGGAATAAGTGCGGCGCTGAGCTTGCAACTTCTGAGTGCTTCTAAAAGTGCACTGACAGCTCTTGTCATGCTTGTCTTTGCTTGTCGAAGCAAAGATGATCAGACTGGCTGCTTCGTGATTATTCTCAGTGACCAGCTCTTTTTCCTTGGATTGCTAAGTTCCTGACTGGTTCAAAAGCAATTTTGTAAACATTGCAAGGGAGCGGGCGCTTTGTTTTCAGAATAGCGTCCATCTGCAAGTCCTTAGTCGCACGAGCGTCGGGGCACATCGAGTCGCATGCGCGCATTTTGCAGGTCCGATTAGGACTTGAAGTTGTGTGTGATGTGCTTCGCATTGAAGGTTCAGCGTATTGCTCGAAACAAACATTTGATGGTCTCTTCCCTGGAATGCGTTCCATGCTCTTGCCCAATCGTCCAGACGCCCCATCTTGTTGGAATTCATTGCTATTTCTACGCTTTCTTTCCCTAACAGTTCGCCTCTGAGAGCGAGTCTCCTCACACTGTTGCCCCACGTCCTCATCCTTCCGTATTGTTTTCCCGCAGTTCGCCAAGAAGAACCAGAACCTGACGGCGATCAAGCCCGAGCTGACAGAGGACGATCTCAGCGCGTTTGGCAACCCGGACGCGGGGTACAAGGGCGTGCTGCGGATGCGGGGGCTGCCGTTCCGCGCAGTCGAGGAGGACGTCGTCGACTTTTTCACGGGATACGACGTAGTCGGCAATGGGGTGTTCCTCTGCCGGCTGGCGGATGGCAGGCTGAGTGGAGACGTGAGCCGCCTCTGGAATCCTTTTTTGCTTGCCAGCGGTTGTTCCGTCCTTTTCGTTCTCATTGTCGACTTCTGTAAGCAAGTTTACAGAATCAGCGACCAGTGCGGAATTTTGTATTTGAGTGGGTACGTAAGCAATTGCTTGTTGTCGTCTGGCTCCAGATACGTGCGCTTGCTTACAGAAGCAGCGACCAGAGCGGAATATTGTTTTTGAGTGGGTAGGTACGCAATTGCTTGTTGTCGTCTGGCTCCAGATACGTGCGGGGAATCGTCGGCTTTTGCCAGGAGGACAACGACCAACTCCGAGATTGGAGTTCTTCGACTGGGACAACCCGACCTACAAATGGTCGGAGATTATGCAGTTTAATGTCACTTCTGCGAAGCCCTCTGTCTTTCCCCGGCTCGGGACAGCTTGTGACTTGACGATCTTTGTTGCAGGCATTTGTGGAGTTTGTGGACGAGGAGACGGCCAGGAAAGCAATGGAGCTGAACCGGGAACAGATGGGGCGGGTAAGCCGTGGATCCAAAGCGTTCCTCTACAACTAAACAGATTTATTCGCGTTCGACAAGTTCAAAGCTTGATAAGTGTCGACAGATTGCTGATCTTGCGGCCTCGGTAAGTCAGCTTGCGTGCAAAGATCGACCAACTAAGGGATAGACTGCGCTTTGACTCTGCCAGAATTGAATCTGCGTCAAGTTTTTGCACTCTTAGACCGTGCAGACACGTCCTTCCGCAGGTTGACAAGTCCAAAGCTTGATAGATTTCAACAAAGTATATTTCTGCGGCCTCCATAAGTCAGCTTACGTGCAAAGATCGAGCAAGCAGGGGTTGAACTAGGTTTTAATTCTGCCAGCAACAAGAATGTGTGAAGTTTCTGCGTCCTCAACCGTGATTTCACGTTCATTTCTCTGCAGCGGTACGTGGAGCTGTTCCCAACGACCAAGGGCGACATGGTGAGCGCCATCAAGATCCACGCACAGCGCGTGGCGGCGGCGTGGCGGGAAACGGCGAGCAGCAGCTACATCAAGCTGCGGGGGCTGCCCTTCGACGTAGAGGAGGTGAGAGACCACATTGCGCGCTTTTTGGTGTTCCCTTTAGTATGTCAGAATGTATGCATTTGGCAGAGGGTGACGTAAGGGGCAGTCTCGGCCGTTATGTTAAGATTCTCGTCTGTGCAGAACACCTTCAATTTGCGGTGACGGGAAACTAAGTACGTAGCTTCAAGGGCGGGATCGGCTTGCCGGATGATAGGTGGATTTGTGGAGAGTTGCACCTAGTTGCATCCTTGCAAAACAACTTTTTGGTACCCTTTTTGGATATGTGAAAACGACATAACGCTTTTATCTCCGACTGAAGTTTACATTGCTCAGCTGTTTCGAGAGGTCGACAAGTTGGCAACTTCAACGCAAACCTCGTGATGCCGCACCAGAGAGTGCAGAAGAGGAGAGGAGAAAGGCCTCGTTTCAAGGTTGCAAACGTTTGTCTCCAGCCCCCCCTGAAGGGCCGCAGTTCTGCAGAGGAACGGACGTTGCCAATGTGTGTCAGAATCGCGTGTCGCGTCTTGTTCGATCCCGTGCGTATCCTCACTGCATTTAATTCTGCAGGGCGACATCCAAGACTTCTTCACTGGCTACGACATCAAGCCCAACAGCATCAAAATCACGGAGTCCTTCCCGGGCCGGAAAACGGGGGAGGCCTTCGTCGAGTTCTCGTCGCCGGCGGAGGCCGATGTAAGCTGGGGCACCACCATCCGTCCTCGTTTTTTATGCACAAGAATCAAAGAAGAAGAAGATAGATTCTGCTTTTGAAAGTTTCTGAAAATGCTCATGTCGACGTTTTGGTCCAGGGTGCCGCATGCCGCTTCAGGGTAGGGGCACCAGAGAGTGCCTACGCTTCGGCATAAGAGATGGCTGGCTCCACATAGTGAGAGGGTTGGCTTCTGGATTGGTGCAACAAGCAGGCACGTGTGCTCTCAGCTCTCCACGTGGTCAGTCAGGTGCAGGTGGGTTTGAAGCCGTTACTGACGTGTCCCATTGTTTGTGGTGCAGCGCGCCATGCAGGAGAACAACAAGGAGATTGGGGTGCGCTACATTGAACTCTTCAGGGTGCGGGAAGAGTGAGTCGCACGCACTCGCTAGCCTTTTTCCTTGGTCCGCAAAATTCGCCGGGCGAGATCGGAGCTACGGCCAAAGTTCTTGAGCACGGTTATTTCTTGATTGCTTTTACTTTTCTGGTCCAATCAGTGTACCCTTCCGCGTTACTGACCTTCCATCGTCAATATTCAAATGTTAACCCAACATTTTCTCGAGTGATCAGCTCCAACGCTCCCATTTGCCAGCGCACTCCTGGAAGAACCAAAACCACTCGCGACGCTCTTCTTTCAGGTCTTTTTCGGCCTGCTTCGTTGCCAGGGGCTCGTCGGAATTTATCTGACCATGCGCTTAACCCGTGCAGAGAGGTTAATGGTGCGCCAGCTGAAGGACGGGGGAAGGGAGGCCGGGTTAGCGTGAATTCCGACCCAGCCGCTACTATCAAGATGCGGGGTCTGCCCTTCAGGGCAACGGTAAGAATCAAATTCCTGCAGTTACGGTTTCCTCGTGAGTGCTTTTTGGGTCAGCCCATGACCTGCTTACGTGTCTGCTCAGGGTGGCCAGATCAAGAGCACTTCCTGAGGATCTCTCAAATTGACCCGTTGAAGGTTTGGTGATGATCATAGACTACTTCGCTTTTTCAAGCAAGCTGGGTGGCGATGTTGCAGGTTGGGGACATCGTCATCTTCTTCGAAGGCTTCGACGTCCTGAAAGACACCATCACGTTAGGGACCACTAGCGACGGGCGGCCGTCCGGCGAAGCCTGGGTTGCTTTCGCCAGCCCCGAGGAAGCAACTAGAGCGATCCGGCAAATGAACCGGGAATACATGGGAAACCGGTTCGTAGAATTGTTCCCTGCATAAGGGGGTATGTTACTGCAAAGGCACTGGGTACTTGGCGGAAGGGTGCCGCTTTATGCAACGTAATTGAGTCGGAAGCAAAGCATAGATAGATATACCAAGGTCTTATATGAGTCTCGAGAAGTGTGTCTGGATTGAAATGTCGCGGCTGAGCAGTTTTCATTCAATTTTGTGAGGAAGTCACTGACTGAGTCGAGAAGCGCTGTCAATAATATTCACAATCAGGCAAAACATATACTACACAAGTGCCTTTGGCATCTAGTTGCTGGATTCGAGGGCCCGGCCGCCTTGCTCGGTACCCCGTTCAAGTGCATGGATCATACCGTCTGAGCTTGAGCACATGTACATGATGGGGTTGGGCCGGCGCAGTCTGATCGGTGCACTACTTGGTATATATGAAAATGGGCGGCAAGGCCGGCTCCGACAAGCCAACCATGACAGGCCCGGTTACTTTACCACATGTTTCTTGCGGCATGACGGTTCAGACGCAAATAGGTTCAAGGTTGCCATTCAAGCTGTTGCCGAACAAGTTGGCTTTCAAACATCTATAAAAACATCTGACCTGCAGTAACCAATGTATACGCGCTACGTCAAACATGCATGACGATCGACTAGATCCCATGCAAGCGATAATTCGAAATTGCTTACGATCGTAAGCGTTACCAATTAACGATCGGAACGCTTCGAAGTCAGATCTGGCTTCAATGGGCCGCCGCGGGTCATTGATCCAAGATAGGCGCCTGCCTAGATATTACAGTAGGCGACTGGCCGCCGCGCTTCGGGATACACACATGTGTGTACCTAATATTGGCGCTGGCAGTGTTCTACCTAAATTGCATATTTGAGCACGTACATGCGCCGGGAAGGGCGCCCCCCGGGGCCCGAACTGAGCCGCAGTGCATCATGACATGAGCTTATATTGATAAAGCTAGCATGCAGATGCAATGTTGGCCGTATGATGACACCCGCCCGGATCGCCGCGGAACAAGCCTGCAATGGCTTGAATGTCAGTGCTTGCCCAGCTGTGCACTGATGCCAAATCAGTTCTAAGATCTGCTGCACGTGTTTTGAAATCACGACCGGTGTGGATGTGAATTGGTCAACATATCCTTGAACGCAGGCTGCCGCTAGATTGAGGGTCATCATCTAACGTTTATTCGCGAACCTGCGGAATCCTTGCAAGTGTTTCCTGGCTGGACGCGTCCGTTTCAAACGTACACATAGCAATTGCTATTCAGTTGCATCGCTGATTACGGAGTGCTGAAGAGCAAATCAATACAAAAGTCTTCAGAACCTCACGTATTTACAGCAATTCCCGCGGCTTTTTACATGTCCGCCCAACAGACTTACAATCAACAAAAGTCCGACACTAAGTTTTGGTTACTGATGCTGATTATCTTTGCACAGCTCCCAATATACAACCTCCCGTTTCCTACCGCCACTTTCTATCAAAATTGTGGGCACCACTCAAGCGCCCCTAGCCGCTCTCCTCTCCCCGTTCCGTTCCGCTCCGTTCCGTTCTGCTCACGCGTCAACAATGTCCTCGACGTAGTCCACGAATCCCCTCATGAAGGAGCGCTCGAACTCCTTCACCTGTTGCTCGTAGGAGTCGTCCCCCCATTTCTCTTTCGGGGGCGGCAGAATGCCAATGGTCTTCTCGCGCTTCTCGCACGCTTCCTTGAACTTCTTCTCGGTCTCCTCGTCCAGGTCCATGGCTGCACCGAGGAGAACGAGCGGCTTCAGAAAATTTACAATGCACAAAATGGAGGTAAGCTACACCCCGAGAAAGGTCACAGGACGTGGCAGTTGGGCGGCAAAGACGACCAACCACGGCCTAAAAAGCAGCGTTTCTGGAAAGGCACGAGCGGATCACATAGCAACGGAACGACTGCGCACGGAACGGAACGCGCTACATGACGCAGCATAAACAAGTCGTTCTCCCAAAGCTATGTGTGCGTTTCACTAGCTTACTAAAGCTCAGACATCAAAACGTTGTCGATTCACAACCCATCTTTGTTTGGAAAGAAGAGTTGCATCTCTTAAACGATCAAGAAGAAACACAGCCTTCTTTTGAATGACAAAAAATAAGGCGCTGATTGCCTGCCTTGATCACCGGAGAGAAGCTCAGGCCTACTCGTAATTTTGACAAAGTGTGGCGACACAATCTTGCCTGGGCACTTCATTTGCAACCCCACTGACTCCAACAAGCGCACATTCTCGCCTCTAGCCCAAGTCAGGAAGTTCTGCGCGGGGGATCCCCCGGAAGATCCTCACCCGCTTCGTAAATCTCCTTGGGTAAGAAGTGGAAGACGGACTTTTCCCCGGCGAGGCGCATGCACATGGGGAAGGTGCACGTGGTGAAGGCCACCATCTCGAAGCAGTCGTCCTTCGCCGCGAGCTTGGCGACCGGGTAGTTCTTGGGGACGACAAACAGGTCGCCGCACTTGACCTCCTTGTCCACCAGGTTCTTCCCGCCGGGGCCCGCGATGTTGACCCGGCCCTTGCCCTGCGGGAAAAGATAATCCAGTATCGTTGATGTGCTCTATACCAGCGAAAAGCAGGACAACCCAAAGAGTCGAGAGACTTATGGAGACCCGAATTGTTAGAGAACACAGCTCACAAACGGAACAGAGGAGAAGGAAGGCCGTCTGATGGGCCAATTTGTTCCTTAATTGTTCAACCTTTCGTCACGATCCCTAAGAATAGATGAAGCTCAATGTATCGACCTCAGAATAAACCTTGCACTGAGGGCAATCTGAAAGAAGAGGTTTGACTGTGCCACGTGAAGCAAGTCAAGGTCCGCCCCTTACCTTGGTGACGTAGACGATGGCGTCAGCGTTCGTCATGTAACTGGGGACCTCGATAGCGCCCTGCAGCGGAAGCAAAGCGATCAGTCGAAGCGAAGTTGGGGCCTGAATTTTCTTACATCGAAAGCAGGAAAAGGTAGCAGAGCAGGCTGCGAAAGACAACGCTGCACAGAAGCTTGGACATATGATTACGATTTACGAACTGAGAGATTCTGAGGGTTTTTGTCCTTTGGATTGTTTGACAACTTTTTGAACCCTTGTACTGCACGCTCAAGATCCTGTTTCGGGGGGAAACAAGAGGACAGTTTCTGAACATTGCCGGACAGAAGATTAGCGAAACCGAGTACCGGGCATTGCAACTGACAGACACAGCAGTGAGTTCCATAGCACAACGCGAGACCAGAGTTGGGCGCTCCCCCGGGGGCGCGCGCGCGCACCTTCTCGAGCTTGACGAGCGCGGCGCTGAGCCCGATTTTGAACTTCTCGAGCGTGGGCATCTTCTTGCAGTTCACGAAGTTGGCGCACCCGCCACGTGGCACCAGGAGCTCCGGCTGCGTGTCCTTCAGGTTGAAGCTGAACTCGCCGAAGAACGCGTTGGGCGCGCGCGCGGCCGCGGGGAGCGTCAGCTTCTTCTCGACCTTGATGATTCCCGCGCCCTTTTGGCCCTTGAGCACCTTCTTGGCGAGGAATTCGTCAACGCCCCAAATGGAGGCGAGGATGTCCGGGGAGAAGCCGTGGAGGACGGACCCGTGCTTCTCGTCCTTCTTCTCGCCGAGAAGGAAGAAGGACTGCGCAACAGAAAGGAAAGGGTACGTATGTGGAGATATGCAAGAATGGAGGGCTCTTTCTCGCCCCATAAGGAAAAGAGGCCGCATAGGCGATGGGGATGGACAGAAACAGACGTGAACTTGCAGACTCGTTGGGGCGATGAGAGATACGGACCGCATAGAGTAACAAGGCGACAAATGGAGAAAGTCTTCCACAGGGAAACAACATTGCGAAGCGTTATTGCAGCTTCCCACAGCGCCTAGACCCCATCAATCGGTGGCCGCAACCCGAGAACCAGACTCAATGCATCACCCCAAGTTCGAGATTCATCCGTGCGATATTAACACCGTTCTAAACTCTCCTGCCAGGATCTTTCCAACCCCATCGGTAGACTTTTCAAAATCTTGCAAATCCACTTAGATACCCCTCTCAAAGTCCTCCTTAATACCAGCAAAACCCCCCGCCAAAGCTAGGGTTTGCAAGAAACTCGCGGTGTGGTTCAGCAGCTCCTTCTGGCGGGTCATCGTGCGGTCCGCCACGGCGATCATCTTGAACTTTTTGTCGCCGTCGTTGTAGGCCCAGAACGCCCACCCCTTTGGAATGGCCACCACATCGCCGCACTTGAGCTTGCGCAGATTGGTGGGGCCCCAGGGGGCGACCAGACCCACGCACGCACACCCTGGGAAAGAAATGCACGAAATGGGGGGGTAGGATTTGCAGCAAGCAAAAGGGGGGTAGGGCGTGGCGGGGGAGGAGTAAGTATGATCTTGCGCAGATTGGTGGGGCGCCAGGGGGCGACCAGCCCCACGCACGCACACCCTGAAAAAGAAATGCACGAAGTGGGGGGGTAAGAATCGCAGCAAGGGAAGTGGGCTAAGGGGAGTTTAGATTGTCTCTTATCTGGGGCGACCAGGCCACGCAAGCATACCCTGGAAAAGAAGAGCTCGGAATGGGGAGGAATATGTTGCCGCCTAGAAGGGGGAGTAGGGTGGGAAACTAGTCTGAGCTTGCGCGCATTGGCGAGGCCACGGATGAGCCCGGAACCACGCACGCAGACCCCTGGAAACGAGATAATGTTTTGGGGGGGCGGAATATAGGGGAATATTCAGGGGAGAAAAGGAGAGCAAGCTCTGGTTGAACGTGCGCGGAACGGAAGGAGGATGTTAAGCCCGCGCATGAATTGTCCGCGCAAAAAGGCGCGAAATGGGGAGACGAGCTTGAAAGGCAGGAGATTGGCAGGGCATGATGGGAGAAAGACCTCGCAGAATAACGGGCTCGCAGGGCCGGGGGGTTTTTGCGACGCACGTAGGGTTTAACAAATCAAATGAAGTGAAACGGAAATCTTGTCAGCAAAAGGGAGATGCTGCGAAAAGAAAACGCGCTCCGTAGATTAGCCGAGCGCCCAACACACTCCAGATCATCAAAGCACCCAGAATAAATTTTTGAGACGGCGAGCAACCGACTTTTCATTGAACCAGGCAATGCTGAAACAGACACAACTCTCAGGTAGATTGGGCGTTTTCGACGAGGTCGATCTCCCCTCTGCTCCCCCAGTTGAAGCCGCCAACAAACAGCAGATATTCTCTAACAGCTCAAAACAGCAGACTTTCTCGAAACATTCTGCATAGAAATTAAGAGCAGAACATCATTGCTTTATTCATCACAGGACCACGACGAAACGAACTCTTCAGTCCCTTCATTCAAGCACACCAAAACAACACAAGCGATTCTCAATTCCCTACCTTCTGCGACGAACGCCAGGTGCGGTTCGTTGGAGTACTTGGGCAGAACCAGTCCTTTCGGCTCCAGCTCTAGTTTGCCCGCACCCACCCCAGCGCATTCCAGCGGGCCCGACGGGTCCCACTTCTTGACGCAGCCGCCGTCCGTCTTGAGCAGCTCCTTCTCGCCGCTGGGCATGAACTCGAACGCGCGCGCACTCGCGAGGAGCGCGAGGAGCGCGAAGAGGTGACACCGCGCCATTGTGTCTGGGCGCAGAAAGGGCAGAGGACTTGTTTTGGAGGAGAAGGGGATTTGGAAGCGCTTGAAGGAGCCTTGTGGGCGGTTCAGGAAGGCGGTGCTCTGGAAGGAAGGGCGCTTCTTCGAGTCTGCTGAGAGTCGAGAGAATGTTGAATGCTGTGGGCTGTTCTTTACTGGGCGGTCTGTGTGTTTGAAGATGGCGAGTTCTCCACCACAGACTCAATTGTGGGCTGGAACATGTATTTCAGATTAGGGGAAAGGGCACGAAAGCCTGCGAAAGATCCTCGCTTATCTTCGACTGCCTGTAACTGGGCGGCACACTGTATGCACTGCTTGCAAGACGTAATCTTAGCTCGCCGCACATGCGCGGATTTTCATGCAACAGTACTTGTCACGACTGTCGTAATGTAAGCGTGCGGGAGTCGGCGTGGCAGAATACGGACTCGAGGAGGCACTTCGCTTTCAGAAACTCAAGGGGTTGTGGTACATTATGACGATTATCAACCGGGAGAATGCCAACACATTTTGAGAACCAGGTTATCATGCTCTGCCGGAGGTACTGATCTGCTTAAACTCGCCAAGTTAACCTGTACTTGCTGCGAGTATACATGTGCCTCTGCTCCATCGAATCAACAAATCCAGCTGAGCAGCTAATGATGATCAAATGGTGACGTACTTTCGTCGTCGGACCGGTCTGCACATGTTGCTGAACTGTATCGAGAGGGAAGTGAATCACCCTGAATTGGAGCGCATGCAACCGCTGGCCGGTGCAAAAATTCAGCGCACATGCTTCGAGAAAGGCTGTTCCCCTTCGGACGTACGATTCCCACGAAGACATTCGGTCCGCAACTTCGATTCCTCGTTGGTTCGGAAGTCTGAAAGACCCATACAGTGCGCGCTCTTCCGCGCCTCTCGTGGCCGCGCGCGCTGCTCGCGCATCCGCGCGGCTCATGAAAACAAGCCCAGAGGAACTAAATATCGTTGCATGTCTTGGTTTGCAAAGTCACTGCCTTTGGTGGAATTTCATCTATGCAAAATTGACTCTTGTAGATCCATTCATGCTGAAGTCCGTCTCGCGCTGCGAACCGTGCTCAAACGATTCGTCTGTTTCCAGTCAATCGTTCCGTTCCGCCCACCCACGGACCTGGGCGAGGTTACCACAGAAGATATCAAGGAGGCGTGCGAGAAGCGCAAAGAGTGTGCTGGAACCTTTGCCTCCAAAACAAAAGTGGGGGCCTGATATTCATGATGAACAGATGACAGGAGGTTCGAAATCTCCTGAGTGAGGGGCTCTGTGGAATACGTCGAGGACGTTGTGATGCGTGAGCGGTATGGAACAATTTGGAACGGAACGGTCTGTACACGTGGCACGCTTAGAGATAGCATTTGATACACTGCAATGACTTGCTTCACAGATCTTACAGTTGAAATAGTACTGACGAAGGAATTTGGAAATCAGTCTCCGTTCACTGCAACCCACGTCAAATGCGAGTGGAGTGCTTTGATGAGACACTTGCGGCCGATACAGGAACGGCTAATCTCAGGAAAATGCATAATGTCGAAGTACGACGTGAGTTTGAAGGAAGGTGTACACAAATGAAATGGCAAATTTTCCTGAGATAAGCCACTGTCCACTGTCCACTAAGACATGACCTGCACTTCCAAACGTGGCTCGTTCCAAGTACCCACCAAAAGCTAACCAAAAATGTCTTCAACTGCTTCGTCAAAAGATGCAGCCGCGTGCTCCTCGCCGCTCTCGTTGGGCTGCCCGCTGACGTCAGCGCTCTTCTCCTGGCGGGTCAGGATGATGCTCTCCTCGGTCTGCGCGCGGAGAACCTTCTTCTCGAGCTCGGGGTCCACGTCGAAACCTAATACAATGACCTGACGTCAGCAAGATGATATTTCCGGGTACTCACGTGGCTCTCAGCTTTGCTGAGTGTCCTGCCAAAATCACGACCCCCAAGCCAGAAGGATGACATTCTAGCTTTACTTTTGGCAAGATGAAACGAAGCCCACTACGGACAGGTTCTCAGATAGCCTTTTGTACAACAGGTAGCATGGATCACTGCCATATAGAAGGCCTTTGCAACATGCAATTGCGCTCTCGTCTCGGCAAATCAGCACCTTGCAAGAGATCAACTCTAAGAACGCTTGATGCACGTAAAAGGATCCTACTTTCAAAGTCACCCCCGCTTGACAGTCTTCGACAACATATTTCCTTATCGTCTCGTATTCGAAACTTATGAAGCAATTCGGTGTCTCACCCGCCACCAGCCAGTCGAAGGGGAACGCTTTGTACACCGAATGTGCCCCGGCCAGGAAGGAGGAGACCGGGGCGGGGCTGGTCATGACCGTCACCCACTCGAGCGGCGACTCCCGGGCGGCCAGCTTGGTGGCCGGGAAGTGCTTGGGGATGATTACCAGCTGCCCTGCAGAAACTTCCCGGTCTAGTTCGCTCTTTCCCCCGGGCGCCGCGACCTGGATGCGCCCTTTCCCCCGGGTGAAGTAGACCACGTGGTGCGCGTTGGGGGACCAGCCCGGGGCAAAAATTGCATTCTACAGGAGAGGGTCAAACAACCCAAATTTTCAAATGGAGAAGGAGAATGTCACATTGTTTTTCAACGCTTGAATAAAAGTTAAGTGCTTAGACTTTCCAGATTGGCGGAGTGGGGGGACGATGATAGAGATATGCTCCATCTGCGAACGTATAGTGTATCGAAGGTACTTCTTGGACGATTGGTAAAACGAGTGGTGTGATCGGCTTCGATGGGCATTTCTTTTGTGGAAATGGGGCTTTGAAATCGAAGAGCCGACCCGCTGGTTTCGGCATCCGAGTTTACAAAAGCAGCTGTCATGCAGAGGTTCAATCGCCTTTTGATGCGGGGAACGACTTCGCTTCTTTAATACCAACCGCTCAATTCAAATGCGTCAATATGTGTTTGTGGGTCATCAGGATCAGCAGCGAGGTTTGTAGGTCCCTGCAGTACGGCTGTTTCGAAACGTGTCTGTATCTTCCTGCAGCTTATCGGTATCTTTTCAGCGGAACTGACTCTGTCAAAAGTGCACTATTTAGTTCTAAACAAATTTGCAGATTCAAAAGAGTTGTCACATCTCGGACTTGATTCCTTACCGCCTTGAGCTTTACGCACGCTGCACTCATCCCGACTTTCTTCAGAACCGGCATCTTGAACTCGTTCACAAAGTTGAGGGACCCGCCCTTGGTTACGATTTCCGGCTGCGTCTCCTCCAGGTTGAAGCTGACGTCACCAAACGGCCACGTGGCGGCGGCGCGCGGCGCGGGCCCGCGCGCGCGCTCCTTGTCCTCGAGCTTGATGATGAACGCGCCCTTCTGCGACGTCGGCAGCTTTTCGACCGTCGGCTCGTCGACGTTCCACGCGGCCGCGAGCGCGTCTTTGGAAAAGCCGTTGACAACGGAAGCCCCGCCGGACTTGTCGTCACGGTTGCCCAAAAGTGTGAACGGTTGCCCAAAAGTGTGAACGGCTGCCAAAAACGTGACGGATGGCTGAATACTAGAACCCGATCGCTGGAAAGAGCTTTTGGATCTGAAGACAAATGGTTCGAAAAGCATGGATTGGCTGCCGGAAAGACCTGGTCACCTACAGTGATTGAGAAATTTAGATCCTAATTGTTGGAGAGAGCTTTGTGAGCTGAGAGAATTTTTTTGAATGATAGATGAGACTTAATCCTGTTGGGTGATGGAACCAACTTATTCAAATGCAAGCCTTTTTTGAAACCGGGTAAGAAAGTGTGGATATGTAGAGAACAGGTTGCGGAGATTTCAAAGGTCAGAATGAGGGGAAAATGCGGCGATGGGCATGAGCAATTCAGCTATAAGAAGGACGCAGCAACCCCTCAGCTTCATTCTGCCCCTTTAGACACTTCAGAGCAACTCCTGATGCGGTCCCGGATGAATCTCAAAAGCGTCAACGTTTCGAACACTTTAAGTTTCACTAGTTCCTGGCTTTACCTTTCGCTCGCCAGTGCCCACTGCGTTTTGGGTTCCT